AACCACTCCAAACAGCGCCCGCCACTCCGATGGCACTCCCTCCGGGCCCCATCCATCCTCCCACCCCCAACTCTGAGCGCCTTACCCGGACGCCAGCGACTACCTTCGTGAGTGTCCTGGGCTACGGGGACAGCACCACACATCCCACGGCCGGGAACAACACACATCGATCCCCTCCCAGATCTGGCGGCCAGAAGCCTCACGGTGAACCCCCAGCCCCACACTTCCCAGAGCTGCTGCGGGTCCCCCCTGTCCTCCTCCCAGGGCTGTGCCGGGGGGAACACCTCCCAGCCCCCTCCTCTGCTCGGCTCTCCTCTCTCCAGGACGGGAGCTCTCCTGGGAACTTCCAGCCCCTGCCAGAAATGGGGTCAGGTAGGGACCCAACGGCCTCCCTGCTGGCCTGCGTCCCAGAGGCCTTCCCGTCCCCAAGCACACCCCCCCACAACGCCCCGCCCGGCTCCACACTGGCAGGCGATGCCGAGGACCCACGTGGGCGGCTCTGCCTGGACCAAGGCTTTGGGAAGGGAGGCGGCTGCAGCCATGTGCCCTGGGCTTTCTCTCCTGAGGCCTCTGGCCTGTGCCCGGGAGGGAGGGTTCTCCCCATGTTCCAGAAGCAGAAGCTGAGACCCACGGAGCTTCACTGACATTCCTGGGCTTCGGGAAGCCCCCGGCCCGTGTGTGGGAAGGGGCACCCCATGTCTCCAGGGCCTACAGAAGCCCAGCCGGGCCAGGCAAGCCTGCTGGGCTATCAGGGAAAGGAACATCCGGCCGCCACCCTCCCTGAGCTGAGTCAGCTGGACCCTGCCGGCCCCGCGAGTGGCACCATGGTGACATCCTGGGGGTGGACAGGGGCTCCGCCCTGGTGCACCAAGGTGACTTGGCCTCAAGGAGGTGTCTAGGCCTCACCCACCTGGGAATGTAGGCTTCACCCACCACTGTGACCTCTGGTGGTGGTGGGGGGTCCCTGGCCAGCGAGGAGGATCACACTAAATTCAGAAGAATGGAAAGCCCAGCCGGGGTCAGCTGAGGGTCCTGGAGCCCCTGGCACCGGGGGCTACTGCCTGCCAGCATCTCCTGGCGGGTGGGAGGCCCAGTAACGGAGTCTGGGGTCCCTGGGGCTCCCCCACCGGCAGCTGTGCTCGGTGGCTGGAGCAGGGGTGTGCCTGCCTGCAGAGAAAGGCGACCAGTTCCTCCGCTTGAAAGAGCGTCAGGGCAGGGGCCGAAGCTCAGCCGTGGCTGGCACGGAGCCGAGGGTGGCCCACGCCGGGCACAGTGCTCTCGGGCAGAGCCCTTCCTGGGCTGCGCAGCGAAGGGTCAGAGGGCACGTCTCCCACTGCTGCCCTAGGCTCTCCTCTGCAGTGACCGTGTTGCTCCCCATCACCCACCGGGCACTCGGGGGCAGAGGAGACAGGGAAGACCCCTGAGCAGAGTGGGCCAGAGACCGGCAGATCGACCGAGACAGGCCGGCGGACGTCTGGGCCTCACCTCCCCGGGCCCAGGCGCTCTCCGGGAGCACAAGCCACAGGGCTGACTTGGGCTAGCACTCGGGGAGAGGAACTGCTGGCCACTGCAGGGTGTGGGGCGGGTGCTGCAGATGAGGGACGATGTGGACACAGAGCCACCTGCCACAGGTGTAGCCGAGGTGGGGGTGACCTCTGCCACCCACCTGGCCCTGGGTGGCCACGATTCCTATTCCATATTCAACCAGACACTCCCAAGTGAAGCAGTTCCCAGAGTCCCTGTCTCCCCGGGGGTGTCCTGGTCACCCTGCCGCCGGGCCCCGGCCATCCCACAGCCTCCAGAAGCCACAACAATGAGTCGTCTGCAGGCCCTTCTTTGTATCTGGCTCCCCCCAGCCAAGGCTGGGCCTTCCACTTTGGGCGTGCGCCCTGCACTCCGCCGGCACCGAGCCGCCCGCACAGGTTAGGGTGCAGGGGAGGGCAAACCAGCGAGGACAGGCCTGGCAGCTGGGCCCAGTCTCGCGCAGGACGGTCAGTTTAAGGAGGGAGTACAGAGGAAAGGAGAGTGTGGGCCGCAGAGCCCGCGGGGATGAAAGGTGGCCCTGGACGGTCATTGGAACCCTCTGAAAAGCATCGTGGTGGCCCAGCCCAGAAGGGGGATGCAAAGGTGGCTCCAGGCAATTCAGGGGGTCAGTGGGGACAGAGGCCTGACCCATGCAGAGCCAGCAATCGCCCAGAACAGCCGCCGCAATGCCCCCTTCCCCACTGGCTCCTGGCGGCTCTGGGCCTCTCCGGCGCAAGCAGCAAGGCCTGAATGACCCCACAGAGCCTCCGGCAGTCTCCCTGGGCTGCCAGCAGAGGCCCGGATGGAGGACGGATGCCAGGCTCCTTGGCCAGCGGACAGCTCTGCGGACAGGCCAGGAGGCAGTGCCACAAGGGATGGTGGGGGAAGGCACAGCTTCTCAGGGCTTCGAGCTGGAGTCTTGCCATCCAGATACGCCAGGCTGAGGTCCTGCAGGCCCCAGGGACCGAGCTCCATGATGGAAGCCACACGGGGGTGGTGGTGACACACTCACACTCCTGTTCTCCCACAGAGAAACAAGACCCAGGGCCTCCAGAGACAGCCACCATCCAGACACCCCTCCCACCGTCCGTCCGGGCTGGTCAGACGAGAACACACGCCTGGTCTGCCGGCACCGCGCAGGTCGCCGCGGAGAGCCAGCAAGCCCAGCTGCCGCTCCCACGGAGCCCGGGTGGCCGGATGCGAGCCCACACAGGGTTGCCCGTTGGCGGCTCCTCAGGACCACAATCTCAGGCACGGCCCATGTCCGCCACGGGCCGGCGGCACGGACTCGGCTAGTCTCCGAGGAAAGGCACCGGCTCCCCCCAGCCCCGCCATCCCACGCCACTGCAGCACACGCCGGCCAGGCGCCCCGTGTACGCGTGTGGCGTGGACTCCAGCCCAGGCAGCACATGTCGACTTCCGGCGAATCCCTAGGAGCCGCTGGGCGGAGGGGGCTCCACCAGAGCCCAGCCCCTGGGGCCCCGAGCACCGCGCCAGCCCGCACTGCGCCGATCCGAGGGCGCTCGTCCCACGTGCCCCGCGTCTCTTCGGTGAGGCCTCGCAGCCTTCAGGCCGAGCAGTGCTGTTGCTGCCGTGAAGGCGCCTCCATCACCCACCGCGGAGGCTCAGGAGCCGGCGGAGAGGATCCCCCGGAAAGGTCATGCTCAGTGACCCCTGGGCCAGCAGGACGGGTGCTCCCAGAGCTGAAGCCGTCCCTGCCAACGTGCCACCATCACCGAGCACAGCACTGTGCGTCATCCCTGCTGGCACTCTGGACGCTCCAGGACAACAGGACATGTGGAGAACTTGGGGAGCCCTGGCCAGTCAGGGTCCACAGGGATGAGAAGCTGCCCCGGAGGTCAAGAGGTGCTCCCTGTGCTCACGTGTCCTCTCCGCCGACCGCCCTCGGGGGATGGGGTTCTCATCCCGTGTCAGCGGGAACAAGGCACCTCCGGCACCCGCAGGCTTCTTGAGTAGGGCGTGGGGGGCCGGGAACTTCAAGAACCGAGAATGTTCTGGCTCTAGCTGTGTAGGGCACACTGGAAGCCCGGCTGTTCCGAACCCTTGGGCAGCACTTCCCGCTCCTTCACGTGGCCACTCCCAGGGACAAGCCAGGCCCCCAGACAGGCTCAGGGTGAGCTGGGCACCGGCGGCTGGCCCGTGGGAGGCGCGGCTGTGTGCTTACCCTCGCTGGGCAGCTGCACTGCCCCGGGCACGTGCTGAGCCAGGGCTCGTGCGACACCCGTCTCTGGGGGGAGCGCTCCCTCTCAGGAAGGAACGGAGGTTCCGCTGGGAAAGTACCAGTGAGAAGACAGACAGAAGTGGGCTTTATGCAGGAACTTTCCCTCCTGGAACCTTCCGGATCTGAAAGGTACAGCCCCACAAACTCTCGAGAGAAATGGTGTACTGCTGGGGGGGACCCCAAGTCCACCCAGACTGTGAAGTGGGTCCGCAGGCCTTAGGGGCAAACCAAACGCAGTCCTCTCCGGAGAACCGGCTGACGCGGAAGAGCAGAGCCCTCCAGTCCGGGCCTGCCCATCTGCAGGGCCCAGGAGGCCGCCCAGTCACGGCCGAGAGCGGCCGGAGTGGGCAGGGGCCGCGCCCCCACGCCCGCTCCTCCCAGAGAGACTGCGCACAGAGCTGGCTCCATGTTTCACAACTTTAATAGAATATTCTAACTGTTCTGTACAAATCGAAAACACCGTATTCAGTTACAAATGTTATTAGAAGTAAGGCCGAGCACTCTACAGGCCTGGTCACAGTGTGGACACACGGCCCCGGCTGCCAGAGACCATGGTCGCACACTCAGAAACCCCACACGCCAGCAAGAACAGGTCGCTCTGAACCCAGGGCTTTTAGAACAAGACGAGCATGGGGCCAAGACGTGGGGGCAGTGCGAAGGCAAGACCTGACGTGGACACACCAGAAGGACAGCAGCACGTCCCAGCCCCGGCCCCTCACCGGCACCCGCAGGCCCGCCACCCCCCAGAGCCAGGCGGTCTGTATGTCATGAAAACGAGCTCCCGCCCTCAGCCGCAGGCAGGACAGAAAGAGGTCCCTTCTCCACAGGCCTTGCTCCCCTGGGAGCCACCACCACCCCCGCCGGGCGAGTCGCCAGGTCACCCGTCACACACATGGTTCCTGAGAGCGTAAGGACAAGTGACAGCAAGCGTCCCAAGCCCTCGCCACCAGGAAAGAATAAATAAACATGAGAATGAACCACAAACACTCGTGCCTCAGGGCTGGGGCGCACCGCCGCCCCTGCCGCACCCCGAGGGACACAGACCAGAGACGGAGTGTGCTGCGGAGAACAGGACCCTACGCCCAGCAGCTCTCCTGAGACCGCTAGAGCACAGGAGACCGAGAGGTGGAGACACAGAGCGCGCAGGTTTCTTCAAGGGAAGAAGAATCCAGCCCGACCGCGGAGGGGCGTGACTGGTTCTAGAGGCCCCGGAACCCCCCTCCCCAGACATCTGCTCTCGGCACCGCCTGCCCTTCCGCCACCCCCTTCCCCCGGGGTCCGTGGGGCCCTCCCGGAGGCAGGGCCTGGGAAAGTCCACTGGGCTGCACCCAAGGCCGTAGAGGGTGCTGGAATCAAACCTCCTATTTCTGAAATGCATTTAAGTTGCCACTGTACAGGTTAAGCAAAATAATAAGGATAAAGGAAAAGTTAAAGTCAAAATCATGCACTTGAAAACAAGTTAGAAGAAAGCACCGCCGCTACGGTGCTGGGGCCGCCGCCACAAGTCCCGCCGCTACCGCCGGGGGGCGCTCGCTCCTCACTGCTGTTTGCACTCCGAGGGCTGGCTGGGCTCCTTCTGTCAACGAGAGAAGACAGGACTTTAGGAAACTGGTGTCCTCCACCCGGTACCTCCAACCAACAGCGCAAGCCAAGACTCGATTTACTACCTTCGTTCTTACTGAAAAAACGGTTACCGCAGACGTACTTCTACGGCAGTAACAAAACAGCAGCCAACTTCCCAGAAACAGTCTCACCGGGGCTGCCTTTCTTGTTGGGAGACAAGCCCGGAGTGTAAGTCATGGCCCAGGCACCGGGAAGGAGGAGCGCCTCAGGGTCACGGACACACATCAGTGTCAGGGGAGCCACACTCCAACGCGACATGGCAGCCTCGGCGTCTCGGGCAAGCCCCCCGACCCTGCCCGCGTGACACACCAGCCGGCTCCCCTTTCTGTCCCCTGCCTCAAGGCAGGCTCAGCACCTGAAATGAAAAGGTGCCACTCCACGGTGGGCCAAGGCGGCCCAGTAGCTCCGCCAGCCCCTGCAGCAGCCCACAGCCAGGAGGCCACACCAACAGCTCCACACACAGCCTCGGTCCTCCCAGGCCCCTCCCCAAGTGGGAATTCTATCCCTCCAGAAAGGCAGCAGGGAGAGACCGGCCCCCCCGGCAGAGAAGCATGTCCCCGTCGGGATAGTCTAACACCGCTCTCCGCGTTCGGAGCACATGCGGCAGGCCCACGCGGTCTGTGGGGAGGCCGGCATCGCAGCCTGAGACCCAGGCCACCAGATCACCCACCATTCCGGGCAAATACACGTACTCATCAGTGGCCTCTAATTCTTGGCTGCCAAGATTACAAATTATTTTCGAACAATCTGCAAAGCCTATGGAGTCTTAAAAAAAAAAAACACCACCCCACAAACAGGGAGATAATGAATGTTCTATGGCTGAAACTGGGATCCCGTTCTCCAAGAAGTTACACTTCTGATATGAAAAAAATCACGTGTTGAGGATGTAAGAAGGACAAAACCGTGACCTTGGACCTGACTCTAAGAAAGTCTCATGGAAAAAGCACAGGGATGCGGCCAGGATGCCCCAGGTCTCTGCCCAGCAACGAACAGGCCACCCTGGGAGGGGGGTCCTGGCCTGGGCGTCACATGCGCATCTGAAATTCTGCTAAAGAACGAACCCAGGCCCCCAAATGAAACACATCTGACCAGAAATCCAGGCGGGAAAAGATCAGAATCGGACTGTGCATCTGCAGGCAGCCCCGGCTGTCAGGAGTGGCCGGGGAAGCGGGAGGCGCACCGGGCTCCACGTGGCCGGAGCGCAGCGTGCAGGGGAGGGCAGGCGGCTTTCGAAGGGTGAAGGGAGAAGCGCGCGTGTTCCCACAATTGCGTTTGCAGGAAGGAAGCGGCTTGGAGAAGACGGAGCTAAGGAAGTGGCCCTGCAGGGTGATGTGGTAGGAACGGGGCGGGGGCACAGCCCGGGAGGGACGACTCCTGCTCTGCCCGTCTGTGGACGACGCGTCGGACACGGGCAGCGCTCCGCCACAGCAGGCGCGACACAATCTACAGTGCGCTGCGCGTCCTTGCAGATGCTGTTAACCAGGAAAACGCATTATCCTTTCGTTAAAAACACGTTCAGTAGCTTGGGGGATAAAGCCTGCTGGAGGTGACGGGCTCCGCTGACACTCCCCTGGCAGGCAGGCAGGCAGGCGGCCCCACCTCTGGGGACAGCTTCCACACAGACACCTGTCCGTCCTAGGCTGTAAAGTCAACAGACAATCCCAAAGCTTCCGACGTGAATTTTATCAACGAGACACCGCTGGGTTTCAGCCTGTGACACAGGCCGAGACAGGACGACAACTAAACCCTGCATCCTCGGTCTCAGGCCACAAAGTCCGATGGCAGCCTGGTCATCCGATGCCCTGATTATCATGGGAGAGGAGTCCGGTGTTTCCAACGCACAAACGAACAGCCCAAATCCTGCACGTCAGGGAGCCAGTGCAAAGCCGTGTTGTAACAGAAGCGGGGGGGAAATAAGCCACCGTGCACACGGCTGGCCCCTAGAGCTTCCCAGGGGCCCACAGCCGGGGCCCAAGAGCCTGCGGGACGGCAGAGGGCAGGGCCCCTGCAGCAGAGCAGCTGCCGGCCTGGGGCAGCCCGGTGGCTATGCCACAGGAGGGTCCCCCTGACCCAGAGACAGGCTGAACAGGTAAGGGATGCCTTCCCATGACTGGTGGCGGGGGGAGAGCAGGTCTTGGGGGGGACGCTGTTCAGATAAGTGGGGCGGCAGGAAACAAGGGCAACGGAACACGCTGTCCTGTCCACATCAGTGATCAGACCCGTCCCCTTCAACACACAGGACCTGCGGCCTACGATCACCTCCCCTCGTTACCACGTTGCCTTGCCAGGAGGTGAGTGCGCTTCTGCCCAGTTCTGAGAGCGAGCCCGCATGAGCGGGATAGGAAGGCCTCGCGGAGACTCTCAGAGGCCCGTGGTCTTCGTGGCTGTCGGTGCCGGCATGCCGCTGCGGCACACAGCTCTGGCTCTCGCAGGTCCTGCTCCCCACACGGACGGCGGCCCCTCGGCACCAGCCCCGGCCCCCCCGGCCACTTCCCAGGGGTGACCGTCACGGCACCTGCCTCCCGGAGCATCTTTGGACCACTGCCCCCGCTCTGCCCCCGGGAGGACCGTGTCCCACAAGGGAGGGAACGGATGGCTGGAACAGAGACGCAACGGCCCACGCCACAGGGGCTATTAACACCAGCACATTCCAAGTTCAGGTGGCCCTCTATGACCGAGTGGTCTGCACCCCACCTGAACTGAAGTAGAGACAACGGACAGAAAGAGCACAGCAGCTGCTACCCGCCACGCGGGGTGCAGCCAGCGTGAACACGGGCTTCCCGAGGCCTGGTGCTCACTTCCCGGGTCCCTGCGCCCTGTGTTCTTCCTGCCGGACAGGCCCGCCCACAACAGAAATGCCACACCAGTCACACCTGTGACTTGGTCAGCAGCCAACCGTGGGCTCAGCGAGGAGCCGGACGTGGTTTCTGACAGGCGGTTTCAGAAGCTCACGCAACGGACGCCTGCGCGCTCCGCTCTTCTGAACGCACTGTGGTCAGCCCTGCGCGCGCCCAGCGTGCCCGGGAAGCAGCCTCCCCTCTATTCACAAAGTCACAATAAGGCACTGTTATCAAGCACAGATCAGAAGATTGGATTAGGAATGAATGGAATTCCACCTTACCTAAAAATGCATGAATAACAGACAAAAATTACACCTAAATGGAGAAAAAATTGAAAGGAAGTGTCAGCATAAAAGAAAACAAAATACACAAGATTATACAGGCGGAAACAGCCCCTTTCTCATGACACAAAGGGCTACAAGTCCTCCAGCCTGAGATGAGCAACCCCAACCCACCACATCTGTACATTTAATACCAAAACACCCTCCTCCCTCGTCTGCCCGTGTGCAGACTCGGACATGACCAGCCCCCAAAGGACAAGCCTCGGGCCCTCCTGGCTGCGCAGGGCTGGCAGTCCCGGCGCCTCCCACCAGGGACCCTCACCTCCCCCCAACCGACAGCACTCGTGGAGACCAGGGAGCACCAGTCCTGACAACCCCCCACGGTACCGGCTGACTCGTGAGGAAAGGCGCTTCCAGAAAGCAGACGTGGCAGGAGACAGAAAAGGACAAACCACAGAAGGAAGCGACAAGTGATGGAGTCATGGAGCCCCCACCACAAACCACCCTCCGTCTCTGCCTGTGAATCCAAACCGTGAGTGTGCACGGCAACACCCCAAAAGGCAGAAAGACAGGCAGACACGCAGGTGACAGCAGCCCGCCCATAAGCCCCGCCCCCCGCCCCCGCTCCACAGGCCCAGTGTGCAGAGGTGAGCACTCCCGTGAGCGCAGTCCCAGCCTAGTATTTACGTGGTACATGGAACAATGTCCGAAACCCACCTCCCACCCTTCCCGAGAAGCTGTACCGTAAAGCATGCATCCACGGAAACATCTGGTGTTTGCGACAGAAACAAAGCCCACAACCACTCAGAGCGCTGGGCTATCACACGGACACTGAGCGCACATTTCACTTCGGGCAAAAACAGAGGACGGACAAACGGACAAACACCGCCCAGTCCACCGGAGATCCGGGTCACAAATGGCAAGGTCAGTGCTCGGACGGCCTGTGAGGACGCAGTGAGCTACCCACTGGCTTCCTGCTCGCCAGTGAGAGGACGGCCGGCCCCGCACCCAGGCCTGCACTAAAGCAGCTCCAGGTTGAAGGGGTGTGCCAAGTGGCAGTGCCGTCCCTCCAGCTCATCTGCCAGCAGTAAGCCTCCAGACCTTCACGTAACGTTAACGGGGTTGCTGGCTGTCCTCAGCTTTGTTGTCTTTTTTTTTTTAAAGCTTCCCGGAGACTTTCGATGCCTGGAGATGCTTACACGTAGCTTCTGATTATTCTCAGCCCAAACGCAATTGTAAAACTACGTCTACGATTTTAGGACTCTATTCTTTAAAAAAAAATAACTTTCAAAATTTCCTTCTCTGCACCTTTTCCAAAAACGAACACAAGAACCAGCTTATTCACGTCGTCACTCAGCCAGTCCCCTGAAAGGACGGCAGGTCTGGCAAACCAAGCTGCTCTCCCAGGCGAGCTCATGGCAAGAGCGTGCTGACAGCGAGCTGGAAAAGCCCTCCCCGGACGCTCCGCGCTGAGCACTAAACCCCGCACAAGGGGCCGCTCAAACCTGTTCCTGGTGTGTTCTCTGTGTTGACTGGAGCAGGACAGGCGCCCCCCCCGGGTGGGGATGCGGCCCGATGTCATAGCAGCACGCCATTCCCTGGTCTGGTGGCCCCCCAACAACTGACCTTGGGGTTCATGTCGGCGTCGTCCTCATCTTCTCCCTCCTCGTCACCTTCCAACTCCTGCGTAAAAGGGGGACAGTGAGCGGAACACAGGATCTAATCTCTCGTGGGCCCGCGTGCCCCACACAAACGCAGCCGCCCAGGACCCAGCGGGAGGTCATCAACCCCTGCCCGCGAGCGATTTCGTCACCGCTGGGCAGGAGGACTTCTGAACACCTTTTTGTTGGCAGCGATAATGGATAAACACACCGCGGAGAATGTGACTCGTGTGCTCACCCCACATGTCCTAATAAGCTAATCGCGGGGCAACTGGACACAGGGACAGCGACTGCGTGTCCCCGCTGCGCCCAGCTTCAACGGGCTGGAGGCCCCGCGGCAGCTCCACACAAAGCGGGTGCGACAGCTGCTTCCAAAACCCCCGTCCACTCCAGCAGAGGAAGCAGCCCAGCGAAGCCTGAGGGAAAGGACTCTCCGCGTTCGCCATGTCTTACCTCCTCTTCTCCTTCCTCACCCTCTTCAAACTGAAAAAGGAAAAAGGAAACAAAATTTAGGTCTCAAAAGCATGAGGGCGGCCTGACCCAGGCACGGTCCCCGTCAAGCACCCCACACTGGTCAGGTCTGGGGGAAGCGGAAGCACAGCCTGGCATCTGGACAGAGAGCAGCGCCCGCCTCGGGGGGCACGGTCTGCCGCTGGGCACCGCAGCCCCGACACTGCGGGCCGGGCTCTGGCCAGTGCGGTGGGCCCACCTGTTCGCCAGCCGGCCCCACTGTGCTGACAGGATGCCGGTATCTGAAAAGCACTCAAACAAGGCCCGAGGGTGGGCAAGGGTGCAGAAAGGAGGTGGTCAGCGTGAGAAGGGACCGGGATCACCCGGGAAACTGGCGGATGTAGGCAAACCGGGAACATGATTTTACTATGCAAATCCATGAGTTTTACTGATATTTTTTTAACTCATACGAGGTTAAATATTTACATATTAGAAATATGAAAAAACCTCGGTGTTTAAATGTATTGGAAAAGGCCCAACACTACAGTTGACTGGTCCTGAATAAATTTCTTCTAGGTCAGACTCCCGCCCAAAGTCCCCATGTCAAACTCAGATCAAGACCAAACACAAAACAAAGCACACCTCATCACTATGTCCTGCATGACACAAAACACCTAAAAATTAAGTAGGCTTTTCCTTAAGAGCATTTCTTTTGTTGCAGCCCACACATACTCCTCAGTGACAGCTCACACGAACTTGTGAGGGCCTGGGGGCTGGCGGGGCCCAGCTGCGCGTCCTCCCGCACCAGCTGGGCCGTCAGGGGTCCAAGCACGCCCTGGTGCCCTTACCAGCCTCTAACAGGGGAAGACCGAGGTTTGAGGTCTTGTAGCCAATAACATCTTAGCTCAGATTGGAACTAGCCTCTAACAGACTCAAGCACGGATTTTCTGAGGTTCTCAGATCACTTCGCTCTGGACCGAATGGGACCTGCAGGGCCCTGCAGCAAACACATCTCACACAGACGTAGAGCAGGGGTAACAAAGTGGGGTACAGAGCCCATGGAACACACAGAAGACAAAACCAGCACTCCTGCATCCATCCCTGCTGCACCGATGTCCAGTGTGTGTGCAAAGCCGCCAACAGATCGGACCCCTGCAAACCCATCTTCATCCCAACGTGAGTCACAGTGCCAACAGGGGTGCTTCCAAGAGCCTGACAAGCCACCAAAATCACGACCTTCAAGCCCATGTTCAGATGAGGACGCCACAGCACAGAGGCTCTACGGCCGTGAATGGAGAAGCCAGGACCCCGAGCCCAGCAGGCACTGGTGGGGCGCCCCCCACAACCACACAGCTCAGCAGCAGCACCAGCACCAGAGGAGCCGGGGGCGCGGGGGCGCAGGCGCGCACAGACCAGCAGAGCCGTGCACCACTCACCCGGACCAGCCGCGCGGCCTGTATCTTACGTAAAGAGAAACACTAAGCCGGGTCTCGTGCTTTGAGAGCTGACGGGTGTGTGATCAACAAAGCGCGGAGACCACCGGGCTAGAGATGGCTCTTCAGTATGTGGTCCCCAGACTCTGCGGGCTACGCTACGTAAAACGGAACGTGTGGTTCCCCAGCTGCTAACGGACCCATTCCACATCCTCGGGCCTCCCGTGGGGCCAGTTCCACCACACTGGCAGAGCAGGCAGGCCGCAGACAGCTCTAGTGTCTAGAACGTTCCACGGACTGTGCCGGTCTGCAGACTGCTGTGTCACCTTAAGCCCTAGCAATCACTCGAGCGCTTGGATGAGCCCACACCACACGGACTTGTGTGCCTGCGTGCTCTGCTACCCACAACCACCTCCCAGCGCAGGGACGGACGAACGGCCTTTTCGGAGTAAGCAGGTCTCAGACTACACAGGGCGCACTGGACAGGCCGCGCCCCCCCGGCTGGGACCGCCAGCACGGAGACCGTGAGAAGCAGCCCTTCACTGCCTCTGGCCCTAAGCTGCTCCGACCTGCCCGGCTCCTGCTGCCCACCTGAAGCCCCGACAGACCACTTAGAAAGAGAACCCAGAACCTTCCAGGAAACACGAGTTCTCAGAGCAAGGGAACCATTATCTGAAACATACTACTAGCGGCCCGCTAGAAACCCAAACTTTACTCCCACAAATCCAGACGACACAGCGAGCTGAGCCTCGGTTAGGACGAAGAACGACCTCAGGTGACCGTCAGAGGACGGCTGGCGAGGCTGTGCTCCAGCAGGGGAGGGGGAGAGAGGGGCCTGCGCAGCCCAGCCACCCTTCCGTGCACCACGGGTTTCAAGTCTTCGGGGCCGGCACACCACAGGCTAGCAGACGTCAGCTCCGTGGGTAGCCTCTTCCTGCTACCAGACCTCTGAAACGGAGATTCTCCTCCCGTTTCCAAGTCACCCAAAGCTTACAGCCCTTCAGCAGGACAGGGTGAGCACTGGGACGTTCCAAGGGTGCTGTCCCTGGATGGGGATGGCCATTTGTTCTCACAGCACCCAAGCCCTTGCTCGGCCCTCAGCCCCCGACACCAGGGGGCCCCCAGGCTGCTGCTCAGGGTGCCCCACACTGCCGGAGGCAGGCCCCCAGGAGCTCCCAACCACATACGTTGTCGTCATCCTCTATGGCCTCCCCCGTGAAGTAGAGCACAGCCCGCGGGACTATCCGCTCACGGAAGAAGTGTCCGATTTCAAAGTCAGAGGCTAATGTGAACTCCGAGTCTTCGTCCTGAGAAGAGAAAACCTCCACGTTAACTCGTGTGTATGGGTGAGCCCCACGCCCCCCGCCCCGCCCCGCCCCCTTGGTCTGGGGGACCCAGCACTGCTGGGGATGGCAGGGCGCCCCGGTCCCACATGCGCCGGCCCCACGCTGCAGTGTCGTGCACGCAGGGTACCCCACGTCCCCGGGAGGAGGAAGGAGGGACTGAGAAGACGGCGGCCCCGCTCTGGAGATAAAGGGTTTGTCTGACAGCACGAAACATTTCAGGACGACACAGCGCTTACCAGTGACTCTCCGTCTCCGGACGCTACGGGAAAACACAAAACACGCGGGTTACGCGGACGATCAAAGCTTTTGCAGGCGCACGGGCGCAGCCACACGCATACTGAAGGTGGGACAGGGCGCACCCGTGCCTCCCACGGCACCCTGACTGCGCCCCTCGCCCACCCTGGCCTGCCCAGCTTGAGAACGCCGGCTGGGGGCAAGAGTCTCCTAGCCCAGCGCCAACAGACGGAAAGGCCCATCAGGAGCCCCAGACTGTGGCCGCCCCGTGCATTTACGCCTTAAGGAAAGTGTACCGGGGCCTGCAACCCTGCAGGACTGTCGGGAAGAGGACAATCCTCGAGCCTTGCTTCCGAAGCGCCATACTCAGTGGGGCGACACCACGGGCATCCGCACGGCAAGGGGGAAGGCGCACACACAGTGCCGAAGCGTCCCTCCCGCGAAATGGAAAGACTCCCCGTGGGCAGGAGGGGGCTGCTGGTCGCTGCCCACCACAGAGCACCCCCCACCCTCCCGCCCCAACATGCATGTGTGCGGCTGGCCAGAGCCCGACCCAGAACCAAGGGTGAGGAAAGACAGGGACTTAAAACCACTCAACAAAGCCCGTGACACTCGAATGATCACGGGACTCAAATCCGGGACTTGAGTGACGCTTGTTCAAGGCCAGGTCTTGCCAGGAGCTGGAGGCTCAGAGCACTGGCCTCATCCTGCCTCTCGAGGCCTCTCCCAGCTCGGCTGTTCCCCACGGGCTGGGCACCCACGTGACAATACCACCCTGCACCACAGTCCCTGCGTCTCGGCCCGTGAGCAACCCCCGCAGACTAAGATTTGGGTCTGGGGACGCTGGTCAAGGACTTTTGCTCACGTGACTTTGGGACATGTTTTGTAGACTGAAGGACAAGGAGGGCACCGGACCAGCCGGCTTCTGTTTCCCTCATTTCAAAACACGTTTCCTGCTTTCCGACACTTCTTCCTGGCCTGCCTGATCACCCCCCAATGGTCACTGTATACCTGTTTATAGAGCTCATCACTTGATAGGATGTGCAATTCCTTTAAAAATAGCTATGTTTAGGTGTAATTTATCTACCAGACAGCTGACGTGTAAAATTCAACGACCCCTGGGACATTTTTAGAGTTATACAACCATCACAGGAAAGTTTTAGAACGCCAAATGTCACCTCCCTCCAAATTCTGAGTCCACTTAATCTCATTTTGATTTTATTAAATTACTTAAAATCCAATCTTAAGAAACCTTGCAACAAACCACTGCGTTCAGGAACCAAAGCCCCTCTGCTTCACAGCAAAAGCTCACAGGTGACCGCCAAAGGGGCTCCCTGGTCTAAAACAAGGAAACCGAACAAGTCCACCTGTGGCTACTGTCACCCCCGAACCAACACACGTGCATCCCCTAAGCTCAAAGACAAACCCCAGAAAGATGCGGGCCCGAGGCTGAGGGGCTGAGCTTGAGAAGCGAGGGGCCTGGGCTCCGAGACAAAGTCTGGGTCCAAGGCTCACACTTGAGCGCGGAGCGCCCCTGTGGCCGAGGGCAAACAGCTCACACACCCACCAATTATGGAGGCAGGGCCGGCATTTCCACATTTCATTTCAGTCTGTTTGTGTTCATGGACAACAAAGAGGAAAACTGTTTGATCTGCGCTACTCTAACACTGCGAACCGGTCTGGCCTTTACATTCTCTCAAGTTTAGAAAATTTTGTTAAGACCTGCCAGGATTAGGGTGCCTGGGTGGCTCAGTGGGTTAAAGCCTCTGCCTTCGGCTCAGGTCATGATCTCAGGGTCCTGGGATCGAGCCCCACATCGGGCTCTCTGCTCAGCGGGGAGCCCGCTTCCCCCTCTCTCTCTGCCTGCCTCTCTGCCTACTTGTGATCTCTGTCAAATAAATAAAGAAAATCTTAAAAAAAAAAAAAAGGGGGGGGGAAGAAAAAAAAAAAAGACCTGCCAGTATTTGGGGTCCCCGGGGGACTTAGTCATTAAGCGTCTCCTTCAGCTCTGGTCATGCCCCAGGGTCCTGGGGTCGAGTCCCACATGGGGTTCCTTGCTCAGCAGGGAGCCTGCTTCTCCCCCCTCCACCCTTCTCCCTGCTGGTTCTCTCTAACAAATAAAACCTTAAAAAAAAAAAAAGACTCGCCAGTATTTACTCTTGAAACCTGCTGCTCACTCTCCACAAGGTCAAACTTTCCATCTTTATTTTATGACTTAGGGGAGTAAAAAATCGGAGTTTCCAAGCTAAGTCTTTCAAACTAGAAATCCAACTACTTGTGCTGTCACGATCTGTAAACCCCAAGACCCCTTGAGTTCTACCAAGTCATAGAGAAAAATAAAGCCGAATTTATGAGAAAGAGAGGGTGGGGGACACTCCCCAAGCTGTGCAGGCGTACCTGGGTTGCGATCAGCAACTGGCGACAGAGGGGGCCTTAGCAGGACGGGTGGCCCCGGTGCCGCCAGCGGGCCACAGCCCCAAGGTGTGGAAGCGTCGGCTGGGGCGCTCTGGGCATCCGTCCAGCTTTCTCAGCGTGGAGCTCAGAGTGCCCGCCAGGCCTTCCCCTCCTGCTACCCCCTCTCCCCTACCCCAGGAGCACCGGCACCACGGCTCCTGGCACAGCAAACATGTCCTTACTGGCCACGCTCGGCAGAGGACTCAGACCAGACCCCGTGGTAACGACGCGACTTCACAAAGCATGTCATCAGTGTCTACGACACACCCCACTCACCTTTCAGCGGGCTGAAGAAGTTGAAAAAGGAGTCGTTGGGAACTTGTTTGGTAATTGTTCTCACTGTGCCTCGGCCCTTATGTTTCTGCTTCTTCTTGATTGTTTTGACTGTCACGTTTTTCCCTTTCTTCCAGTCAATAACACACCTATGGGGACAGACAGCCATCATGCACACAGACATACGCCCTGAGAAACGCACGAACGTCCCCAGTAAACAAGGCACAGTGAGAGGCCGAACGTGGACAACGTAGGCAAACCAGCCTGCCAGCCGGCACTGCACACCCCTCAAGTCCAGGTGACAGCCAGCGAAGGGGAACTGGCCCAGTGGCATGGGCTGCCACCCCCTGCCGGGAGCACCATCGGAAGCCGGGGGCTTCTCCCGAGACCCTCCCCAAGCATGTTAGCTATGACCAAGCCCGGTCAAGGCTGGGCTAGGGTGCCCAGAGGATGCTCAAGAGCTTGTCACCTGCTGCCTCTGTCCAGGCCCCGGAGCACACCTGAAGTCACCCACTCACAGTCCCGAGTCTCAAGCAGCTGAGCGGGCGGGACAAGCTGGAGAGGTGGCAGGTGACCGCTGCACCAAGTTCTGACTGGGGCCAAGCGCACTGGGTCCCAGCTGCCAAGTGGGCTGGGCCAGGGGGCGAGCCCCGCACGCTTCCTCACCTCCCAACGCCTGCGTACCCACGAGGACCCCCTGGGCAGCACGTGATTAGTCTGCTCGGGAACACGCCTGGACCGCCCGGCCCTGGGGAATGCGCTGTCAGGGTCACCGTGGCCAGCGTTTTGATAAAGCTCTGAATTACTCCTGCTGGAGATCCAGGAGTATTTGGTTCCAGTGAACAAGGGTAATCGTGCCAATTCACAAATAATTTCCCAAACCAAAGAAGCAGACTTTCCCAAACCACCTCAAACAAACTAAGAGGGAAGAACTCCAGACCACATTCCCTGGTGATCGCTCCTGAAATCACAAGGTGCTCCGCCGTGAGTCAAACACTTAAACGCCCCCCAATTCCCGCAGCAAGCAGCCGCCCCGTACCGCCCTGCATGGACTCCGCCCTTCTCTCAGCAAATGCTGACAGCGGTCCTCTACTGGTTCAGTGAGGACAGCGTCCCGGAGGGGCCTAGGGTCTAGTCCTGCATCCGAGGAGGAGACTGGGCCACCAGCCCCCACCTGACACGTGACCTCATGACTCGTGTCCCAGTGCAGGCCGCCACAACCCCCCACAGTAGTCTATTTAACGTAAATCTTGGTCTACTGGGATTTTAAGAAAACTGAAAACATTTTACTTTATTCCTAATTTCTTACTCATTAAGTTCTAAAATCATCTGTTTTTGTTTCAGAAAAAGTTGAAATGGCATGTTCTTACCCGTCACAATCAACTATTTCAGGACCTTCAAAGGAAAAGGGATCGGCCTTATCCGGCTCTGACTTCATCTTGTACGTTTTTGTCAGGACTGAATTGGTGAAGTAGTCGTTGGGTTCAAAGTGGAACTCTAATACAAAAGACTAAAAACAGAAACTCAGGTAAGTGCCACTTACAAACCGACAAGCCAGTGAGACTTTACGAACCACGTGGTATGTACCAGAGCCCAGCGCCTCTCTGGGCACGATGCCACGGACAGAAACCGTTACTGAGAAGTTCAACAGGTATGGCCACGTATCAAGAAAAGCTTCTTCATTACAAAAATCAGCAGCACCAAGTTCAAACACAAACGACAGGTGGGGGAATACCTGTCGTACTTCAGCCCGAGCAGCCCCTCTGAGCCCCCTCCCCAGCGGCGTCTAAGCTTGCCTGGGAAACCTTAGCTTCCCTCTGCTGCCCTGGCCTCCCCGCTCGGAGGTGGGGAGGGGGTCTGGACTAGCCGCGGAAACCAGGCAGCAGCGTCCAGCCCTCCCCTCCTTTGGCACATGGGCTCGGGCAGAGCACCGCCTTCCCTGTCACACAAGTGGGCCAGACTCTTGGTGGGGTAGGGTCGGGGGACATCGACTGGGCCTCCTCAAACCACACCCAACACAAGTTCAGCCTTTGTTCGCCAAGCGCCGTGTAATCTGGGGAGCAAAAACGGCCGCAGGATGCGGACAAAGCGGCAGACACAAATCCAGTCAAGGGGCAGCAGGGAGGATCCCTGTTTGCCTCTTACGTGTGTATGAGCAGTGGCAGCACCGGCAAGGGTGCTGGGAAATCAGGCCCACTCGGACTGTAGGCAGCTCTATAAAGGACCATCTAACGATATCAAGAAATTAGAGTAAAACAGAATTCTCTGACCCGGTAACGCTACTCCGAGGTACTCCCGGGCTGGGAAAGCCGCCTGGGTGACGGCGTCACCACTACGTGCAAAGACGCTCACCTCAGCCCTCGCTGAGGGAAGAAAGGAGGACGCCAGTTCAGTAAGTTGCAGAGACTCTACAAGTACCTGCGAGGCCCGCAAGTGCTGTGTGACCGTGGCGAGTCACTCTGCGTCTCTGTGCTACTGCTTCCTCATCTGCGAGGCGGAGGAACAGCCTCTCCCCCTCTCCCCGAGCTGGTTAGAGGACTGACCTCTGGAAGCACTTGGAAAACGGTTTATACAGGCGATGCTTGCTAAATGGTAGTTATTTCAATTTTCGTTACTAGGACACAACTTACCAACTGGGAAAAAATAGATTTAAAAGACTAAAAGCAAACCACTTCCACGGAGGATAAGGGGAAACCACGGCCTGCAGAGCTCGAGGCCCCGGCTTGGCAGAGAGCAGGCACAGCCGCGGCACCCCACGAGAAGCCCCTCTCGGCTCCTGGCCCCAGCCCGAGGGTGGCACCCACCCTGAAGCCGGAAGCGAGTGCTCAGTCAGGGAGGAGGCTGCTAGGAGCCCAGAAGTCTGCAGGCTGCGCCCGCAAGCGTGAACAGGCACCCCAGGGGATGGGGAGGGCTCACGAGCGCCACACAGGGGCTCCGCCTCACCCCCGATGCGGGCGTGGGTCACACTCTTCCTCTTCATCTCCCACTTCCTTTCCCACCAGCTCTCCAGACCGAGCACGTCCTCTCCCTTCTTTCACGCTCTCCTATCTCCTCCTTCCCCAGGGACTCTGTCTGGTCGAGTGTCACACACGACTACGGATGAATCAAGAAAGGGTTCAAGGGGCGTCTGGGGCTGGCGCAGTTGTTGAAGCGTCTGCCTTAAGCGCCTTTAGCTCAGGTCACAACCCCAGCCTCCTGGGATCGAGTCCGGCACTGGACGCCCCACTCAGCCGGAAGCCTGCTTCTCTCTCTGCCCCCGGCCGGCTCATGCTCGCTCGCTCCTATCTGAAACGGAAGGAAGGCAGGGATGGACGGTTCGAATCCAACGGAAACGGGCCCAAAGATGAGGCCGCCTCCATCCCACACCGTCCCCTCTAGCCAGTCAGCCGTAAGCACACAGCGGAGGCCCAACAGTGCCCGTACTTGAGTGTGAACTGAGACCCCGCTCCCGCCTAGCGGGGTACACGTGGCTGCTACCGCCCGTGCCCGCCCTGCCCACGGGCCACTGCTGGCCACTGCAGTCTGGGCAGACGGCACACGGGAACTGCAATACGCTTGAAATTAATTCAAAACGGAGACAAAACCACGATGACTACAAAAAAAACAAAGTGTGAAAAATAGGTAAATGAACATTCTCTGGCCTTATAAATGTTCACCTCCTCTACCCCAGTAAAACTGCACTAAAATGGATCTAAACGGAGGAAATCACCCAAGTTCTAAACAAAGATTTGGGGTCAAGAATGCTGGTGATAATGCAACAACAGCTGAGAACGGGGCGGAGGTGGCAGCGGCGCGTGTGGGCCACGGCAGTCAAGCACTTCCCGGCCTACGGAGGCTACAGTAACCATTTTCCGCCCAGCAGAGCCGGGACAACAGTGTCCACACATGTCACCCCGCTGTGCTGCAGGAGAAGCGTGGAGACCCTGGAGAGGAGCAGAGGTGTGGGCACGGGAGAAGCAAACACACTGGCCCGGATTCATTCGGACGCCGGGTGGTTCGTATTTCTAATTTTACCGTCTAAAATATTTCATGATAATTTTATTTTATTTTTTTTAAAGATTTTATTTATTTATTTGACAGAGAGAGATCACAAGTAGGCAGAGAGGCAGGCAGAGAGAGAGGGGGAAGCAGGCTCCCCGCTGAGCAGAGAGCCCGATGTGGGGCTCGATCCCAGGACTCTGGGATCATGACCTGAGCCGAAAGCAGAGGCTTTAACCCACTGAGCCACCCAGGCGCCCCTATTTCATGATAATTTTAAAAAGACGAAGACTATGGGGAGCCTGACTCCACAGGGGAGACATCTGCTGTCCTTTCCACCTCTCTGTTCTTCTCAGCGCTCCCCAGGCAGCACGCATGACTTCCCGACAGGGCAGGTGCCTGGCCCGTGCTCTACCCAGACTAGGGCCCCGTCTGTCTGTGAGCCACAGTAACAGAGGGAGAAGAGCGTCAGGCTGAGAAAGAAAACAGACCCAGGAAATCACCAAACAGGAGTCTCATAAGAGCAAAGGAAGAAAAGAAAGGACCGATCCAAAGGGGAAAAATTAATAAACGGAGTCCGCACGACCCACAGGTGAGAAAGAAGTGTCAGGAGAGAAAGGATGGAGTCTTCCACAGCGCGCTCCCACCCCCCAGATGCAAGCCCGCGGCCTCTGACTGCCCCACGCGGCCTCCGGGCTGACAGCCCCTGCACCGGCCAACCAAGAGGCCCTGCGATAGCCCCACTAACCAGGTGCAGCAGGAAAGGGGTTCCCCTTGGCCTGGGAACAGGCATCACTCCAGCTCCTGCCCAGGCCCCCACCAGCAGAGGGGAAGCTGAATGTCACCTCCCAGAGTGAGGTCAGCAGGAAAAGTTGAAGGGACACATCCCGTGTGTCCCCCTGTCCCTTGCCTCCAGCAAGACACCTCCGCCAGGACCAGGGAGGGAAATCCCACGAAAGCTGGCCCTCATCTGTGACCTGGAGCTAGTGCTCTGCGATGGGAAGGGAGGAGCCGGACCCCAGGTCCCGGGCCGTGTCCCCAGGGCCTGAAACCGAGAGCCACAAGTCAGTCAGTCACAAGCCCCTGGAGCTCCTGTGGCACCGGAATGGAGCCCGTCAGCCACAGCTAGGCTGGCAGGCCACGAACAGTGCCTCCACGAGGACCCACTCACGCAGGGTGATGGGCCCATTCCCTGGAGGAAAGGAAAGGCTGGCTTCCGTCAGGCCCCTCTCGGCGCAGCAGGTCGTGGGGAAGGGCGCTGTGTGGCAGCCAGAGCAGCACCCGCTGTTCAGGTTTGCCCATCTGCAGCTACGTCTCGGGTCAAAGCCAGGAGACTTTGTTCACGGGCATCTCGGCTTTCTTTTAAGGTGCTGCTCGGAAACCAAACTGAGGGTCAGAAGGGGGGGCGGGGGCGTGGCTGCCAGGTGGCGGGTACTGAGGAGGACACGTGCTGAGATGAGCCCCGAGAGTCACACCCAACCGATGAGCCACTGAACGCTACGTGGACACCGACGATGCGCGTGCATGCGCTCGCTAACTCAACACAGTGAGGACAGATGGACATGAACAGACAGACAAGAGCCAAGGGCCGCTCGGGTCTGAGTGCGCGCCTGCCGCCCTGCTTTACGGACATCAGATCCTCACGAACCTGGGAGATGCTCGGGACAAAGACACCGTCCCCTCTGACACAGAACAAGCCAGCCAAGCGCGGCACATGGCGTGGCAGACACCATGGCCAAGGAGTCCCGTGCTACGTGGACTCCTTCACCTGCCACAGGCAGCCCGTGGCCTGAGCTGCCTGCCAGGATGTGCAGCACTGCTGGAAAAGACCCAGGAAGGCCACGTGAGAACATTCTAGTCCTTGGAGAGCAGCCTGCTCAGGACCAGCCGAGCAGCCTGCAAGCATGTGGCCAGCTGTGCAGCTCCTGCCACGGCTCCGAGCCCCTCACCCCCAGAGCCTGACCTGTTTGATGCCAACCAGGAGCTCCGTCCATCAGCACTCACCATAGGCTGCCCAGGGTCTGAAAACTTCACTTTGATATCCTGCAGGTGCTTCAAGATCGGTTCATCATACTCCTGATTAACAAGGGAAAAGAAGAAATTTCTACTGGGCTTCTCCCGAACAACACACATGTCCCCCCCTGGGGCTCACTAGTGCACGCAGGGGTCAACGGGAAGTCACACACATCTGTGCAACAACAAGCGGTCAGCAACATGGTGCCACTTCTCTCTGGTCCAGAGCATTGGGAACCATCCAGGCCAGGCAGGGAGGGCAAGAGCCCGACTTGTTTTCACACGACCACCTGCTGCCACTGCAAACAGGGATCAACCAGGCCTGCTGGGCCTCACGTCTCTGAAGGAACATCTCGGGTCAGCTTCGGACCCTGTTGGCCAATTTTCTGGTCTCCTGCCCTCACACCTTCCCACTTGTCCATTCACAGGAAGGTGGGGAAGGGTCTCGAGTCTGTTCAAAGGCTTTCTGCGTAAGGTGGCAGGCCTCAGTAAGGTGAGACCACGCCAAGTCGTGGCTCAGCCGCAGAGGGGCAGGCTTCCCAGCAGCACGACAGCGAGACCCCCACCTCAGGAGATGGAGACCACTCAGGTGAGCTGCCGGTCGGTCACACGAAGTGCCTTGCCCCCCACCGCAAACAACCGCTCAAGTCTCGGTTAAGTGGTTCGTAAGTAAACAGTTACCCAGACTAAAAGCTCTCTGTAAGGCAGAAATTTGCTTACCTGGACCAACTCACTTAGCATGTCTACATTTCTAAAGATGGTGAACCAGAACTCTGGAATTCCTTTGGGGTTTGGCTCCTCTGCTGTTGCTGCTTCTTTTTCTGCTATGACTACTTTATTTTTCATGTCTCCCTAAAAAAAATAAAGATGCCAAACAGAACACTTAGCACAAAACAACGCATTTACATTCAGTGGCTTAACACAGAGTGTAAATTTCGGAATCCTGCACAAATGTCAAAAACTGTGTACTCCGGGGGTGCCTGGGTGGCTCAGTGGGTTAAGCCTCTGCCTTCAGCTCAGGTCGTGATCTCAGGGTCCTGGGATCGAGTCCCGCATCGGGCTCTCTGCTCAGCGGGGAAGCTGCTTCCCCCCCCTCTCTGCCTGCTTGTGATCTGTCAAATAAATAAAATCTTTAAACTAAACAAGAAAAACAAAAAAACAAAACTGCGTTCTCCGCACCTGCAAGACCTCCACGCACGTTCCACTTTAAATGTTCCTAGACAATCAGAGTGCTCCCTTCAGAGGTGATTCTGTGACATAATTTTAGAAGACGGTACAATGCCATCAACCTCGGGGAAGGTGTCAAGTGCCACTCTATGCGACGCCCATCCCGGGACAACCAGCCACCCAGCGCCCGCCAGAATCCAGTGCCCTGGCAACAAGGAGCGCCGAGCAGCGTGTCCGTCCGACAGAGAAGAGGAGGCTACAGGCGTCCAGGAAGGAACTGCTCGCCAACACCGGGGGGGGGGGGGGGGGGGGGGGGGGGGGGGGGGGGGAACGGGACTGGACGGGCTACACGGGACATGCAGAAGCGGCTCTTCTAACCTCGGGGCCCCGGGAGCGGGCAGGCCCAGGGAGGTTGGGCACAGCACTAACCGGAGCCACGGCACGTGCAGCCACTCCGTCACGTGGCAGTCTCATGTGAGAACGATCGTAAGGGGCTTTAGAGAGTAACAGAGGCTGATATTTCTTGAGCTACAAGGAAACGATGCCCAACTACGCTCACCCACAGCCACAGCCTCAACTAGGCCAGCTTCTACGGTAGGTTTGAAAGATCAAAGCACCGGTCACTACAACCAACACACACTGCAAAAAAATGCCCTAAGGGGAGCCCCGATGGGTAAAAAAGGACAAAAGCTACTTGTCTTCCCAACAAACTTTGGCGGACCAAGTTACCCTGCAGCGCACTGGGTCTTCCCGCGGCTCCAGAACGGGTCCGAAGGCTGTGAGGCGAGGAGGAGGTCTGAAGCCCAAGGGGCTGGGGGCGCTGCGGCCACCTGGGTCACCGCCCCAGTCCTGGAGGGTGGCGGCCCGGACCCCCACCAAGCCCTCCGCACAACCTGACCCTGCAGGGACTGCCGACACGGGGCCCCTCCCCTTGTGGGACTTCGCTTTTGTCTCGATGGAAGACTTGGCCGACGTTCTCTTTTGGACTCATCCGATCCCACACCCCACTGTCCTGTGGCACGGAGCTGTTTAGACACTGGAGCAGCGGGAGCCTGGGCGGGTCACGGAATTAACGGACACCGGACCCGCCGGCCGCTCCGGGGTCTGATCAGAAAGAAATCGCAGTGGCCGACCTCAGGGCGAAGCGGCCCCCGTCGTCAGGGGTGCCGTCCTCTGTGACGCTGAGACAGACTTCCTACTCCCAGCGCCGCCGCAGCAGCCCCAGCTCGCTCGCAAACACTCACCGCCAACTTATCCTCCTCTTCGCTGTCACTGTGCCACTCTGACTCGGCGTCCGTCGGCTCCACATCCCCGGTGATGAACTCCCTTCTCTGAGTAAGAACGAGACCGTCTTAGAGTCAGGGCGGGTTAGTCAGAAACTCGAGGTCAGTTTGTACATCACGTCTGTGAAAAGCCCGTGAAAACGGACGCTTTTATAACGTAAGATTCCTAGTCTGGGGCTTGAAGGAGAACCGTTCGGGATCCTCCGCCCCGCAACGTGGGGCCCTACGAGAAGGAAGCGCGACGCGGCGCGGGCAGCGCAGAGGGAGCGGCCCACCTTGTCGAAGAGGGGCTGGTACAGGGCGGCGTACTTCCTCTCCAGGTCGTGCACCTCCTCGTAGAACTTGGCTTCGATGTGGGCGCAGCGCACCTGCAGCTGTTTCAGCGCGTTGATCCTCCTCCGGACGGCCTTCGGGAGGCTGCGAGGGCCACGGAAAAGGAAATCACCCTCCCGCCTGCGAAAGAAGGCAGCGCGCCTGTCCGTCTCCTTAAGATAAACTCAGGCTAACAGACAACTCACATCCTCACTGGCAGAAATGAGCCCCTCAACAGCGTTAGAAAGACAAACATCCCAGTAGAAGGGGTTGGGGGGCCCGGCGCGGACAGAGAATCCACAAAAGAAACAAAACAAATCATCAAGCATGGGAAGAAAGCTCAATCCCACAAAATGTCCAGACGCCTGGGTGGCTCAGTTGGTTAAGTGGCTGCCTTTGGCTCAGGTCATGATCCCAGCGTCCTGGGATCGAGTCCCACATCGGGCTCCCTGCTCAGCAGGGAGCCTGCTTCTCTGTCTGTGCACGCGCTCTCTCTCTCTCTCTCTGACAAATAAATAAATAAAATCTTTAAAAGAACTGCTGTCTGTTCCTTACCAAAATGGCAATTAAAGAAACCTCCCGGGTTTGATGAGCCCAAGAAGCCCTCTAACAGCCCCATCCACCTTAAAGACAAAGCAGAACCTCAATGTCCCTTGGGTCCAGTAACTCTCCTTCCAGGAACTTACGCTAAGGAAATACCCAAACACTCGTGTGCTGCTGTGTCCCCTGAGGCATTACTTGTAAAAGTGGGAAACCGAAAACAACGGGACGTTGAACAGGAGTAGAACACAGCCTGTCCAAAATCATGTTTCCAGGCAGTATTCAGCACCGGGTGAAGGGCTCATGTTGCTACACTAAGGGGAAAATCAGACACAACACAGACAAGTAAGTGGGGTCTGTTCCCTTCCACGGTCGGGTAACTGAGATTCTTTGCCTTTTGATATTTCTCGACGTTTTCTTTTCTTTTTTTTCTTTTTTTTAAAGATTTATTTATTTATTTAAAAAATTTTTTAAAGATTTTATTTATTCATTTAACAAAGAAAAAGAGATCACAAGTAGGCAGAGGCAAGGGGTGGGGGAAACAGGCCCCCCCACTGAGCAGAGAGCCTGATGCAGGGTTCAGTCCCAGGACCCTGAGATCGTGACCTGAGCTGAGAGCAAAGGCTTAACCCACTGAGCCACCCAGGCGCCCCTTATTTACTTCAGAGAGAGAGAGAGAAAGGGAGGAGCAGAGGGAGAGGGACAAGCAGACTCCATGCTGAGCACAGAGCCGACACGGGGCTCAATCTTACAACCCTGAAACTGGGACCTGAGCCGAAATCAAGAGTCGGATGATCAACTCAGGCACCCCAGTACGTTTCTATAGTCTAGGAACATTTCTGTTTGTATGCATTACTTTCAACCCCCTTTTAACCCATCAAAACTGAAGCGCTCGGTCACCATCTAGAACAAAGAGATCTCTGGGCCTCATCATAGACCCATACAGGCCTCCTGGGCAGTGTCCACCTGGGCCGAGCCCTCAAGGTGGGGCTAGCAGTAGCTCAAGTCCTCTACCCTTCCTCTGACAACCCACGGAGTCCTAGCTGCTCCGACGCGCAGCACTGTTTGGAATAAACACTGGAACAGCCTTACACTCAAGGACCCTGCCACCCTACCCAGAGCCACCTCCGGGTAAAGGTCCTTTACCAAGACCCCTCAACTACTGTCCCACCTCTAGGACTACTGCGGGCAGGAGAACAAGGAGGAAGCACAGTGAGGACCTAATGAAACGGGAAACACACAGAAACACCACTATTTCTCTTCCGCATTAATCACACGATTATGATTTTCTTTCATCTTTCCTCGTCTTCCTAACAGAGTAAAAACAACAAATGATTTTAAGCAAACTGGACCCTGATATCCTACATCCAGCTGTCCCCCAATCAGTTACAATAACTCCACACTGTCCCCCCCAACAGGCATGTACCATGTAGTTCGTCCAACATGGGACTAGTCCTATTCCGTGAAACCTCGCTCCCAGCCCCGGCGTTCCCTCTGCGTGAAAGCCACCCCACTCGCCCGGAGTCTAGCCAGCAGACTAGAGACCATGATCACCTTCAACTCTTCTCCTCCCTCACAGTACCGCAACCTCGGCCTGCGGAGAATCAGCTGGAAGCCAGCACCCTGCCACCCTGAGCCGGGCCCTAAGGCCCTCTGGCTAGCTAACTCCCCCCCACCCCCGCAACCTCCCACCACAGGCCTGCATCTCTGCCACCTGCCGAGCCCAGGCGCTCCTCTTTGGAGCCCGGTGCCTGCTTCTCAGGACCCAAAATCTGCTCGAGGAAGACGTGTATTCCTATTCTAAGGAACCAGGAAACCGGTCTTTCCCCCTTTGCTTCTTAAGTTGTAGCGAGTCGCATGCACGTCATACTCACGTCTCGATGTAACTGGAAGGAGTGTGGGAGACACTGTCAAGCCGTTCCTGTAAAGCTGCCAGAACTCGAGGATTCTGCATCACCTGATCAGTGAGCTTTTCTATTAAGAGGTAAAAACAAGGCCAGAATATTTAAGATACGCCCAACACAGAACAGCCAAGGGGACAAAACCATCAGCACGGACCTCCCCAGCTTTGACTGTTCACTTTAACTTCTAAATGTAGCAAGTGGCTTCTTAAAAACATGTTCTGAAAATACTAAAATTTTATTTTATTTTTTCTGGATGGGGGGACCAGAGGGCGGGGGGGGGGATTTCAAGCTGACACCCTGCCTAGCACAGAGCCTGAGCTGGGGTTCGATCACGTGACCCTGAAATCACGTCAGCTGAAATAAAGAGTTGGACACTTAACTGACTGAGCCCTCCAGGCGCCCCCTCAAACGTACTCTAAAGGCATCTGACCCATTACCCAGCTGAGCGGGCGGTCAGAAACGCACTGAAGGGCACCCAGGGAGTGAGCTCTGGCTCTTGCTGCAGCTGTTTAAGCCACATACCTCCCAGAGATGCCATTACCTCCCAGTTCAGGGGCCTATCTCCTGCCACCTCCCCTTCTCTCCCCCAGACCTAAGGGGGCCCAGAAGTCAAGGACAGGGACAAGGCAACGATGTCTTCTGAGGGACAGAAGTGGTTACTGGCAGCCCAGCTCACGTCCCAGGAGGTCCTACGTGCACTGGCTCCTGGTGCACCATAAGTGCAAGTTCTGGCCTCCACCCTGAACTACACTGCCCTTCTGCCCAAACCACCCCCTCCACACCGCACTCCCTCACTACCCCCTCCCAAAAATCACTGGCCTCCTCCCCGACACTGTGCTGGTGGCTCACACACATCACTGTTTCCCAACGAACGAACAAAACACTGAAGGGGAAGGGAGGGCTTTTCCTCCACTGTAACCAACAGTGGCATGACACAGCACCGGCCCGTGGCAGAGGGGCTCCGTGTTTGCTGAACTGACGCCTGCTCGTTCCCACTGGCCAGGAACCCTAATTTAGCACCCTCACCTGACTCCAAAGGTGCCTGGGAGCTCTCCCCACCTTTCGGTACTAAAGTCACACGGGCAAGGAAAGGATACCAAGTAGGCAACTCAATTTCAACATTTTAGTTATAAATAGCGGCTACCAGGAAGCACTGGGTGGTTTCATCTATGCAGTTCTGTACACATGCAACGGGGCACGCGTACGATACGTAAACACCCCACCACACACAGACACGCATCTTCTCTAGCTCCTGCCACTGAAAAGCCTAGAAACAGTTAACACTAGCATCTATATTCTGGTTTTTATACATCTCCCCCTACTATAAGGAACAGGGCCCCGTGCAGAAATGGTAGACTCCAGGTCCAGAGCAAGAGTTCCAGGAAAAATGGAGCATCAGAAAGCTACCAGGTGCTCAAAGGTCAAGAGGACAAGGCAAAAGGTCACAGAAGCCAGTCTGAAGAGACCTGCACTGCCACGTGGGACAATCTGCACACCAAAAAGAGTACTGATGGCGCCTGAGGAAACACTGAAGGAGAAAGGGTCTAGAACACTGAAGTAGGGGCTGGGAGAGGGAAAGGCCGTCTCTGACAGCTATAGTACGCAGCCGGACCGCCATACTTAGAAAAGCGCCCTGTGCAAACACCAACGTCATTCCTGATTCCACAAGGATCATTAGCACGACTCGAGGAGAACAGGATGTCCACAGGATGAGCATCAGGTCACTTACTGAAGAGACCCTCGCAATGGGGAAGGCTGCCAGACACAACCTTCCCCAAGTCTGCAATCTCAGGATCCCTGGCCACGACCCCAGTGTGCTCCCCCTGCAGCAGGTCACTGTCACTGTGTGGCAGTCTGAATCTAATGGGAAGAAAACCCCCCGACCCGACCAATCCAGAGCCTGGCCGTTCTCCAAGACAGCCGGCCTGCACAGCCTGCCACTGTGTCACCGCAGGGAAGGGTAAGAGGCGGGAGAACAGCCCCGGAATAAGGGACACCGAACTAGATTCGGGACGCCCCTGCTGGCTGGGGGCTCCGGCTAAAAAGGAGCAGCCGAAAACGGCGGGGCACAGTAACACAGCTCTGTGTTCACACAACTACAGTGTCGTGTAAACGCCGCCATTTCTTGGTTGTGGTCAGCGTTGGGGTTAGAGGCCCTCATCCTAGTTTCTAGGAAATTTACACGAAACTGTTTTAGAAGAAAAGAGTCAAGATACCCGCAACTTGCTTTCAAACAGTTTAAGGGGGAAAAAGGTATAGTTCTAATAAATTTTTAAAAAGAGGAAAAAAGAACACATCTATGAACTGAGGGACAAAATGACAGGGGTCTGGGTTTGCTCCAGGAGGATCAGGGAAGAACAAAGGACACAGATGGAAAAGATCGGTCCCCGGCTGAGCAACGCCGGCCCTGCGCGGCAGCGGGCACAAGGAGGCCCACCGTGCTCGCCAGTCTGCTTCTGGACAGCCCGAAGCTCCTGTCATGGAAGGCTGGACAGGAAGTTCTGTTCACGTGAACGACTCCGACGTCCCGAAACCCCCGAAGCCCAGTGAAGCTTCACGTGGATGACTCGGCCTGTCGCGAGCACTAGCTCAAGAGCGGAGGCCACCCCGCTCTGCGCGCGAACTCTCCCGCGGTGCCCTTCCCCACGGGCCGTGAACTGACCTGTGTGACTTGCATTTTTAGCAGCCTCCAAGGCGTCTGAAGGAACACCGTCTGAAAAACTAAGACCGTACGTACGTATTAGCTATCAAGACGTCCCAAGGAGTACAAGGGCATTTTCCTTGTGCAGCACGTTAAGAGGCAGCGCTACAACTGCACACTTGGACAGAACTACGGACACACGGGTATATCTATGAGGTATGTTTTGGTTATTATAAACAAAATAAAATAAAACCACCTACCACTGAACACACCCCACCGCCACCCCGATGTGCCCCAAAGTTCTAATTTCCAACCCTGGCCAAAGCTGCTTAGTTTTTATTTCTAGTTTCTGTCCCCGAAAACTCTGCGCCCCGCCCTCAAACCGAACCCACTGGCCGACCAACACGCACGCTGCACTGTGGTCAGCGGCCAATGGGATCCAAGAAGAGCTGCCTTACCCAGTTTTCAGGACACAGTGCCCACGGTGGCTCTGGAAGCTCACCACAGAAAGTCGACCAACAATGAAACGTCATGAAAACAGACGCCTGAACATGGCTTCCCTCACCAAAATTACACCACGTCAAACACTACGCAGCACCAAACGCAGCTTTCAGGACGGGTCACGAAACAAAATCTCTCTTTCACTCGACCCCCAGAGGCCAATGATGTGAGGGCGGTGTCCAGCCACTCTCGGACAGCAACGTGGCCACTTCCCACGAAAGGGCTCTCAGTAGCGATGCTTGAGACACTTCCCCTGTGCAAAGCCCCTTCGTCATGGCTCAAACACAGCGGGGGAGGGAAGCCATCCCACCAGAGCTTCTATGACATTTCCTCATGGGTGGCTTGGCTCATGCTCTTCAACTAAAACTTAAGTCCCAATTAGCAAGTTCATCTTGGCTTACCTGTTATCTGCCATCTGAGTGTTTTGATTTCCTACAAATTAAGAGAGTTATAACAATTAACATCGCCAAATATGCACAATCAACTTTCTAGGGTGCTTGTAGCAGTCAGTGGCTGTCTATGGGGGATGAGGGTCCACCAGGAGGAGCAGGAGGGAACTTTCTGGGGTGATGGAAATGTCTAGATCGTAAATGGGCTGTTGGGTTTCTTGGGTATACACACTTGTCAAATTCATCAAAACTGGCACTTAGAGCTATGCATTTCAGTGCATGCATATTTTGCTCAATAAAAACAAATGAACAAACTCTTTTTTTGGTGCTAAAATGACCAGAGTTCAAAGGAATACTAATCAGTTCTAATTTGCCTTCTCTCTCTAATAAGCTTCCGCAACAGGGATATATGTTTATGCTAGGAGGCCAACGATCCCAGAACTCTTCAAAGCATTTACTAGTGCTTCTATTATCTTTCACACTTGAAGTCACAAGCAGATTTTAGTTTTACTATTACTACTATTATTATTTTTTTTTTAAATTTAAGACTTATCTGACAGAGAGTGAGAACAGCACAAGCAGGGGAACAGCAGAGGGAGAGGGAGAAGCAGGCTCCTCGCTGAGCAGGGAGCCCGACGCGGGGTTTGATCCCAAGACCCCGGGACCACGACCTCAGCTGAAGGCGGGCCCCCGAATGACTGAGTCACCCCAGCGCTGTTATTATTTTTCTTAAGTAGGCGCCACACGCCCGGGGTGGAGTTCAGCATGGGGCTTGGACTCATGACCCCGAGATCAAGACCTAAGCTGAGACCAAGAATTGGACGCTTGACCAATGGAGCCACCCAGAAGCCCCAGGATTTTAGAGGTCACTGGTTTTGTGTGTTCTCTTATTCCCACACTGCAGATGACAATGCTACGTACAAACATCTGACACTCGGTACGACCCCACGTTTACAAGACACACACAAGAGTCTCCAAATTAGATGATTTCTTACCTGTAAACATTAAAGTGAAATCATGGACATTTACTCCTTAAAAAGAACTCGTGATGAGTGAAGTCTCAAAACCCTGACGAACGTGACACCGGTCGGAGGTGGGGACGCTCCAGCCTCTCACACGTAGAGCACATGCGTCCCAGTGGCGTCCCGGCGGTGTCCCGAGCGCTGGCCCGGGCTCATGTTCTCAGGTCCCCAAGCAGGACTCGAGCCGTCCACCACAACGTGGAACAACGAAACCCCCGCGTCTAAGGCGAGCAGCTCTGACTGGAATTTACGGTCTGTACCTGTTCCGTTTTTCACTCAACTGCATTTTTCTTTGGCTACTTTGGTTTTTGCTGATACGCCCAGAAGCACAATAGGGAAATGAACGTTCCGCGAGGGGTGGCCGCCTGCCCACCTGCCCCCACACGAGCCCATGGTCAGCGAGGGCTCTAGAGACTCCTTAGCGCTACCCAGCACCTGCGGCTGAGTCCCAAGTCCCCCCAGCAGAACCCAGAATCCTGGGCCCTTCTAGGCGTCTCCCTCAACGCTGACCCCAGCTCCCGCTCCTCTGCGGTTCTCCGCAGGCGTCCGGCCCCAGCCACAGTATCCCCACGCACCCCTTCTGCTGTCCCCCACGCGCCACGGGACAAGTACAAGGCGGGGAAGACTTCAAGAAAACAGCCGACGACAGCAGCCTCAGAGCTGCGGTCCTGGCCTCCTGGTCGCCGGCTGCGGAGCCCCGCTGGCTTCCCCCGAGCACGCACCTCTGTGGCCCAGGCGGCCTGCACACCGATCCGACACTCGCGCAGCGGGAGGACCGCAGCGGCAGGCCTTCCGGGTGAGAGCGCGGGCGGATTCCAGAACCTCCTGCTGACCCGACCCACCTGCCCCGTGGAACAGACGCAGACAGCAGCGCCTGGCGGCCAGACACACACTGCGGCCGGCAAGAGCCTGCTCGGCACAAGCCGCCGTCCCGGCTGGTTCAGCGACAGGCTGCAGTCTTCCCCCCACATCGGCAGCACCCAGCCAAGCCACCCCCGAACCTAACACCTCCTCTACTAGCAAGGGCCCCATGGGACAGGCGCTTTCCCACATCTTCTCCCAAGGTCATCCGGCTGCTAGGACGTGGACCCGAGTTTCCATCACCTACGACAAAGGACACAGACCCAGGCAAGCTTGATGGCCGGCAAGAGAGCGGACTTGGGAAGAGCACAGAACTGGAGTCGGGAGCCACGGGCGAGTCGGCTGAAGGGCCAGGGCGGGCTGCTTTTCTGCACGGAAGGGGCGATCCAGTTAGGAGCCGTGCGGCAAGCGCAACAGCTCCAAGGCGGGAAGAGACTCTCGGTGGTCACTCCCTGGCTGGAGACCGCTTCCATCTTGTCGGTCAAGCGTTCAAGGGCAACCGGTCGGACAGTCCTCTAGTTCGCTGTTTCATACGAGATTCTCCACCTCAAAGCCTTTACTTCCGTTTTAGGTTCAAGTCCTCCCAAATGTCCCCTCTGATCCGTATCTTTCACAGAAGGCCCTGGGGGGCTGGCTTGGTCAGAGGGGTCCGTAGCTGTGAGTGGACGGCGGCCCCCCGAACTGAAGGGACATCCTCCGATGTCTGTCCCTCATAGCAGGGAAACGGCAAGAGGGTATCAGGCCTCACCTGAACAGCCAACAGTCGAGAAATGGGAGAATCCAGTCACGTGTCTCCCACTCGAGCCTCAGAAATCTCGGGAGGGAAAACAACCCTTAGGTTGTGCCTACGTCTCGGAGGACTATACCCACGGTCAAAGGTTCACTTACAGCTACCGGCTGGAAACCCCCCTCGACCAGTTTCCCCAGCCGCCCGCATTTAGTAAGACGGAAGCATCCCAGGTGCCCGGGAACCTGGCTTATCTCAGTTCAGAGTCTGATATTACCGTTTGTTACTTTTCATTCTTGCATCATTTCCTACAATTTGTTAATACAAAAATGGCTTTCCTGCCCTCCCCGCTGTGGAGGGTGAAGGCACAGGACTGTGGATTTGAAGCCCACTTCCGAGACTCTCCAGCTCGGCTGGTCACGCTCAGAAGCTCTAACGGGAGCAGCGACGGCCGTACCATAACCACAGGCTCCGAGTTGTCTTTAGAAGTTCTGCGGCCCAACCCACCAAGGGAACGAGGCTCAGGCAGATCCTCATCTATCGGGGGTACTCGTGGGCACGCACTCAAAGTGCTATCCGTCCCTGTTACCAGGTGCTCTTTTAAGACAGCGGGAGAAAGCCCTAGAATGGACGCAGGGGCACCAGGAGGAAGGGTTTCCTGGTTTCAGCAGGAGTGAAGGCAACAACTTCACAGCATCCTTTCCAGGGCACGGAAAGAACTAATTAGTGTTTTCTAAAGATGGGAGGTCAGGTAGACCCCTCTGCCCAGTTTCTTCCCCTGGAACGAAAAAGACGGCCTCACGATCAAAACACGGTCATTTCCACAAACATGCAGTAAGCGGTGCTTTCAGCACCACAGAAATGGTTATAGGAATGTCTTAAATTTCAATATATTTGGACTAACAAGTGAGTCTGGTGGTTGTGGGGGAGGTTCTAGTGGAGATCTGGGGATCTTCCCAGAAGAAAGCATGTTGAGTTCATTTCCACCCTTTGCTAGATTTTTGAGCAACTGCTCACGAGGCACCACTGAAAGAAAGCACCTCGGCTTCCCGTTCCCAGTACCCTGCACAGAGCTACGGTACCGGACACCTTGTCATCGCTTCGATCCCCGTGCGGAGCATACGATCTTAAGTCCTGCACCGCTGTCGTCACACGCACTACCTGGGAGGCAGCCTTGACTTCTGCTCGTCCTGTCACTGTCTGCGTGACACAGAGAAAGGCCGTGGGCAGACGCACGGACTTGAGTGCGCGTAATCCTCTATGGGGAGGAGCACCCGACGGAAAGCCGTGACGTCTGGTGCCACCCTGCCGGGAGAATGTGTACGGCTTCCTAGGCAGGAGGGGAAGGCCCTGTCATCTCCAGCAGAAAGCTTCTGCCATCCTTCCAGGGGTAACGGCCAGGCCACCAGTCCGGGCGTGCCGTGAGTGCTCACTCCAGGGCAAACCCAGCAATGCGCAGGGTCGGTGGAATCAAACCATGTTTGTGGACTGGGAACAAAGGAGTACGTTACCGGCAAACCAAGGAGTGCCAAGGAGACTAGCAAAGGGACAATTACAACTTTAGACAGCAGGACTCAGTGGTCAGGCAACGCAGAGTCCCACGAAGCGGGAGGTGCTACAGGCCTGACCCCGGTATCCTGGGGAGGCTGACTGCTTCCAATGTCACGTATTTCAGTCTTGAAAATTTTTAGCTTTCAGCTACCAGCTGGGATGTAGGTCCTCCCAGGTTTTGGGGCCTTTTCAGCGGGCACACATGAATCCAGGAGTCTGTCTCTTGCAACCTGGTGGCACTGGGGTTCCTCAGTAACACCTGGCAGGCAGCCTCTCAACAAGGCTGGAGTGCATCTTCACGGAGATGTCTTTCGCAGCAGATGAACTCAACCGGCTGTGAGGTGTGATGTCTGATGTCTCCTGTCTCTCGGGACTTGCTGGGGAAAGACTGTCCTACACTACCACGGCGTGATTACTCTCAATGGATTTAATTAGACCCTTGCAATACTCAAGTCTGTCCCCGTTTTCTAGCTGTGGGTCCAAGGAAGCAGGAGTGGGGTGCGCTGCCATCCGGTAATTACTTCCGAGGAGAGAGTCTGTGCTACTGAGTGGAGCAGACTAGGGTTTCAAGGAAGCAGCAGCGGTTCTTGGGGCCAACCTGTTTAGAGGGTTTCAACTGACTTAGCAAACTGATCTTCACAGTTCTCTGCGTACGGGGGCCAGTCCTGAAGTCCGAGGCTACAGAGCAGAAATATGCAGAACTGGCCACAAGGCCCACACTCGTCTAATGCTCACTGGTCCAGGGATGTGGGTCTCCTGATCACCACGGTACGCCCCCAGTGGGAAAAGTCCTACCTCAAAGGACTTTAAGGAAGAGGCAGTGACCTTTCGACACGGAAATGCTCCAGTCCAATGTGAAAATATGCAAATTACCGCTAGAATGTATTTATATTCGTGAGATGAGGCAAATGTATGAAATTCACCTGCCAGGCCGTGAGTGGTCCTGGGGTGGTGCCAGCCAACTTCCGGGGCTGCACTCAGGTCAGATGAGCAACCAGGTGGGGCTCTCTGTGGCCTTGCTGGTGTTTTCCCACCAATACGACCCCGTAAATGCTATCATTCCTCGGGTGACCAATGGTTTAATTCAGGCACAGTGGCCAATAAGGAAAGCTTTAGAACTTCTGAAGGACCAGCATCTTACTGGGTACAGAGTCCCTCTTCTTTGTGGGACCAACAGCCTTCAGATCTCCAACTCTGCTTCTCTCTTTCACGGGTCAGCTCTGCTCTTCCCTGGTCACTCCTTGGTCCTCGCCGCGGGAGCCATCTTCTGGGCCATAACAGAAGTTTGGTCAACGGCTTTCTTAGGGCAGCACTTCTTATGGGGGCACTGGCGAGGTAGACTCCTTTGGCTTCCACTGAATCAGACTTGCAACAGTTAGGGCTGCTGGGGGCACTATGGCAACCACTAGATTTGGGGCACAGAAGCCATTCTTAATTTCACCTCCACGAGAACTGAGGAAGCCCTGTTGTTTCCCCTAAGATTCTAAGATCATGGGCCTTCCAAAGGTATAAGGACAATCAGGAGCAGCATTTGCTGTCTTGCTTTCAGCTAAAAGGCTCAAGCGAGGGCATCGATTTCAGCTGGTTTGAGCTAAAGTGGCCAAAGGTAAGGGTCGAGCCTCAATAACCTCCAAACTGTTATCACATACCCAGCACGAAACTCACACTTCCACAGCTCAGGTGAGAGTCACCCGTCAACCAGGAAAGATCACTGTGCGTCACGGGGGTTTCTTATAGGGTCAACAGGTGATCTGTGAAAGATAGTCGTGGGGAGTTCCATCAGCAGAAGAGGGAAGAAGGGCAGCAGAGCTAAGACTACTACCGTGAACAAGAGTGATGGGGTGGGGGTCAGTAAGAGGGCTTGACAGGAGGAAAGAGCTTGCTGAAAGGTACTGGGTGGGGCATGACTTCAAGAGAGTCTCAACAGCCCTGACACTGTCAAGAGGGTTGAGGAAGATCCCCTATCCCTTTAGTAGCCTTGACTAAGGGTGGTGGCAAGCAGAGCTCTAAGGCAGGGGGATGTAACCTCAGGCAGTGGACCTAACTGTTGGCCAGAGTAACCTAGGGGTCTGTGATAGCCCCATGTTTTGGGATAAGTTATCTGAGGGCACCTACTTCCTTCTCATCTACGAAAGGGAAAACGTAGCTGATAATCTGGGTGTCTGAGGCTAGGCGGACTTACTACCATCCTTCAAAGTCTTAAAGGAGAAGATATATTGGTCATCCCAAACAACGGGGTCCAGTTTGGTGTTCTTTTGTATGGCACAAAGGGGCTCAGCTATTAAGAGGTTTGGAATCCAACTGTGACCCAAGCCAAGAAAACCCTGTAATTCTGGGGTACAGAAAGTTTAAAATGCCCTGAAGTCTTTCAGGAAGTATTCCCATTCTGAGATTAAGTTATCCTAAATCTTGAACCAGAGGTTTGAACAAATGGTAATTCTTTGTGTCTGTTAATGACTAAGATTTTTAACAGGTGAACAGGTCTTTAGGACAGCAGCCTTGGGAAAGCAAGCAAAGAGCGAAATCCGTTACGTATCTGTGCTGAGATGAAGCCTCTGGAGGAGAGCACGTCATTTAAGTCGGCTGCTGTACCGTGTGGAGAACTCTCAGTAAACCCTCGAGGCAGGACTATCCGCAAATAGTCTTATCCTTCCCAGGTAAAGGCCAAAGGGCCATTACCTTTTTATATATACCGCTATCAAAAGGAATACTAAAAAAATGGACTGCGTAACTTAACTACAGTTTAAAAAGAGAAAAAAGACACCTCCTACAGCACGGCTGGAAACCAACAGTGCGTACGGATTAGACCCAACAGGGTGGGGGAATTACAGTGTTTACTGCCTTAATGCGCCGGACTGAGCTCCATCCCTGGGCACAGAATTTTCATGGGTAAAATAGGGATATTTCAAGGACTGTACAAAGGATGATGAGTCCTTACTGTCTTCTAGGCCTGATGCCCTGGTGAGGCCTCTTTATTACTTACAGGGTACTGATTTACTCTTGGGAGAGATTCTGAAGGGTCGATCTAGATATTAATGGGAGGAACACTATGGATTTGCCTTGCTCCGTGGAGGATTTTGCCCCAGGAATGGGGGTACCAGGTTTAACAGTGGGGACGAGCCCCAAGTTTGGTCTACTTTGGTTTGCAGAGTGCAATAAAGGGGCCGGAACGCTCCTGAGTACTAGACTTGAACTCAAGAACTATCTCCCCTTTGGAAAAGGAAAAAAGACATGCAGTGCATTTCCCCGGGACATCTCAGCCTAGACAGACGTACAGGCGCCAGAGCACTGAAGAGCAGTGACTGGTTGTCTTGCACAGACCCCAGCTTAAAGGCCATGGGCTGAGAGACAGGGCGATGCTGTGGTCTGAGCCCCACCAGCGGCGCATGCATTACTCCGAGGAGGGACAGTGTGATCTGGGGTTGTACACTAACAGAACAGTTCACGTGTTAACTGAAATGCTGAGAAAATTCATCCCCAAACGGGAGAACAGTCACCCCATTCTAAGTAATTCCCCTCCCCCCAGGCTGGGAAATGGTCCTCGTGGGCCCTTGGGGCCCCATCACTGGGGAGGGTTTGGCCACTGCCTCGTCGGGGGGTTGCAACTGCTTGGACTTCAATTTACAGTGACCCTTTTTCCAGCGGGCAGCCTGTCTGCACTAACGGCAGGGTCGTGCAGGACACCACCAGGGTGGACTCAACACCTACGGGAAGCCCGGAATTTTCCTTGAAAACAACTTAAGAGTCATGGATAGCCATGTAACAGTCACAGACAGATTCAGCAGGCTTCTGGGTGCGTGTGGGAATCTTATTCGAGTCCATGGGCTTGGGGAAAGCCCTAGGGACCACTTCATGTAGCCTTTTGGCTACGCTGCGAGCTTGGTTACGTAAAAGGGCTGGTGGCTAGTATGGTTTAAACCCTAGGTTGTTTTCATCCAGCACCGGGCCGGACCTTCTCCAACAAGCACGTGAACTGACAGAGATCGGAGACCAGGCTGGTAAGTCAGGGTTACAATACTGAATTCCTCCACCCGCTATGAGGACCCTCGGTTACCCTGGGGAAGTCCTTAATTATAGCCCTAAGCTCAGCTTCTGTCCATGGGGCATAGGCACTTTGGGGTGGTTTAGCAGCATCCTCAGAAGATCTAGTTTTGAAAGGGAAGGTTTTAATGGGTTAAAGCTGACGAGGTTTCAGCGAAAGGAAAGAAAGGAAGATCAGACAGAGGAGGGGCAAGGAGGCCAAGAGGGATATGGAAGGAGGCGGGGCCGTGCGGGTAGGAGGGAACCTTGGCTGGCACCAAGAAAGAGGCCTCTGACACTTTACTTTTTATCCGTCTTTACTTGTTTATTTGCTTCAGTTTGGAAACAATATTTTGTAAGGCGGCAACTTTAGAATCCTGAACGCTTTCAGAAACCTCCAGATACTAATGAAAGTAACTATTCCACATGAATTCTTTAATTTTGTAGCCATGGTCTTCTAACTCAGTTGGGAGAAAGAAAAGTCTCAAAAGATGAAAGGTTCCCCATAATGGCCATCGGAGCCCTCAGTTACCCTTCTCAGTAAGACTGAGACACACAGGCAAAAACAGGCATATAGAACCGGCCAGGGTTCCTCAAAGGGGGGCACCCTTAGAACATTTAGATGACTGGGATCCCGTTAAAAGGTTAAGAAAAAAGGGGACTGACAAATCCTGAATAAAGTCTGAGAGGTTCAACCAAAAGAAGGGAGAGCTTGATTAACGGAGAGACTCACCAACCTGAAAGTTATGGCAACTCGTGGAAGCAAAGAGCACAAAGGGCTCAAATATGGGTACCTCGCTCGATTCTGGGGGTCGTCGCTCCTCAGGGGCTGGCTCCTTCAGTTCCCACTCCTGACACCATGTAATATTAACCTGAAAGAAAAGAGGTAAACTGAGGCAAGGCCGAGTTACCAGACGTTGAGTTTCTGCAGGAATAGCAGAGGGACTGTGATTCAGGACACGAAAATGCAGCGAGCTACAGAACTACTAAAGGGTCAGGGCAGACCGCTTTTGTGGGAAGAATATAAAAGGGGAAAATCCAGCAAAAATGTCACCCAGTGAGTTCACTGGCTCAAAGATAAGGAGATCCTTGGCGGACGCTCACTAATTGTACAAGAAGTTCCATCTTCTATAAATCCAGCATTTGTGGGAAATCAGTCTCGGTCGTATTTTTCTAAAAGCATGTGAATGAGATTCTCCATTTCACTTCCTTTGGTTCCATTTCAGAATAACATCCTCGCACGTTTCAGATCCAGACCCTCCTGACCTTTCCCTACCACCAACCACTTCACCTCCTGCGGCCGCTTCCACCAGCTTCACTCAAGATGCCTGCTGCCGTCCTTGGGGAAAGATGACCGTCGACAGCCCGGTCAGTCCGGGTCCCGCGTGCAGCACCATTCCCGAGAGCGCCGCTGTTGAGGAAAATGCGAAGTGACAGTGCTCCTCTGAGGCTGTGCGCTGTGCGGCCCCAGGGCCCTGAGCAGCGTCTGGGACCAGAGCTGTCGAGCGAACACGCGCCCCTGCGGGACACAGGCCCGAGAGCTTCACCTTCCGGAAACATGACGCCACTTCGAAGTAACAGACTCCGTTCACATAATGATCCCCTTTATTCCCAACTATGTGAAGCCGTGTGCCATTGAGCACTATTTCTGGTGACACGATGACAAAGCAGTTCAATTAAACCCGACCCAACACTGGCGAAAACAAAGCAAAGTGCTCCATCAAGGACAGCAGGAGAAACACAAAGAGAGTAACGAGAGGACACGAGGGAGGCTGTGTCGGAGGACTGAGCAGCAGCAAACGAGGACTCGACACCTAGAACACAGCGGCCGCACAGTGGCCTGCTTCGGAGGCCCACCCCGCCGTCTCCCAGCTGTGTAACCGGGGTCCGACACCCACACACTAGCCGGGGCCTCCCGAGGGGCTGCTGCGAACACACGAGGACACAGGCCAGGCGCCCAGAGCACTCGGCCCGCTGCAGGCCTCCTCTGGCTTCCACAACCGCGGCGCGCCGACACGCCGACACGCCGGCACGCCGCCTGCTGCTTGGCAGAGACCAGCAAATCCAGGTCCTCTCAACAGTTCTCCCTTCGTACAAGGAAAACCAGTCTAGGGCTGGTGACATTATAGACGAGCGAGAGTTCTACTTGTCAACTTTCACGCCCAGCCGTCCCGACTAGTTCGGATAGAGGGTAACAAGGAACTACGACGTTTGCGGGCCGGAGAAAGACAAACATCCATCTGTTTTAAACGCTGGTACGCTGAAGCCTCAGCTGAAGGTCTGCTTCACCTCGGGGAGATCGTATTAAAATACGAACGGGTCACCAGGCAAAAGAACATAAAAAATATCGAAGAATTCAGTCGTTCAGGTCCCTCCCGGCACTAACAACTGAGTCCACGATTCTAAACTTGGGCTGGCGTCCAAATTTCCACGACTGCATGAATGAATGTTTTACCTTTACTTATGTAAGATACCTCACGACCCTATTTACAGATTTTTAACCCAAACAAAACAATTGTTTCCATGGGGAAAATTTTTAGTTTTTATGACAAATTATCCATATATAACTAAATTCCTAATTTTAAAAAGTCTATAGGGCACCGGGGTGGCTCAGTCAGTTAAGCATCCAACTCTTGACCTCAGCTCAGGTCATGATCTCGGGGTCCTGGGATCGAGCCCCGCATCAGGCTCTCTGCTCAGCAGGGGGCATGCTTCCCCCTCCCCCTTCTCTGCCTGCCTCTCTGCCTACTTGGGATCTCTGTCTGTCAAATAAAATCTTAAAACAAAAAAAAGAAAAAACACACGACAACACTTAGTCTATAGCTACAATAAGCATGTAATTTCAAGCTGGGCCATTTCTAAGACACAAAGAAGGAGTAAGCGGGGGAACGCAGTCGCCCTTCACATAAACAACATCCTCTGCCTTAAATCAAAGGTCCTCAATGTCTTTCCGTGGAATAAGTGAATAACTAAAATTAAATGTAGCCCAATGGCTCTGTAAGACTTTAGAGTCTCATTATAGTCCGCAATTTTTCTTCAGCGAGGGTGGTGTTAACGAGCTGGCTAGCAGAATCATGTGGTGCACATCAAAGTCTGAGGGATGCAGGTCCGATGAAGCGAAGAGGGAGTGGGATCAGCCCTGGCGTGAAGGTCCAAGTCCTCCAGGACTGGATCATGCTTTAGCTTAAGACCACATCAGAAAGGACAAGGGAACCATCTAATCTAAGAAGGTCAGCATACCCCTTGCAAGAAACCCCAGTGTTTCCACTCGGACAACCTGGCTAACACAGGAAGCCCCAGGACGCTGCGGCTCTCGCGGGTACCGCCCTGACCGGCAGATTTCTTACACAGCCCATCATCATGCTCCGGAGCATCAGAAGGTGACTGGGTCGGATTCGATAGGCAAGCAAACGCGTGAAGACACGTCCAACGCAGACAACCAACACTCTTACCTAAGTTTCTCCAGTAAGGGGAGTGTCCTTGCTCACTATGCCTCACTCTCAGCAAAAAGACCGCCCAGGTCCTAAGCTCCTAAAGACAGTCTTGAAGTTGGACTCAAACTGATTTCAACTGGGCATGATAACTGATAATATACGTTTCTCCTTTTCTTTTGGACATTTGTGAAAAGTTTTTTTTTTTTTTTTTTTTTAAAGATTTTATTTATTTGACAGAGACAAAGCAAGCAAGGGAAAACCACCAGGGTGAGTGGGAAAGGAGGAAGACGACTTCGGCTGAGCCGGGAGCTAGACGCAGGGCTCAATCCCGGCACCCTGGGATCACGACCTGAGCCAAAGGCTGTCGCTTCACGGACGGAGTGTCCGTCCGACTCTTGGTTCCGGCACAGGTCACGATCTCATGGGTAGTGAGGTGGAGCGCCAGGTCAGGAGGCAGCTTGAAGATTCTCTGCCTCTGTCCCCCTCCCCGACTTGCGTGGCTGTCGCTCTCTCAAATCAATCTTTAAAACAGTAAGATAAAAAAGCGTGTGTTCGTTGACGGGTGAACGGAGACAAGCAGACAGTGCGGCACTACAGGCAGGCGCTGAGATGCAGGGGATCGGTACCTCTGCACGTGCTTTACTGCTTCGTTACCAGTTCTGAAGGACGGACCGACACCGCACGTCTGCCTCCCACCGAAGAACAAGTCCCACGGGGACAGTGAGCAACCGCCGGAGCCAGCGCAGGACCCAGCGGCCAGACGGTCTGCTTGTCACTCGCAGCTGAGGGGTCCCTGCGTGCCCCTGAGCCGCGTCAGGGTGCCCCCCACACCCGCGTCTCTCCGCGGAGCGTCTGAACCCCCGGAGGAAGTCAGGCGAGCTTGCCAGCCCGAAGGGCCACCAGACAACAGCAAACCAACCGCGTCTTCAGAAGCTGGCAAGACACCAAGCCCTCGGTTCTCCAGAAGAAAATACAAAACTCAGTTCCCTTCCCTGAGCAGACGCTCGGTTTCTCCTCAGGCAGAGAGGCTCCGGCTGCCGCGAGTCCAGGTTCCCCCGTCTTCTCCGCGGCTCACTAGTGCAGACGAAACGAGGCCGCCGTCTCCAAGTTTCCCTCACTCCGGCGTTGCAAAGTCTGGCTGCTCTGAGACGTCCCCTCTCCGCCCCACCTAAAAACCACAACTGGGGCGCGTGGGGGGCTCCGTCGGTTAAGCGTCCCCTTCGGCTCAGGTCACTATCTCGGGGTCCTGAGATGGAGCCCCGCACGCGGCTCCGCACCCGGGACGGCGTCCGCGTGAGATTCCCTCCCTCCCTCCCGCTCTCTCTAAATAAAGTCTTTTCAAAAAGTCACGCCCACCCTAGTCCTCACTCCTCCACCTTTCTTCTCCAGAGCACCTGCCCCAACCTCATCTGTCTCCGTCCCCCGCTACGGACATCACGGAGGCAGGCTCTGCGCTTTGCGCGCCGCGGTGCCCCGGGACCTGGAACCGAGTGCGGCACAGACAAAGGCGCACCGACGCGGCACCGAGAGCTGTTTCCCTACGCAGAGCAGCGGCGGGAAGTTACTCCTTACAGCTGCGCTTCCCGACCTTCGTGCGTGAACGTCTGAGGTGCGCGGTGGACCTCCCCACCCCAAACCTGATGGAAATCGTCTCATCTTCCGCGTAACACTGGACCGCACCGTGCGGACAGAGGTCGCGAGCCCAGAACGGAAGCACGTTTAGTTTCAACAGCCGTGGAGTGCGCCGCTGAGAGGAAACGGAAGGCGACACAGCGGAGACCCAGCAGCACCGGCCACCGCGGGCTCACAGCGGGCTCGCTGCAAAAACACAGCAGCTCGCCGGCCGCGGACTGCTCGTGAAACTAACATTACAGGGCAAAGGACGGCCGCCCCGCCCTCCCGAGAGAGCAGCAGGCAGCCCCCAGCGGCTGTCGCGAACACACTTCTGCCACTGCGGTCCGCTCGACAGTCTGCGCGCTGCCCACTGCCAAGGCTCTGCCATGGGGTAAGGACACGGCCTGGGGACGCGAGGACCTGCCAGCCCAGGAGAGATCACACGACGCAGGGAAGGCCGGCAGACAGCCACGTCCTGCGAGGACCCGTCCCCGGGGCGGAGCGGCCACGCTGCGTGGTCACTACCCTGTGGCGCGGACGCCCAACATGCTTCCTGCTTCGTGAGCGCCTCCGAGGCAGCAGTTCCAGATGGAGCCCTCAGGCCTCCCCACTGCCCCGGCACTCGGCGGCTCCGCCCGTCTCACCGAGCAGGCTCCGGCCCACAGACACCGGAACTACTGTTCCCGGCCAAACGCGGTCAGGTTTTCGGGCAAGACCTCTGGCAGCACAACACAAGCTTCTGGAAACAGTCTTAAACCATTTTAAAACTGCGGACAACAAAGAGGAAGCAAGAAAAAACCTCCGAAACCCAGTAATCCTAAACCCTACCGCGGCCTGATGCCTCCCCAACCGCAGTCACCTCCACCGGACACGACAACGCGACCGGCCGCTGCAGAGGAGACAAGCCCGCGGATGCGCCCCAGCCCTGGCTGCTCAGCACGCACTCACAGCACGGACGTGGGCCGGCGCCAAGGGCTGCCAGAGCCGTCCCTATTCGCTGCGGTAGGAAGTCACACGCGGCACTGACCAGCACGCCGGCTGGGGGTCCTTCCTCCACGCGGGCAGCCAGCGGCCTCACAGGCAAACACGGCCGCACCAGAACAGCACAGAGAGGTCGGTAGTCCGCACGGCAGTGCACAGAGCTGCGAGCCGTGCGCGCGACCCGGGCCACCAGCCCAGCGCACAGGTTCGCTCGGGCCCGCCTGCGAGTGGCTCCAAGCAGGTGAGTCCGCGCGGGCAGGGAGACCGCCTCGCCGACCGCCGCGGCTGCTGTGCACAGACAGTGCCAAGCCCACGCGAGCGCCGGACGCTGCTTTGTGCCCGCTGGGGCAGCACCCGGCCGCGCGGGGCCAGACACGAGTGCTGGGAGGGCGCCGGCCTTCAGCAGGCCAGAAGGGCCCCACGACTCCAGCCACAACCCAAAGCGACGCAGCCGCGGGGTCCCTCTGTCCCCGCAACGTGCCGGGCAGCGGACTCCGCCGCCGGCGCTCCTACTGACCGGCCTCCGCTCCAGCGACCCTCTGAGACCGCGCCGGATCCGCCATCCCAGCCGCGAAAGCAGGAGCCTCCCTCGGCCCGAGCAGTGCGCGGCACCAACTGGGACGCGGAGACCTGCACGCGCCGGCCGCTTCTCCGGCCCGGCCTCCCGCCGCCAGCCGGCTTTGGCCAGGCCCCCGGGACGCCCGCGGCCTCCCGCACCGGCCTCCCACACCGCCGGCTGGAACGGTCCGCAGACTCCACTGCGGGACGCACCCAGCGCTCGGGAGGGCCCCAGAGACCGGAGCGGGACGCGGTGGCCGGGCCCAACCCCTCCCGGGTGGGACCGAGCCGACCCCGCGGAACTTCTTCACCCTCCTCGCGGGCGCGGGAGCGCCGGGCCAGCTTCGCGCGAGCGGCGCCGCCTCGGACGGGCCCTATCACCGGCGGGCCAGCGCCCGGGGCCTCCGAGCGGGGGCCGGGACGGCAGGCACCGGGTCGCACGTGCGAGCCGCGCCCCCCCCTCGGCCGCCCGGCGGCGGTGCACACCCGCAGCCGCACGTCCCGGGGACCCCGCCCCCCACCCCGCAGACGGCGGGTCTCGTCGCCGCCACACGGCCCTCCGCCGGCGCGCAGCAGCGGGCGCGCTCGGGAAAGCGGCCCCGGGCCGTCCGCGGAAACGCACCGACGTGGGCGCCGCCGGCGTCTCCGAGCTGCAGGACACACGCGGGCGCCGGCCCCGCAGGGCGGCTTCCCGCAGGCACAGCCCGGCGCCCCGGAAACAAAGGGGGCCCGCGGCCGCCGCTCCCCTCGGGGTCACGACGCGGGCCGGCCGGGCGGACCGCCACGCGGGAACTAAGCGCCTCCTGACCTTCAGGACCGCGCCGGGGAGGGGGGCGGGGCGGCGGGTCACCCGCGGCCGCCCGCTCCCCGCCGCAGCCCCGCTCCCCGCCGCCGCCCGGGCCTCCCCGCGGGCCTCCCCGCCGGCGCCCCGCCCCTGCGGCCGAGGCCTGCTCCCACGGCGGCCCCGGGCCTCGCGCCCGGCGCTCCAGGCCCCCGCCGCCCCGGCCCCGGGCCCCCGCCCGCCGTCCCAGCGCGCCGTTACCCGGCCGAGCGCCTCGCGTCCGCTCCTCACGCCTGTGGCGGCTGCGGCACTGGCGGCGGCGGTGGCCTCGCTCGCTCCAGAGGCTGCGCCGCCGTGGCCACCAACAACACCGCCTCCCATTGGCCGACGCCCCTGGCCCCGCCCCCTAAAAGCAAGACGGGAGGCGGTTGGGCGGGCTTGGCGCAAGTCGAATACGCTTCGGCGCCGCCGGAGACAACCAATCAGAGGCCGCGGTGGTAAGGGACGTCACGCGGCGTCCCTCGCAGACTCCGGAGCCCTATGCAAATACGGGCGCGTGACGTCTGGGGCGGCGCGCGCCCGCCTTCCTTCCGCCTCTTTAAGGGGCGGAGCGCGCGGAGGACACGCGGAGGGCACCGCGGCCGCCCCGCTCCCGCCTCGCCCTTCCCGCCGGTTCCCGATTCCGCGGTGCTTTTCCAGTCCAGGGCCGTCCCCAGCAACGCGCGCGGGCCCCACGGCCCCCCGGCGTCCCCGCCGCCCGCCCTCCCCGAATCCCGGAGCTGTGGCCCCGGCTTCGCGCGCGGCGCGCTCTCCCCACCCGTGTCGGCGCAGCTCCCGCCCCTCCTGCCCGCGCGAGGCCCAGGCCCCGCCTTGTGGCCGACGGGCCCTGCTCCTTGCTGGGCCGGGCACCCGGTTCGAGCCCTGCGCCCTGGGCCCGGGGTCAGCTCGCGGGGGTGCCCAGACCCTCTCGGCCGGGAGCGTGTGGGGAACGCGGCTCTGCTCTCCCGTGGCCGCCGCCGCGAGGTGCCACAACTCGAGGAGCTGCGGGAGCAGCAGAAACACGTTCCCGTGGTTCTGGAGGCCGGAAGGCAGACGTCCAGGGGTCACGGGGCTGGGCTCCTCGGGAGGACTCCCGGGAAGGGGACTCTTGCCTCTTCTAACTTCTGGGGCCCCTGGGCCGTCTCGGGCTGCAGCCACTTCCCTACCCCCAGGCTCTGTCTCCATCTCCTGTGGCCTCTCCCGTGGCTCCTGTGGCCTCCAGTCACGACATCACAGCTACCACAGGGACCTCATTCCAACTCCATCACAGGGCGGGGATCCTTTCTGCATGTGTCAGGTGCACAGGTACCAGGAGCTGGGGGCTGCCGTTGGGCCCGCGGCGCACACTGAGGTGTGCCCTGCTCGTCTTCCTGGCCTGCCGGCTGTGCAGTGGCAAGCAGCAGTAAAACGGCAGGTGCTACTGGGTCAGACCTCTGGGGCCATATCCTTGACCTTCCCAGTTCTAGCTGGGTGTCCCAGACAGCCTGCGGCTCTGTTTCACCATCTGTCAATCACAGGCATTTGTAGCGATCATATCACAGAGCTGGTGGGGAGCTGGAACGACACTGGGGAGCAGCCAGATGCAGGTGTGGACTGTCCTGATGACCCCACCCTCCCTGGCCAGGGGAGGGGACTAGGTGCCTGAGGTCAAGGGTGGGGGTCTTAGAGCCAGCGCCTGGGCCCGTTCCTTAGACCCTGCTACCTGAGGCTCTCCTAAGAAGTCTGTTCTCTGAGCGGCTTAGCTGGCACCATGCTCCAGATGACGTCTGGGCCCCACAGGCCCTTGTGCTCAGGAGGACCGGGGGCAGCCACTGTGGAGCCTGCGTCCTGAGCCACCCTCTGAGGGGCCAGCACAGCCAGCTCCTAGGTCCATGGTGGGCCCAGACACTGGGGAAAGCAGCCCAGGCCTGTGCATTGTGACTTTGCTCCTGTTACAGATAGATGCATTGACTTAGATGAAGCTTTAGATAGTAGCAAATGTGTTTTTCTGTTAAAGGGACAAGAATGGATGTTGCCAGTGGTTTCCTGGGGTTGCCACAACAAAGTACCCTGAGCTGGGTGGCTTAAACACTGAGAAGTTTTCTCTCCCAGCTCTGGACAGTAGAAGTCTGAAATCTGAGTGTGGGCAGGGCCACACTCCCTCCAGGGATATTAGGGGAGGAACCTTCTTGCCACTTCCAGCTTCTGGGGGCTCCAGGCCTCCCTGGGCTTGTGGCCAGACCCTCCTGTCTCGGCCTGTCACCACGTGGGCTTCTGTGTCTGTGTCTCTCCTTTTCTGATGAAGACACCAGCCATACTGCACGTAGGCACCCCCCAACTCCAGTGTGAGCTCATCCTAACCCAACTAATCATGCCTGCAAAGCCCCTGTTTCCAAATAAGGCACGTTGTAGAACTCCGCCTGGATACTATTCAACCCAGTATAACCTCTGTGCTGGAAACTTGGCGTTTCCCGGGCCAGCTGGTCACCGATCAGGAAGTGGTCCCTGCAGGGAAGTCTGCCTCTGTTTCCCAGTGGGGCAGCTGCTCCTGGCCCTTGAGTTTCTGGAGACTTCACTCTGCATCAGGGCTGAGGGGCTAACCCTGTCCATTGCCCACCTCCACTCAGGGGTCTGTCCTCACCCTTCTAGTCCCTGGGGATCCAGGGTGAGGCACCCAGCCACTCCAACCCCAGCAGCCCTGCAACGGTGGGCTCCCTGTCTCACCACATCGGCTTCAGACCCCAGCTCCCAGCACCTGGGGGCCTGTGTCTGAAGACACCACCCCACTCTGAACCACAGGCTTTGGGGATCTGCTAAGAGGCTTCCCAAGAGCCCCGAATGAAGGTGGGGCCCATTTCAGAACCATGCCCAGAAGGTAGGACCAGATCACCACCTCCGTCCTCAAGACATGTTCATTCTGAACAGCTTCCTTGCCTCCGTCCCAGGCCCTGAGACACACTCAAGCTTTGCTGACCCTAGAGCCTTGTGCAGATGTCTCCTAATTCCTTCTCAGACGCGGTCCTTCCTGATTATCCCCTGGACAGCAGAAGCACCAGCAAATGGAGCTGCTCTGGGCTGGGTTCCTTCCTTACCAGGAAGCTTTACTTGCCACCAGCTAAGGCACCCCTCGTGTCCTTGGCTTGAGGTTATAGCCAGTCCTCCAGCCTGGGGGTCCCCAGGGTGCCCGTCAGCCCCTCCACCCTCCACGCTGTGGACCAACCTGCTGCTAGGCTCTGATGGCACCGCTCTTCTGCTCTCCATACTTCCATAGCTCCCCACCACCCTCCAGTGAACTCAGAATTGGGGCAGTGGGGCAGGCACAGGTTTGTTTCAGAGTCCCCAAGTGATGCTAACTGTAACCAGGCCCGAGAAGGGCTGGGACCAGAACCCCTAGGGGTGTGGGGTTTCCCACGTCTCCCAGAGCCGACTCCGCTCCTGCCCAGCTCTGGGCTGGGCACACCTGACGACAGCCCCCTCACGCAGGTCCTCCGTGGCCTCCAGCCATGGGGACCTCAGGGGTTTGCACTCCAGGGCCCCCGCCCTTCCTGCTCCTTGCTGGCCTCAGCCTCATCGGCCTCGGCCCAGGGGCCTCCCACGTAGACATCTCACCCCATCCCCAGAGGAGGTGCCAGAGACACCGCTGGGACAGCTGCCCCCAGCCCCACCCTCAGCAATGGCCCGGGCAAGGGCAGCCTGACCTCATTGCAGAATAACACTGGAGCTGGCAGCGGGGAGGGGACCAGGCCTCGGGGGCATGTCCATCCACGGGGCAGCGACACCCACACTGCCTTGCAATGGAATGGACGCATGGAGACACCAGGGACCGGAGGCTCTCCTACGGTGTGGACTTCGGATGACCCGCGCTGCCTCTTCCCTGCACAGAGGGGTGTCCCGTGCAGAGCATGTCTGTACGCCTCAGAGCCTCAGAAGGAGAGAGTCTGGGAGACTGTCCCCAAAGCCTTACAGGTTCTCTCTGAGACCGCCTTAGGGGGCTGCTCAGTCTGTCCTGGGAATTTTGGGCATGGTTTTATTTTCAAGCCCATCTCTCTCTCTCTCTCTCTTTTTTTTTTTTAAGATTTTATTTATTTGACAGACAGAGATCACAAGTAGGTAGAGAGGCAGGCAGAGAGAGGGGGGAAGCAGGCTCCCCGCTGAGCAGAGAGCCCGATGCAGGGCTCGATCCCAGGACCCTGAGATCATGACCTGAGCTGAAGGGAGAGGTTTAATCCACTGAGCCACCCAGGCGACCATCCCTGGTATTTTTATACTGGAAACACCAAGTATTTCACTTTGGGGAGAAGCAGGAAGACGAGGCTGGCTCCCAGAGGCTGGGAAGAGGTTTCTTGCACATAGTTGTCAGCAGTGAATTAATTAATTAAACATAAATTAAAAAAATGTCCACCCCATACTGTTCCAGAGGTTTCTTCTGCAGCTTGCAGGGCACTGAGGACTCTCCTCGCCAGTCTACCCAAGGGGACCTGCCGGGGGGTCGTGACTCTGATGGAGGCCGCAGTCGGGCCCTCAATCCCCCAGCCCCCCAGGCTGCCTGGCTCTCCGAGCAGTGAGGGCGGAGGCCAGCCTCCCGCTCACTGGTCCCCATGGAGGCAGGACAGGGCTCCCGTCCCTCACGGAAGACGAGAACATTCCCTGGCAGCTTTAAAGGACGTTTGGTCGTGAGAAGTTCCGCCCAGAAAAACAGAGAGGATGACATCAGGACGGAGGCCCCCACTCGCAGCGTTTCTGGCTGCCGTGGACTGCCCAACAGCCTCCTGCTATGTTTCCCCTTGGGGACACAGGCAGACACAAGTGCCACGGTCACATGGACACAACTAGCAGAATCTCCCTCGTATCATCCCAGACCCCGTCTGCTTGCCAGTTTCCTGACGGTCTCCAGGGCGGTTTGCTCAAACCCAGCAAGGCTCCGGTGGCCTGCGTCTCTGCCATCAGGTCTGCCTCCTACCTCCTGTCCGTCCCCCCGACACGGTGGCCCCTGTGGCCCGGCAGCCCAGGTGCCCACCCCCTGGAAGGGGCCGGTCACTCCCCTGCAGCTCCCCTGCCCAGATCCGGATCTTGTGCTTGTCCCCTTCTGGGGGGCCGGCAGAGCCTGGCGCTGTAGGGTGACGTGCCTACAGCGCACCCCCCCTGCCCCCCATGACCTACAAGCCACCTGCAACGTGACACTTTGCCGTGGTGGAAACAGCCGCTCCTGCCCGCTGTCACCGGGGCATCAGCAGCCGTGGGCAGGCCTGGCCTGGGTCGGGCCGCACTGGGGTCACGGAACGGAGGCTTTCTGCGCCTGCTGTCCTTCCCCTCTCGTTAGTGGGCGCCGCGCGCGAAGTGGGGCAGCTGGAGGCCGAGTACAGCTCCCGTGCCCCGTGGGGGCAGCCTTGACTCTGCCGCTGGCAGGTCACGGAGTCCAAGAAGAGGCGGAGGCAAACCCACCTGCAGCGGGGACAGACGAGTATCTCTTGGTTTCCCTTGCTTCTGGGACGGCATACACCTGCCCGGATTTCAGCAAATCCTTGTTCTCAGGGCTCGCTGTCCCCGGCCTGGTCAGTGGAGGCTCCCGAGACGGTTTATCTTGCAGTAGAGATTCCCGAGATGCTCACTGAAGTGCCCCCCGTGGTGCCGTCGTGCCGGCCAGAGCACAGATCCCCTCCGCCCCGGCCTCACTCCCACGCACCCCCCTCTGCCCCATCCCTCCAGTTCTAGCACGTCAGCAGGGTCGTCAGCAGTGTCGCCGAAGGGCAGCTCTTAGACCATGCACGACGCCCTCCTGATCCCTCCCTTCTGACGCGACCCCCTTGGTCCCTGAGAGCTTCCCTTTGGGGACAGAGGTCTCGGGTGTCCTGGTGCTTCTGCTCTAGGCCCGGAACGGGCCGTTTCTCCAGGGAGCAGGTGGCACTGAGCCCCGAGCCTGGCTCTCCAGGGACTCCCGCAGCCAGGCCTGCCCTCCGTCTACACAGCCAGGAAGCCCAGACTCAGTTCATGTTGTTGGTTCTAATTCATATTTGGGCGTTATTGTGGTTTTCCTTAACTCCTTTGCTTTTACGCTAGCGTCTCTTCTCTGACTTTAACGTCTGGGGGGCTGACATCAGGAGTATTTGCTTCATTCCACAATACAGATTAACAACAACGCCAACATCACTACCAACGACGGGATACCGGAATGAGGTCTGACTCCTCTGCCCTCTTCGGCCTTCGAGGAGCCCACGGCGGACGCAGAGCAAAGCAGCGAGCCTCCCACAGGAGCAGAGGCTGCGGGACGTCGCAGGCCCTCACTCTGTTCTGGAACCTCGCCACCGCATCCCATGGAGCGTGGCGGGTGTCTGGGACCCCCAGCTCGCCAGCAGGATGGCGGCAGTCCCGCTGTCACTTCTAAGGTTAGAGCCAAAAAGGCACCTGGCCGACCAAGAGGCGCCAGAGAGGACAGTGAGGTGATTGTGGTTTCCGGCCACTAAGTTCCGGGGTGATCTGTCGTCCGGCAACAGGTTTCGCTCTGTTTTGGGGCATTGTCATCTTACTGGTTTGTTTGTACGTCGCATGTTTACAGAGCTGAGAAGTCGAGGTCTCAGCTCCAGAGCGGCCCCCCACCCTGTTTCATAAGCACGTGTTCCCCATGTCGGCAGTGCCCCCAAGTCGCACCAGGCGCCTGGGACGGGCTGCTGTCCCATCGGTTCCATAAACGACACTGCGGGGAGTGGACTGTAGGGTTTCCTACTGGGGGGTCACGGGGCCAAGGGCTGAGGGTGCCTACAACCGGACGGTGCCCACATCACCCCTGGGGGGAGGGTGGCTCCGTGCGGCCATCATGGCCTGGTGAGACTCGGACAGCGTGTCCCAACCTGATGATCCAGCACTGGCGCGTCCATCCTCTGCTGCCATGGGGCTGACCTGGCGCCCGGCTTCTGCAGGCTGCTGACTGCTGACTCTGCCCGCAGCCCCGTCAGGCTAGGTGGGCGAGGCTCAGCCACAGCAGGGCGGTGCCCACGCTGGGAGCCGGTGACCAACAGCCACCTGCCATGTGTGCGTGACCTCCCCCCTTATCTCGGTGGGCAGCTGTGCGGAGGTGGGCAGGGCAGGGCCCCTGGGCGGTGGCGCTGCTGCGGGAGACCAAACGCTGTGTTTACTCATCAGGAACAGAGGGGCTGGCCGCATGGCCTTTGTGTGGGGGCCAGCGGGCTCGCCAGCTGGAGCCCGTCTTTCTCTTACTTCAATACCTCCAAATGCACCCACACACCAGAGATTAGCTGATAGCAATCTGCACGGGGGAGAAATTTCTCGGCTGGCTGGAACAGCTCCGCTGACCTGAGCATCGGAGCTGTGACCCGCTGAGCCAGCGGCCCCAGGCAGGTTGCGCGGGCGCTGACCGGGCAGGCCGACAGCACATGGGAAGGCCGGCCTCGCTGTTTGGAAATCTTTATTACCCCGGTCTCGGTGCCAGCGATGGCGTGGGCCTCTCTGCACCGAGTTCCGGGCTCAGGCCCCGGGCACCGCTGTAAACAGGGTCAGAACCCGGGACGCGGTCACTGAGGAATGCGGACAGGAAGTCCTGCCACCGGTGGCTTAGAGCCCAGTCCCCGAGGTTTCACTGGAAGCTTCCGTTTTGCACCATTTGCAAGTACTCCTTGTGGAGCTTCTCCTGGGCCTCAAAGAGCTTCTTCAGCTTCTTGGCTTGCCCTTTGCTCAACTCCTTGCCTTCCATGTCATGTGTGGGCAGACCCTGAGAACGTGGGGAGCACTGGGTCAGCAGGGCACACCTGGCCCCCCTCTCGGAGCCCCTGGGCTCAGCCCTGGGACACAGACTCGCCACACTTTTGCATGGCCCCGTGGCAGCCCCTGTCCTGGCCACTGAGAAGCCAGTGACTGGGCTGGGGGTGGGGGGCACCCTCCTGCCTGGGGCCGAGGCCACTGATCCCCTTTGGGTCAATGTGGCTCAGTTCTGATAGGGCTGTCGCAAAGGAAAGAGGGAAACACACATGTGAACCAGTGCGGGCGGGGGCCAGTACGGATGGGTCTGGGGCCAGTACCCATGCCCCCCACCCCCCGCCACAGCACACCTCTGGCCGGGCTGCGAGGGCAACCTGGGCTCAGTTCAGCCAGGCCACAACTCTGCTCGGCCGCCGTGAGGGAGGGAGGCTGCCTCGGGCACTCAGGGCACCTCCCGCAGATGGCACCCCAAACAGAAAAGCTGCTCGCCCAAGGCTGGAAGTCCCTGTAACCCCGATTCCGTGGTCTAACAGGGTTCTGAAAAGAAAAGAGACTCTTACGTTTTCATCGAACTTGGAGTACTTGTCACTCTCCGACAAGAACATCTCACTGGGTGGGATCTTCATCTTGGCCAGTTTCGCCGCCTGGACACAGAGCCCTGGTCACTGCAGCCCAGCCCGCGCGGGGAAGGCATCACACGCACTCCCCCAGCCCAGCCCTGGGACTGAGAGGGTGACGGAAGACGGGGAGGGTGAGGCCAGGGCAGAGCGGGTCAGAGGGACAGCTGCACACAGTGGGTCCTGCCTAATCCCCACCAACAGTGCGAGGGTCGTCCGTCACCTCCCCAGTGACACTGAGCCCATGGCCGTGGGGGGCAGCTCCCCTGCCAGGCCTCTCCCTCCCCAGGGCCTCCCTGCACTGGTGGGTGCCATGGCGGGGAGGCGCTGCCGGTGGGCACAGGGGGAGCGGGGACCTCGCTGGGCCCGAGAGAGGCACAAAGAGCAGGACCTGGGGTCCGAGTGTCCACTTCCGCCCAGGAAAGCCGGGGCCCCACACAGATGGGGTGTTACCTCTTGTTCCTGTTTCTTCCTGGCGGCCTCCTCCTTCTTCTTCCTCTTCTCTTCTTCAGCCTAGGGGAGCAGCGGGAGCCCCATGAGGCAAATCTGCCCGGGGCCTCCGGGGCCGGGAGGTAGAACAAAGCAAGGCCTGTCCCCCCCCCCCCCATTGCCTTCACCTGGACTCTGACCGGCCTTCCCACGGGGGTTGGGGAGCCCTGGTCATTAGGGCCTCTCGCTCACTCCCCGGGAGACCCTCAGCAGCCCCTGTGGGTGCTGGGCCTGCTCCGGACGTGTGGTAGCAGCGGATGGCATGTGACGGGGTCTGGGGCCCGGTGGACACAAAGGAACAGTGAGGCCCGCTGGGCGGGGGGGCTCGGTCAGGTGTGTGAGCAGGGACAGCATCACAAAGGCCCGGAGCCCACCCCACCTGCAGTCAGGGCAGGGCTGCGGGGGGCGGCCTGGGAGCAGGGACGTGGTGCCGGGTGGCAGCCGAGGGGGGAGGCCCAGGCCCCCAGCTGCGCCACCACGAAGGAGGTACAGGTTTGGGGAGTGCAGTCCCGATACCCTTGTGGACATCCTGGGTTTCCGGACATCCTGGTCAGCAAAGCTGTCAGGTGGGCAGCTGGGTACAGGCTACTGTGGGGCCTGAGCAGAGAATCGTGGGGCCGGGTGAGGTCAGGGCAGGGCCCACACAGTGGGAAGGGGAGTGAAGTCCTGCAAGCAGGAGCCATGGGCTCGGGGGAAGCAGCCGCTGGCGCAGGGGAGGCCTGCAGCGGGCAGAGAGGCGGCTGCTTCCTGCGTGAGGACAGGTTTGTCCCCTGGCGGGAACACTCGGGCAGGGACAGGGGCGGCTACTGCTGGCTGGGACGGGCCCCGCTGGCAGACAGACAGGAGCTGCGGGAAGATACACCGTGGCCCGCGGCCCGTGTGGGAACCCGCCAGGCAGGGCCATCCCCTGCCTCCTTCCTCAGAGACCCGTCTGCCTTTCTGCCCTGCGTGCGGCTACGTGGGCAGAGGGGCCTGGGTGAGGAGCGTGGCAAGCAGTGGCGTTTGTGTCCTCACCCAGCCCGGGGTGGTGGGAAGCACGCCAGCCCCTCGTCGCCTCTGTGGCCAGGCCACCTGGTACGCTGTCCAGGGCGAGGTGAGAGCCCGGCCCTGGGGACGGGCCACTAAGCTGGGGGAGCGAATGGGACAGAAACGGGAGCTGACAGGGCCCTGGCTCCCGGGGACGCCCCACGGTGGTGGGTCTGCCCGCGGCTCAGCGCCAGCGGTCAGACACCTGCCCTGCGCCCGTCTCGTGAACTGAGCTCCTGTGCCCACACGCACCTCCCGCCCGCGTACTCATGCGCCCGGCCCCGCCACTTGCCCCAGCTTCCTGGGCAGACGGAGGTGTGACTGGCAGGTCCTCCTGCAGGGACAAGGGACACCCCGCTTCCACAGATGAAGCTGCGGTCAACATGTCAGCTACATGGTTTCCTAAGAGCTGTCCCCTGACCTCGGGGGCTTGCTTCGTAAAACCAGGGCCTCCCTTGGCAGACAAACCTTGTTCTGTGACCGCCCTGCCCCACAGCCCGTGTCCAGCTAAGCCTCCTTCTGACACCTGCAGATGCTGGGCCCCACACGGGAGCCCTCGCAGGGTAACATGCCCACTGTCTCCCGTTCGTGTCACTGTGCGGCTGCCCCAGCCACTCACCCGTCTCTTCTCCTCTCTCTCCCGCAGCAAGGCCTCTCTGTCCCCCAGCTTGACCACGGTCGGCAGCCCTGAAGAGCCAAGTCCGTGAGGTGGGGCCCAGCCCCCACCCCGTCCACGCGGCCCCCGTGGCCCCTCGCTGCTCATGGGGCTTCCATGTTAACTGGAACGTGGGGTGGCCTTGCCGCTCATGACACAAGGCCCAGAGGTCATAAAATGCGACACGTCACCTGAGTATTAAAATCTAATAATTTCCCGCCCAGCCGTAACCCCCATGATGTCAACAGACACAAGGAGAAACCCGCCGGCAGTCCTGCGAGCTGTTTGCCGAGGAACAGACGAGGCAGGACGGCCAGTGTCCCGGCAAGAACATGCAGCTGGGTCAGGGGTGGGGACACCCAAATGCCCATCAGACTCGGGAGGTGTCCAGGACAGCTAGAGAGAAAACCACAAAGCCGACCCCAGGGGCCACGGGGGTACTGCTCTGGGACTCCTCAGCACAAAAACCCAGGGACCTTCGACCCCGTCCTGCAATTCTTTCAAAACCAGCCCCTGACCCCAGCATCCTTCCCAACCCCCCCCAACCCTCCGTGCCCGCAGTTCCCTACGACGGGCCCCAGACGTAGTCAGCAGGACGCACCTTCGTGATCTTCTAACCGCACGCCGAGCTCGGGCAGGATGTCGTCCCGCAGGGCGTCGCTGAGCTGCAGGACCTCAGGGACTGTGGACGAAGACAGCGGTTCAGTCCAACCAGACACACAGGCAGCACCAGGACGCGCCTACCGTGCGCCTTCCCGCAGGCTCTGGGGGAGCCGAGGCCCAGGCTCCGTGCACACCGCTGACAGTGCACCACCTCGGGACCCCGCTCCGAGGCAGAGCCCGTCTGCAGCCCACACAGCTGCGGGGGATTCCGAGCAGGAAGCCAGGTGGGCAGCGGGTCCAGGGAAATGAGAAAAGGAGCTCAGAACCCCCCAAACCCCCAGTCAACCAGGCAGGTGTCCACCCCCCACAGCCCCGGCCCGGCGATCCAGAAAGGTAGCAGTGTCACACACTCCAGACGCAGGGACCCGAGGCCACACGCACTCTGAGGTCACCCAGAAACCCTGCAAAGGCCCCCTGTGCTCTTCACGCCCTGACAGGACTGCCCGGTGCAGAGAAACACCCAGCATGGACAAGCGTGGCGGCACCTCAGTGCCGACTGGCCAGAACCTGCTGTAGCGCCCCATGCCCCCTCAGCCCCCGCCTCGGGAACTGCACCCCTGCTTCCTCCAAACGTCCTTGGCAAGGCAGCTAGGCCCAGGACCCACAAGTCTCCAGCAAGAGCTGGAACTGGGTCTGGAGGCTGGGGTGAAGCCCGCAGAGGCCAGCATCTGTCACCGACGTGCAAAGTCCATCCACAGGGTAGGGAAGGGCCAGAGGCCAGGGGGATACTGCCGCGAGCATGGGCTCCACTGCGGGCACACAACTCTCCGCCAAGCCTCGGCCACCCCAGCTGTGGCTGGAGTGAGCAGAGGGCCTGAGAAGCCCAGGAGGAGGCGCACAGCCTGGCCATCTCACGGGCTCGTAAGTGACTTTTCCACAAAGATGGCACATGCCGGCAGACAGAGCAGGACGGGATGAAGACAGCACCCATGCGGCCTTCAGGCCTGAACGCAACAGTCCCTGCGGGTCAGATGTGAGGCTGGGAGCCACATGGCAGGGAAAGGCTGTCTGTTTGCCACGGAGAGCCAAGAGCACTCGGAGGCCTCACTCGGACACCCTAGGGTGAGAACCTGCCCTTGGGGAAGCGGACCAGGTGGCAGTAAGAACCGGGGAAGTGGCAGGTGACGTCTGTGCAGCTACAAGGGGCCGTGGGGGGCCACGTGTGGGAGCAGGCTGTGCATGGCGGTCTCCCAAAGCCAGGTCTCAGACCGGCTCACCTCCCGGCTCCCAGAAGGCCGCTTGGCCCGCCGAGACCCCCGAGGGGAAGCCCGTGTGGGAGGCGGGCCATCACAGGGCACGGGGTGGCAGGCCATCTCAGGAAGCTCTGACGGCACCCAAAACCAGGACGTCCGGTGACAGGAGGGCTGACGCCCGGCCTCGTCTCACCGTGGACACACCGCGGGCAGCGTCGGCCACGTCGTCAGCCCTCCCTCGGGCATCCACCTGCACCACAGGCCCAACACAAGTGGTTCTGTGCGCCCCGGCCTCGCGCGATGGGAAACACCCCGCCCGCCGCTGTGCGTCGTCCCTCAGCAGCACTGGCCGGGGCCCACGGGGCCACTCGCTGTGGAAGAGACGAATGAGGAACAGACAGCGACTCACGTGTCCCGGAAGACCTCTGCGCCCTCCCCCACCCCTGAAGCATGGCCATGGCTGGGAAGCTTCACGCTTCCCAACGCTGCTCAAGGAAAAGCCGTCTGTGCCTCCCCAGCCTTCCCAGCCGATGGGATGACGCCCTCCACCCCTGCTCCCTGCCCTCGCCCCGTCCAGAGCGCCCCGCGGGGCAGGAACTGGGCTAAGCTAACGGGAACCATAAGGAAAGTGATCCCGCCGTCACCACCGTCAGCTGACTGTCAGCTGGTGCTGGGTGGCAGGACCCCTAGAGGCCCATCTGTCCTGTGGGCGAGGCTGTGCAAAGCTGAGGACAGTGGCCATCGCCACCACCTGAGACCTGCCCTGTCCACACAGCTCAGAACTGGCCCCGACTGCCTGTCTTTCCAAACCTTTTGATTTCTCTGGGGCTCACTTTCTCCTCCTCCGTCTTCCCAGTCACAAACTGACCAGCCCAGTACACACAATGATAAACTCCCACAGCCCACAAGGACAGGACAAACGACCCCACAAGACACAGGCACAGGGTCCGAAGGGACAGCTCTCCAGACAAGAGGCACTCGTGGCCACGAGGTGCAGGGATGGGACTGCACACCACGTGCGGTCAGGGAAGGACGCAGCAAAGCCCCACAGAGAGGTCCCCTGGGGCGGCAGGACCGACAGCAGTCATTTTCCTACAGCCAGAAATAACAAGCATTTGCGAGGGCGTGGGGGACACAGGGCAGCCCCCGTCCAATACAGTTCGGGGCTTCTTTAGAAAATCACACACATGACTGTCCCACGACCCCCACGGCTCCCCTCCTAGGGACGGCCCTGAACCCTGAACACGGGACTCAGCAGGCACTGGGCATACACGTCCAGAGCCCCACTCCCCCCAACGGCCGCAAGGTGGGAGCTGCCCAAGTGTCCGCCGGCTGTGGCCTGGACACGCGAGACGTGTGCTCGCAGCCAGGGGAACCCTAGCTGCCCCGACAAGGAGCTGGCTATGTATGGTGATAGCATCTGGGATGTGTAGGAAGCCACACGCGGAAAGTCCTGGGCTGCATGGCCGCACAGACATGGGGCGTCCCAACCAGGCCGATCGGCGGGCACAGAAGGCAGGCTGGTGGGCGCCGGGCTGGGGGCCCAGGGGCCACGGCTGTTCCTCTGGATGGCGGAAGGGCTCGCGTGTTTGCATGACACCCTGAACGTACTAAACGCTGACTGACTTGTCCGCTCTCGTGACGGCTGTTCTGGGTTCTCTGCATTTCATCTCAACAGACTCTTTGTTTTTCAAAGGGAAATCTCTGGTCGGACGTTTTTAACGAATTCAGTCAACCGTTCTCAAGCCTAAAGGAGAACGCAGATCTCAACAGCGAAGGCGAAAGCAGGAGCAGAGATGGGGGCTGCCTCCGGGATGGCAGGGAGAAGCAGGAGTACCAGCGTGTGGCCGCGACCACGGGGCAGGGGCCGGGGACAGGGCTGGGTCCCGCTTCACCGACTGCCACGCGCGGCTGGCAGCTACGCTAGGCTGTGCGGTGCGTCTGCCCTGGGACGATCCTGTCTGCGGCTCTGCGCCACCAGGGGGAGAAGCCGAGACGGGGCAGGGCCGTCACACGGGAAGTGGCCCTGGGGGAGGAGGGGCTGTGACCCGGGAGAGCAGGGGCCACCCCGTGCAGCAGGGCACACGCAGGACAAGTGCTCCCAAAGGGGAGACCACAGAGGCAGAGGCACCAGCCTGGGCCCGCCCGTCCAAGGAGAGAAACAGCCCCACAGCTGCTAAGGGTGTGCCCCTGGCCACGTGTGCCACACCAGCACCTCGCGGTCCTGCTGCCCCCAAGAAGCTCCGGCTAGAGCAGGTTCTAGAGAAGGCGCTGGCCCTGTGGTCACTGGCCAGCGAGCAGCAGCTCGGAAGCACTTGGGGCGAACACGGTGAGCAGAGTCCCCGTCGGCACCGCCCTCGCGGGCCAGCACGGCTTGGGGCTCAGGGCTTCCGCAGAGCTCGGGCACCCAGAGGCGTGCGGTCACGGGCAGGGAGTGAGTCTGCCGGGGTGGCTGCTGCTGGCGGGGCTGCAGGCAGGGCCACAGAACAGACTGGGCACTGAACAGGGAGACCCGTCAGGTCACTGCAGGGAGGCCCAGGAGAGGACACAAAAGGCCACAGACTCTGCCTGCGGACAAGCGAATGAGCAAAATGGGATCTAGGTACACGGGAGCACCAGCTAGCCGTGAAGAGGGAGGAAACTCTGAACCAGCCACAACGTGGACGGACCTGGAGGGTATCAGACACTGAGTGACAGAAGCCACTCATGAAAGGACAAGTCCTGCAGGATTCCACATGTGGGAGGTCCTTGGGTGGGGGTCAGTATTCATCCAGAGAGTGGACGGTGGGCCCCGGGGCTGGGGGAGGAACAGCGGTTGGTGTCTCAGGGGGACAGAGAGTGGACGGTGGGTGCCGGGGGAGGGATGGGGGGGTCACTTTCATGGGAATCTCCATCTGGGTCAGTGGAAAGTTCTGGAGACGGATGGTGGGCGCGGCCTCACAACAGTGTGAACGAGCTTAGTGCCCTGAGCTGCACACTTGCTCACGATTAGACGACACATTTTATACATTAACATACGTTTTACCAAAAATGAAACAAATCCGGGGAGAGGGGCATCTGGCCGCACCCGCATCCTGGCTCTTCTCACATCTTCCCAAATTCCCAAGCCTCTCCTGGCCAAAACCCCCCGGCATGCATCCTTCCCAGGCAGGGCTGAGCTCGAGGTGACACAACGGTGGGCATCGGGGAAATGGCATTGTACCCACCTGCCAGGCGAGCCCCAGGTCCCGGGGACCTACTCTGCGTGTCTCACTGTCTCCATGACCAGCCCAGGGTCCCGGGCCAGCCCAGGACAAAGACTCACACAGCCGGTGCTGCTGTGGGGCGGGAGCCGTCGCCAGCCCAGAATGCTGTCCTTGTCTGTGCAGCCCAAGGGGCATGGGCCCCGGGTCTCTGGCTCTCAGAAGGCACCCTATTTGCAGGGCCCCAGGTCTGTGGCTCCTGAGCCACAGGCTCAGGCAGGATGACCTCATTCCACCCGGTCCTCAGGGCAGGAGAGCACTGTAGGAGGCCAAGGCACACACAGCACAGTCACAACTACCACCATCCCGACTCGGGAATCTGGGCTCTCTGTTTGCCTGAGCAACAAACAGATCAAAGCAGAAAGAAAAAGCAAGCCGAAGAGATGCAGAACCAAAGTAGTCCCCAAGCCCGTCGATGGGCACTGCTCCGAGGGCCTGTGCAAGCCCCCGGCGCGGTCTGCCTGGCCGTGCAGAGCCTCCGATGGCCCTCGTTCGCCAGCACCTGCCAGGAAGGACGTTGTGCCGCAGGGGGACATTCAGAAAGAGGAGCCCGGGCGTCCCCCAGACTGAGACGTCAGTGCCGTCAGCATGGCTGGCCGAGGCGGCACGGGGCCGGCAGAGTCCGTCAGGCTTTCGCAAGTGCTTTACAAGAGTGAGGGTGCCAGGTGCTGGAGAGAGGGGGCCATGCTTGTTCAACCAGTCCCCACGCCCAGGCCTGAAGACCCCGTCAGACCCAGGCTCCCCGTGGGGGCCCAAGGCCTTGGGGCCCTCCTGCCCTCTTGCTCTGCGCTCCCCGGGACAGACCCCGGCCTGCTCTTTTGTCTCTAAGCTGCAGCTCCCCCCAGAGGCTCCCCGAGCGCCCCACGGGCCCTCTGCACGCACCACCCTCAGGACAGCCTGCCCAGGAGGTCGGGCAGGGAGCACGGCACAGTAGGGGACACGTGGTATCTGTAGCAAGTGACTCCCTCGTGCCCCTCCCTGGCAAGGCTTGAGCTCTGGCGCGGTGCTGCCCCCGTGGGAGGCCGGGCCGCGTGTGCACGAGGAGCGTAGAGGAGCGGACCCGGCCTGTTCCGGGCTCAGCACACCCCGTGGCCACGCACAGGGCGCAGACCGAGATGTGCACTCCCGCCTGCCGGCGCTCGGCAGTCTGGCTCACGGCCCGTCCAAACCAGCCTGCGACGACGTGGCACTCTCCAAGTCCCCAGGGACATGCGACAGTGACCCACCTCAGGAATGCCGGCGACGCCGGGCAGAACAACAGTGGGGGCAGCACGGCTCCCCCAGCTCCCCGTGCTCACTTCTGGAAACAAGAACAGGCCCATGGGTGCACCGAGAGTGGAAATGAGCCCCGCGGGGACGGAGGGCAGGGGTCCCCGAGGGGCCTCATTCTGCCTTTCCGAATAGCACAGGCCAAGAAACCCCACCTCTCACACGTGTCCTCGGCCCCACGCAGCTGCCCTGCCCCGCGGGGGACACCAGTGTTGACAGACATGGTGGCTGTCGTGATGCGGGGGGCGGGGGCTGCAGGTGTCGTGCCCCAGGTCAGGCGCCACTAGCACCCGCCGGCACCCAGGGCAGCCCCACGCACAGAGGGTCCGAGGGTGAGAAGCCCCAAGGAGGAAGCGCCTCACCTTTCTGCTCCCGGGCGATCCTGCGCACGCCTTCTCTGAACTCGGACAACACCTGCAGGTAGGGCAGGACTGTGGCCTCCAGCTGCGGGAAGAACAGGTGCGCTCAGAGAGAAGCTCGGCCTGTGTTTACGGACAGGGCTCCGCGGGCGCGGCAGGGCGGGGCGGGGGTGGCGCTGCCCCAGAGCTGGGACACGCTCCCCGCTCAACACTCGGTCCCCGCGTGGACGACGTGGGCCAGAGACAGGAGGCAGCTCCCCACCCCCGGCCCAGACGGACAGGTTCTGCAGGGCGCTCTGTGCACCTGCCCACAGGTGCGGTTTTGCCTCTGGTCAGACCGACTGTTACAAAAAGCCCATCTCTACAGTTAAACAGTTCAACGCGGGGGTCTGTCAGGTGGCCGCCTTCTGGGAGGCTGAGGCCATCCCTCTTGGGCTGGGAGCGGAGGCTGGCACCAGGAGCCGGGCCAAGCCTGTGTCTGACCTATGGCCACGCACACGCTTGCGCAAGAGGAAGCAGAGTCCCCAGAACCGTCGCCATCCACGCACAGGTTCGCACCGGCCACGTCCACACCCGGCCGCAGTTAACCATCTGCACTGACCCAGAGACGGCCCAGGACCACGAACCCGATGAAGGGAAAGCCAAGGACGGCAGAATCCAAACTGGAGAAACGATGATTTTATAAAATCTTTCCTTTCCAACTTCCCTAATTTTTGCGGCAGGATTTTAAGCAAAGTCTCTCCCTGCCTCCTACTTCAGTCCTCCGGTGGCTCAGTCACAAGAGTAATAACCAGTGCACACAGGAGCCAGCTAGGCTGGCGAGTGACCTGGCTTCTTGCGGCCCAATCCTGCACCTGGGGCTGGGGCGCCGCGGTTGTGCAGGGGGACCGGGCATGGGGTTTTGCCCTTTACCTCCACCAGGCTCCAAGACCGCCGTGGTGAGCCTCAGCACAGGGGGATGGAGGCCTCAGCCAGCGTGCTGTGAGGTCTGCCTGGAGGAGGAGTGCCCCAAAGGGCCAGCCTCCCGGCTGCTTATTCCCACACACGGCTTTCAAAGGGTCCACTGAGGCCATGTAGAAAGGCCTCCACACAACCACTGCATTAAAAGCCTTGTTTTTAAGCTTGAGAGCAGACTGTCGTTAGCGTAGCAAGTGTTTTCTTTCTTTTTTTCTAAGAAGCAGAACACCTGGTGTCACTTGTACAAGACAGCGCAGCAGCTCCGCAGGTTTCCTTTCCGAGAAGCGCGGAGGAAGGTTAGTGCCTTTAGACCAACCAGCTCGACGGCTAGTGGGGCCCCAGGGATGTGGCCCGGAGCTCGGGCAGGGCTTCTCCCTAACAGGAGCTGGTTCCTCGTCGGAAGCCAGTTCCTGGGGAACCACTGTACGCTCCCTCTGCAGATCTTCACGCTAGCCACCGTCCAGAATCAGAATTCTAAAAAAGGTTTGTCTTTTTACTTTGTCCTTGCTTCCTGTTGTTCTTTAAATAAATTACGTCTAAACAGCTACGCAGACCTTCTCATCGAATCACTGAGGACCAGGCCTGAGGAGTGTCTGAGGTGAGTCTGAGCGAGCACGTGCCACGAGGGAGGGTCAGCGGAAACCGCAAGTCCCAGGCGACACTGCCCTCTACTGAGGACCTTTCTCCCTACTGGACGCACCGGTCGGCATGCTGCCTGAATCCACACGTGCGGGGACGTGAGCCCACGGGAACCACGTGGCTGCAGCGCCATCCAAGTCGGTCCCACCACGCCTGCTGTGCTGGGACCGAGCTCACAGACAGCACACGGCAGCCCCCACCATCAGCCAGGGGGCGAGGCTGAGCATGCACATGCGGGACAACGTTCAGTTCGATTCCGCAGCCACGTCCAGGCGAGCCCCGGGGCTCAGTCCGGAAGGTCCGGTGCAGCAGGTGGGACCTAACGTGGGCCTCCCAATGTCCCCAGGGTTGGTGCAGGAGGGGAACGAGGATGGGAAGGGAGCAGGCGTGGGAGGCAGGACGGTGCTCCTCGACACGGGCACCGTTTCCCAGGGGTGGGGTGGCCCCCAGAGAGGAAGCTTCTCTGTGCCCAGGGGTGTTCTACTCACATCTAGGCTGGTTCCAGGTCCTCCTACTGGGAACCCCAGGGTGCTTTCTTCTTCAATGGCCCCGAAGATCTACAAAGAGAAACAGACATGCCAGAGTGTGTCGGGAGGTCCTGAGAGGGGCCCACGGAGACCAGACACCAGGGCCCACGCCGCCCGAGGCCTCCACGGTCCTGGCCAAGGCCTGCTGCCTGTGCACACGCAGCCTAGCAAGAGCCGCAGGGGTCTGCAGCTCGAGGGCCGCCTACCTTCAGCATGTGGGTGAGGTAGAGGGCGATGCGTTCCAGCAGTGCCCGGTTGGGCCTCCTCCGGGCAGCCTTCCGGGCCGCCATGTACAGGTTGCACTGGCTGACCAGAGCCCTCATTTCTTCCAAGACCGTGCGCGTGTCGACGTTGTCACACAGGGCTTCGTGAACTGCCGCCTTCTTGCCGTAAAAGCTGAGTGAGAGGACCGGGCGCGTCAGCCGGTGACACAGTGCACGTGCATGCGCGTGTCCGGCGGCCGGGTCGGGGTCCCCGCGGGCGCGGCAGGCCCTGGGCGTGGTCTGCACATGGGGAGCCGCGGTGCCGGGCGGCCTCCCCGCCAGTGGGCCTGCCACGCTCGCAGGCCGGAGAGGCATCTCCTACCTCCTGTTCAGCTCCAATTCTTCGTCTTCCCACTTCTCAAACCCACCAGTCACGTCCACGGGAGCTCGGAGGACGCCTTTCACGTTTAGGAAAAACTCCTGAAGTCAGAAGATCTGGATTAACGGCCATAAAAGAGTTTTCTGCCCCAGAGGCGTCTGAGAGAGTTTCCGTGGCGAAGCGCATCTCCGTCACGTGTCACCAGAGAAACCACAGCGCCGACACCGCACCAGCGGCCGGTTCTGCTTGGGACAGCGGCTCTGCCTGGGACAGCGGCTCTGCCTGGGACAGCGGCTCTGCCTGGGACTGCGGCTCTGCCTGGGACAGCGGCTCTGCCTGGGACTGCGGCTCTGCCTGGGACAGCGGCTCTGCCTGGGACTGCGGCTCTGCCTGGGACTGCGGCTCTGCCTGGGACTGCGGCTCTGCCTGGGACTGCGGCTCTGCCTGGGACAGCGGCTCTGCCTGGGACTGCGGCTCTGCCCGGGACTGCGGCTCTGCCTGGGACAGCGGCTCTGCCCGGGACTGCGGCTCTGCTGGCAGGTGTGCAGGAAACGCGCCCCACAGGCAGAAGAGGACGTGGGCGCATGACTCTAGCAGGTCAGCGGGGCTTCGGGATTGGGGAGCCAGGCCGGTTGCCCTCTCAGCACGGGGCGCCATCCCGCGTGCCGGTGAGTGGGCACGGGAGCAGGAAGGACCCCGCCGGGGCCGAGCAGAGTGGGAGGGGGGCTTACGTTCAGGAACCTCTCGTACTGCAGTGCCGACTCCATGGTGTTGCTCGAGTAGTCCAGCGTGTCCCTCCAGGAGTGCATGAGAAAGGCCAGCCGCAGCTGCCGCGCTGGGAGGGGGACAGCACCGAGGGTCGGCCACTGCCAGGGCACCTCCCAGCAACAGGGCACTCGTGCCTCGGGGGCGGGGCTCGGGCCTCGGGGGCGGGGCTCGGGCCTCGGGGGCGGGGCTCGGGCCTCCGGGGCGGGGCTCAGACGTTGGGGGAGGGGCTCAGGCCTACCAGAGTGCTTCTTCAAGGCGTCTTTGATGGTGATGAAGTTCTTGAGCGACTTGGACATCTTGCAGCCCGCGATGGTCAGGTGACCCGTGTGCAAAAAGTAGCGGACCCAGCAGTCATTCTCGAAGTAGGCCTGCTCGGGAAGGGGCAGAGGGGGCGGGGTCGGGGCGCTCTGCGGGCACTCGGTTCACGCGGTGGATGCACGAGAGGGGGCTGCCTCTTCGAGCTGGGGCTCGGGGGTGGCCCTGGACCAGCCAGCCGAGCGGCAACGACCGGTTCCAATCCAGACCAGTCTGTTGCCAGCGCTCAGGCTGTTTGTGCAGGAAATCAGACCCAACAAGGGTTCAGATCCCAGCAGAGAGCCCCTGATGTGGGCGTAAGGCTGTGCCCAGCTCCTGGCTGGCTGCGGCCCTGGCTGCTTCCACCACTGTGGGGATCTCAAGACACCCCCCCCCCCCCGCCCCACCACGCCACCAGAGGGCACAGCGGCCCCAGCCCCTGCCTACCTCCGACTGGGCCAGCTCGTTGTCGTGGTGGGGGAACCGGAGGTCGAAGCCCCCTCCGTGAATGTCCATCGAGGCCCCCAGGAGCGCACTCGCCATGGCAGAGCATTCGATGTGCCATCCCGGACGCCCCTGCAGAGCCAGACGACCCTGTGACCGGCCACTCTCAGCCCAGGCCTTCAAGTTTCCTGCACTCCTGACCCTCAAAACCCCTGAGCCTTACCGGAACAGACGTTATGCTCTGCACATGAACACTCAGGGAGCCCCTGCTGTCCGGGTCCCAGCCACGTTACTCTCAGAACTGCCCAGGTCTGGACCAGACACAGGTGCCCGCACCCCATTCCCTGGCTCTGGGCCGCCGGGACCACTGTCACGGGGACATCAGAGCATGGACTAGCCTCCAGTCTGAGGCCACAAGGACACGGGGGCATCGGAGGCAGTCTGTCCACCTGCTCCCTAGGTGCACCGGGCAGAGTCCCAGAAGGGAAGTCATGTGCCCAAAGGCTCACAAGGCTCTGTGGTGTGCGGGCCGCCAGCACAGGGCAGACAGGCACCACAGCAGTGAGGGCGCCCACCCCTGCCACCCACACCTTCCCGGGAGCATACCTTTCCCCAGGGGCACGGCCAGGATGGCTCGCCTGGCTTGGAGGCTTTCCACAGGGCGAAGTCATTAGGGGACCGCTTCTCACTCAGACGGTCTGCCGAGATGCTCAGGTCACCTGCAGACACGAGGAAGCGGGTCACCCAGTGCTGCCTGTCCGGACCCAGCGGGTCACCCGGACCTGCCTGCAGGACTCTGCCGGACAGAGCCATGTCACTGCAAGGCCACGTCTGGGGGTTACTAGCTGGTGCTCTGAATTCCTCATTTGCTTGGTCAGCACACAGCTTCACCTCGACCAGATGTCGGTGCTGCCCCAGCCCGGGAAGCTCCCATTCCCCAGGGCCTGAACCACACCCGCCGCTGGTCCCTCAGCCGCCCCTCTCCCCGCCCACCCCTCACAGCCACGGTCTGGGTCTAAGGTAAGTCACAGCGCTCGGGTCGGAGGAGTGAGGCCATGGTCTGGTGGCAGCTCTCGCGGGGGGAGTCTCGAGCTGACAGCCTGCACGGCTCCCAGGGTCTGAGGACCAGCAGGTCTTGCTGGGTGTGGCCCCTTGGCCCCAGAGGTGGCAATTAGGACACCCCTGCTCCTCCTGGGCAAGTTCGGGTCCCGGATGAAGACCCCGGAAGGCAGACAGGGCCAGCTGGGGCTGGGCCAGCCTGTGTTGGGCGGGAGTGAGGGGAAAGCATCAGCACAGGTGACGGGACCACACGTAGGACCTGTGCAGCGCACTGGCGGCCAAGGCAGCGAACCCCGCCATTAGTCCCCTTCAGGCAGCCACCGGGTGAGTGTGGGCAGCGCCAGGGCCTTCAGTGGGTTCCTGGAGTGTGGCCTCAGTGCTGCCTTTCGCTGGGTGCTGTCTTCCCCTCGCAGACAGCTCTGGAACAGGAACGGCGGACTTGGCCCAGTGTCCAGGGCCGCAAAGGCCCGAACTCAATGACAGCCACCTTTCGAGTGCAGAGTCGGGCCACGGAGAAGGCGCCCCGGCAGCAGTCGGAGGGAGGGCACCCAGGGTGTCTGCACCACAGACCTGATGGCTGCAACACGGGCACTCTGAGTGGGACACGCGGAAGATACGAGGAAGAGCCAGTAAAAATGGCATGATCGGGGGCACCTGGGTGGCTCAGTGGGTTAAGCCTCTGCCTTCGGCTTGGGTCATGATCTCAGGGTCCTGGGATCGAGCCCCGCATCGGGCTCTCTGCTCAGCAGGGGGCCTGCTTCCTCCTCTCTCTGCCTGGCTCTCTGCCTGCTTGTGATCTCTGTTTGTCACATAAATAGATAAAATCTTAAAAAAAAAAAAAAAAGGCACAATCACAAAGAGATTCTCGCTGTTGGCCTTTCGGTGTCCTACCCAGACCAACCCAGCAGCAGGACAGACTCCACCGTCGCTGCCTCTGCCTCTCTCGGAGGAGGTCACCGCGTCGCACCTGTGACAAGGTCTCATGTGGTGCGATGAAGTTCCTTTAGCCGCTGTGTGGCCAATGACACATTTAAGCTTCTGACTTCCATTATTATGTACACAGTTACTCGTGACACACATGACTTTTGAAATTTTGTTTTGAGAAAATCTGGGACTGCAAAGAGGACCCTCTTCCACAGGTGGCCCGTGTCCCACTCTTCAACAAAGTCGCCTTGGCAAAGTACTTGCTATTTGCTCAAAGTTCTTTAAGACGCATCACACAATTGCTTCTGCTCCCCCAGTGTCACTTCTCGTCTCCCTCCCCAGAGGTGACCCCGTGACCCCACACACATCAGGAGCCCTGAGACGGCTCCAGGCCCCGTCTCTACCAGAGTCCCCACACCCCAGCGTCCCTGCAGTTGAGGGGCTCGTGCTGGAGGTCACAACGCCCCAGAAGTGGGACTGTCCCCAAAGGAAGGCATGTTCGTCTCCTGTGTGTTTGCTGTTGGATTCTGCTACCCGTCCCTGGACCACGAAGCGATTTTAAAGTCAGTCTGGAAGAAAAAAGGCGCAAGCACAAGCAATATTTAAGAACTCCAAGGGCCCGGCTGGCGTCGCTGGAAGAGCAGGACGCGGTCTCGGGCCGGGAGCCTGAGCCGCACGCTGGACGCACAGGTCACTTAAAACAGAAGAACAAGAACCCGGCAGCGGCCAGATGGCGAGGACTGCTGGCCAGCCGCACGCGCGTTCCGGTCTCTGGCGCCCTCCCTCCTGCCGCGGCCCCGGCGCCCGCCGCCTGCAGTCTGAGCTCCGCCCTCCGTGCGGCCCGCTGTCCCTGTGCGGCCGCGTCCCGTGTGGCTCTGTCCAGGCGTCTCCACGAATCGTCGGGGTTCACGCGTCAGGCTTGTCACACGTTCTCCCACTGGGTTCATCTCTGCCCAGAACCGGCGGCTGGCGTCTTGCGTTATTTCCATTCCATTCCTCTTCGATCTCCTCTCCTGCTCTCTCGGCTGCTCCTCCCGGAGCTTCCTGGCCACGCACCCCCCGCGCCTTCCGTCTTCGCTCTTTCACTGCGAGTCCCAAGCCCCCAGCTGCCCTAAGTGACGGGTTGTGCCCCTGCTGCTGCGTGGCGTCCCCGCGGTGTCGCTCAGGACTGTGATGGTTGACGGGTCGGTCCCCCGTCCATGCCCCGTAGGTGCTGGTACCTGGCTCAGCTCAGTGTGTCAGGGGCAGATGACGCTGGGGAACCACGGAGACTTGCTCTGCGCCCGGCGTGTGTCCTGCGTGAGCGTAAAGGACGGGCCCTGCCCTTATTCATGCTGTCGAGTCCAGATCTGCTACGCAAAGCCCTGCTCCCTGTGTACCCTAATCCTGCGGGTTGAGACCCTTAGCCTGCCTGAGCCACCAGCCTGCGGGCCATGTGCACCGCCTCCCCTCACGGACACGGTGTTTCTCCCCCCCAGGGACGGCCACATGGGGGCCACCAAACGCCTCCTTTACTCTGACAAGCCTTTAGCCTTGGATGCCCCAGGGTCTGGTACCAACGCCACCCAACCCTCTTGGCCTATTGCTTCTCCGCATTTCCATGCCGTGCTGTGTGAGGTTCTGATGCCTCCCTACAGAGTCCCAGAGGGGAAAGTACTTCCTCAAAAAGTACGAACGTTTTTATGGGCAAACTGCCTTCCAGAAACACAGGGGGTAAACAGCATGTGCCCCAGGCGTGTGCGAGCCTTCCCTGTACCCCCGGACTGCAGCTTCTGAGGTCTGGCCCAGAGTTCCCTAGGGCGTAAGGGTGGAGGGACACTGTAAAGACAAACCTTATTTGGCCTGGTCCTGAAAAAGCCTCGTGCCTACATTCAATACAGGTGACCCTTTTTGAACAGTGCCAGGCAGGGGGCTGGGGAGGTTGACCCCCCACGACCGGAGCCAGGAACAGCTCCCCCGCTGGCCAGAGCACCCCGCGACGGCACAACAGCACAGAGACACACACCGTGCACAGGACACGTCACACACGCTGTTGGGACCAGAACGTGAGCTAGAGAAGAGGTCATGGAGAAAACTGGAAGGAACCCATGGGCAGTACCGAGCTGCACTCACAGGGAGTCACCTGTACGCGGTTTAAACCGGTGTCACTCAAGGGTCAGCTGCACCGGGCCCATGATGAGCACTGGGGCTGCGGGAGATGCGCGTCCCTCGGTGGGACGAGAGAGCAGCTCCGCGAGGTGCTGCCTGGGCGCTGACAGTGTGACGTCCCTGCTCACACCCAGAACCAGGACGGTCACACGGTTCCTGCCCCACGTCCCTGCCTGACTCGGCCCGGGCGCATTTCAGTACCGTGCAGAGACGAGCCCGTGGCCGGCCCCCCGCTCGCAGCGCCCGTGCTGGAAGCGGCACGCTACGCTCCTTGGGACTGCGTGGGGGCACTGAAACCGTGCCTTCAATCAGAACAGCCCTGCGGTTTCATCTCCCCAAAGCGGGAGCTCGGCTGCCGGGGGGGGGCTGCCTGCCGACCCCGCGCGGGCGGCTTTCGTGCCCTCTTTCAGCAGGGCATGACCCGCATACTGCTAACACACCAGGCACACGGCGTGTCCCTCCCAGACCCTCAGGTGCCCTCAGCTGCACAGACGCCAGCCCTGGGGGCCTGGGCCCAAGGTGTGCTGTGCTCAAGATGCTGCATATCTGGGCCTCTGTCCTGCTTGAGGAAACTCCTGGAATCCCGAGGGAATAGGTGCCTCCCAGCATCCCAGGAAGCACGGCTGGGGCTGGGGGCGAGGCTGTCCTGCTCGGGCTGGAAGCCCCCCAGCAACCCATCTCCTGCCTGTTCACCTTCTCCTTCCTGCAGGGCTTTCTGGTCCCCCACAGCCTCGGGCACCAGCTTCCCGTAGGAGTGTCTATCGCTGGACGCAAACTTCACCGTATCAAAGTAGACGGACCCGTTTGAGGCGTAGCTGGAAGATAAGAACAAGGTTGTGGGAAAGCAAGATGGATCTGGAGACAGCCCAGGACACCTGACCAGAGGACGACCCGAAGAGCCCAGGGTCACGGGCTGCTTCCACCTGCTCTGCCCTGTGTGTCTGGGGCGGGCTCGGCCATTTAGTCCCATGACACGGCAACACCCCACCACGGCCACCGTGCAGGCTGGCTGGGCCCGACAAGGACACTTCACGCCACGGAGGCCAACTCCTCACTCGTTGGGCAGCGGGTCCCTCTACAGACCCTCTGCTCGCATGCGGTGACCCTGCAGCTCCCACCTGGACCCTCAGCTCGGAAACGGCGTGGTCCCGCCAGGCTCCCACTCTGGCTACATTCCCATGTGCCCAGCCTCGGCTCTCTGCCTCCCAGAAGCATGCCAGACGGTGGTGGCCCAGAATGCTCCGTCTTCTCCCACCTTGGCCTTGCCCGTGGCACTCAGTGTGGCACGGTGCTGCCCTGAGCGGTCATGTCAAGTTGGGCAGAGAGCGGAGGCGCCGTCCCTTCCAGAGAACGGGTGCTGCTCCAGGCCCACACCAGGAGCCTCACACCCCTCACTGGGCTCAGTGGCTGCCTTGTCTGCCCTGCGAGGTGGGAAGCAATCTCCTCGGGGGGCCACAAACGAGCGTCGTGTGCCGCAGACACCACGCGCCCACCATAGACAGCTGACCGTGTTTCCTGCCATCAGGCAGTGCTAGGATCAGAGACCAGGGCCACAGCGGAGCGTGTGGAATCAGAGCCACGCGAAGGGCCCCAGGGAACACCCTTGCCGTGGGAGGTGACTCCCTGCCCACACGGCGAGGCCGGACGCCTCCAGACACCTGGCAGGTCCACGTTCACCAGGCTGGGCTCCGTGCTCACGGTCTGAGCTCGGGGCCCCCTGCTGGCTTGACCCCGGGCTGCACCTGCCTGTCTGCCGGGGGGCTCCGGGGGTAGCCAGCACCACCGTCCTGCTGCTCCTGTCTGCCTTAAGTGAAGATGTGGTGACCTCAGGGCTGAGGACCTGTTGGATGGTGGCCAACGCCCAGGCGAGCCTGGAGAGGTCTCTTACGGAGCAGCTTGGAAGCTGGGGACCCAGCGGCATGGAGGGAAGAGGCCTGCTGGGAGGTCAGCGTGCAGAGGCCCCCAGATCCCTGTGTACGGTCCTCACTGCTAGCACCAAGTGGAGGTGGGTTTGGAGACCAGGTCTTCCCAGAAGTAAAGTGGGGTCCCTAGGGTGAGCCCTAACCCCACAGAACCCCCACGCAGCTGCCTGCATAAGAGGTCATCGGGACATAAGAGGAGCCCGAGCAGCCCACGGGCAGAGTGACAAACGGGAGAGAAGTCTGCAAGAAGGCCACTGCCTGCAAGCTGAGGACGGGGCCAGCACCGACCCCCTGCCCTGAGGAGCCTGCCCCATGGGCATGCTGGCGGCCTCAGAAATCTGCCGTCTGGAGCTGGGAGCAAACCCATTTCTGCTGCTTCAGCCGCCTGGTCTGTGGGCTTGGTGAGAGCAGCACCAGGCAACCACACGCCCGGGGTGGCCACAGCCCCAGCGGCCTCCCTGCTCCGCGTCCCCTCCCAGAGACAGAGAGCTGCCCTCCTCGGCAACTCCCCCCGCCAGATGGCACACAGCTCCGAGAAGGGCCCTCAGCTCACCCGTAACCATTGTCCACAATCTTCTGGACGAAGTTCACAATCTCCGGCACATACTCGCTAACGCGGGTTAAGACGTCTGGAGGGAGGACCTATGGACGCCAGAGAAGGTTTGTTCTTCTTCTGAAACGTCGGCCTCAGACGAGCGCCCCCAGGAAACCGGCAGAACCAAATGTGGCCGAGAAGCCGCCTGTGCCCTCGGCGCGCGCGCAGGAAGCTGGGGTGTGAGGCTGCGGGGGCGCCGGGGCGCAGAGGGCACAGGCCCGCCGGCCGCACTCACGTTCAGCGCCTCCATGTCTCTGTGGAACTCCTCCTCCCAGAACTTGGGCAGTTTGGAGAAGATGGAGTTGTCGGTGACCTCATGGCCGAGGCTGCCGTCCAGCCAGTCTGAGAGCAAGTCCTTTGCTTCCTCCAGCAGCACCTGAGCAGAAAGAGCGCAACGTCCACACACACGTGCTGGACCGCACCCCGCGCAGTCGGGCCACGGGCATCACGGCCCCAATCACGGCCGTGCACGGCCCTGCTCCACTGAGGGCTGCCGTCCCCGCGAGACCACGACACTCCTGTGATCGGCTCAGCGCTGAGAGGCACCAGACTGCGAACGGGAGGCTCAGATGCTCGCTGAAGTGATCTCAGGACGTCCGCGGCCAGGACGGGTGGGCAGAACCCCATCCCGGATAGAAGCACCAAGGCCACGGCGTCCGAAAGTCAGCGGCCGTCAACCAAAGATGCCAGCCCCATGTCACGCACCACCCCAGTGCGGCAATGGTACGAGACCGGTCCTGTCACCGCAGCACCCACGTCACTCCAGAGAAATGTCCATCTGGGACGGGATGTGGGTGTCACGGCTGCAGCTTGAGTCTCGTACGCCGGGGGGACCGAGGTCCACCTCTGGAGGAACCGGGGTTTCCAGCACGTGTACTGAAGCGACACGGATGTGGGGACAGGCGGGTGGTCTGGGGTCCCCCGTTAGGGTGAGAGGGCAAAGAACAAAGGGCAGAGGGAGAAAGTGCAGGGAAAGTGCATGTGGGAGACACGGCGAAGGCATGCAGGGTGGGTGCGTGTGGATCCACGAGGCTGACAGGGAAGGGGCAGCTAGGGTGTCCCGCCAAGAGCCCCCAGGTGGGACAGCCCTGCTAACTGTTGCTGGGAGGCCAGCGGTGAGGGGGACCCGCCAGGACGCTCAGTCCATAGGTGCAGCATGCTGGGGACTGAGCCCCACGCCTGGCACATGGGCCCCCCGAGCTTGGCCACCACACTGAGGACATGGGACAGTTGCAGAGCCAGACGTGGTGGGGAACCCCGGGCTCTCAGCCCCAGGGCCAGAAACCACCAGGATGAACACGCTCGGGTTCCAGGGCACCAGGCCGCCCGTGTGCAAGAACGGAGGGCACGGCGAGCGGACAGAAGGCAGTCCTAAGAAAACGGGAAGGAGACACCAGAGAGTGGCGCCACTGGGACAGAAACGAAGACTGTCTTCAGTGGGAGCATCGCAGATCGGACGTGGCCGACAGAGTCTCGGAGCTGGGGGCCCCCGAAGAGAAACCCCCCAATGGCACAGCAGACGGGCTGCCTTCGCAGAGACAGAACGGGACCCAGCAGGATGGCCAGGGACCGCGGGACGAGCACAAATGGTGTACTGGGTGCTCAGGGAGACGCCAGAGGGACAGGAGGGGCAGGAGCAGAGAAACAGCTGGAGTCCACCAGCGGAGGGCGCCCCGCTCACGGCAGGTACAGGGAACCCCGGGAACCGCGGGCAGGACAGCACAGCCGAGCTGTGCACGGGCAAGCTGCAGAAAGTCCCGAAAGGAGTCCGAGGACAAACACTTTGCCTGTGAGCGAACACAGTAAGAACCACAGCCCCCTCCTCCTCACAAAGCAAGGGATGCAGGGGACACATCAGTGTCCAGAGAGGACCCTCGCTTACCCTAGAACCTCGGGCCCTGCGAGCTCATCCTGCAAAAGCAAAGGGAAACAGAGGCTCTCAGGCAAGCAAAAGTCAAGGGAACTTGTTGCCAGGAGACCTGGTTTGCAAGAAGTGGGTGAAGTTCTTTAGAGAGAACACGCAAAAGAGGTCAGAAGCTTGGGTCTGTGAGGGAGAGCATCGGAGAGAAGATGCAAAGGTAAAGTGAAAACTTCTGTTTTTCCTTTTTAAATAAAAATTGTTTATGTGCTGAGAGGGAGAGTGTGCGTGTGGACGCGACTGCAGGGGGCGGAGGGAGAGAGAATCTCAAGGCCGCCCCTGCTGAGCACAGAGCCCATCACCCGGCTCCAGCCCAGGACCCCGAGACCATGCCCTCAGCTCCACTGGCTGAGACCCCCGGGCACCCCACAACTCGCTTTTGTTCACTGACTTAACACCCGTTAGATCAAGACAGTAACAGCAAGAACGCATCAGTCTGCCTGCTTACGTGCGTACGCGACGCACACGGAGCCCCGCACGCTGGGTTTACAGACAGGTAAAGAGAGTGACAGCGGCAGCGTGAGGACGGGAGGCAGAACTAGGTCACTGTCACTGTAAAGCACTGAGGGTAGGGTTGTGCTGAGAGTGGACTGAAATTCGTGGGGAGTGTATATTGCAGACTCTAGGGTGACCACTAAAAAAAAGGTTAACGGGTTTGTTCTAAGAGGAGAGAAAGTAGAATCATGGGAAATGCTCAGTCAGAACCACAGACGGCAGAAAAGGACCGGAGGACGTGAGCGGGAGCGAGAACAAGGGCGGCGAACAGAGTAATCGAGCAGTGAGGGACCCAGCTGTCTCCGTGCCACTGGGGATGCCAGCGGTCTAAATGCGCCTCACAGCACAGTTTGGGAGATCAAAATACCAGCCCCGACTGTACGTTGTCACAGGAATTTGCTTCGACTGTAAGACACACACAGACTCGCAGTTGACGGAGACAAACGAGCCACGCTAACAAGAACCGAGACAGAGCAGGAGTGGCTGCTTTCCGACAGTGCCACGTCACTGGGGGCAAGATGGCCATCAGTAGAGAAGAGCTCGGTGGACAAAGGGGTCCATTCTGCGAGACAGCGGTGCTCCCGGGACACGGGCCCAACGGCAGGACAGCAAGCACATGAGGCCAAAGCAAACAGAACTCCAAGGAGAAACAGATGAACCCACGAAGGTGGCTGGGGACTTCAGGACCCTCCCTCGGGCACACACCAGCCCAGCAGGGGTCAGCGAGGACACAGCTGACCTCAACCGCATCCTCGGTCAGCCGGACCTGAAGGACCTCTACAGACCACTGGGTCCCCCAGCAGCAGGACACACATTCCTCTCACGCTCTCCTGGAATGTTCACTAGCACCATGAGCAGGCCGGGCCCCACAACACACCTAAACAAATTCGAAAGAATAGACGTCATATGTGGTGTCTGCTCTCGGACCACCATGGAACCGAACTGGAAATCAGTCAGAGAAAGAGAGCCAGAATGTCCCCACAAACAACACGCTTCCAAAGCACACAAGGGTCAAAGAAGTTACCTTGAGAAAAAATTAAATTTTTTGGAATAAATGAAAGTGAAAACACAGCTTATCCAAATTGGTGAGATGCAGCGCAACACCAGGTGGACGGATTAGACACACAGACAGATCTAAAGTCCCTCATCCAAGCTTCCGCCCCAGAAAAGCAGGAAAACAAGAACAAGTCAACTCCAAACTGACAGAAAAGAAACAATAAAAAAGCCGAAAACAAGAAATCAACAGAGGAAAATCAACAAATGCAGAAACTGGTTCCTTGAGGAAATGAATGAAATTGCTGCACCTCTAGCCAGGCTACTACCTAAGACAAAGGAGAGAGGCCACGAAGGAGGGACATCACTACAGACCTCATGGAAATTAGAAGCATAACAAAGAAACACTATACAGAACTCTGTGCCCCCAAGTTTGATAACTGTTAATGGTCTGATTCTTTGAAAGACACAAGGTGCCAAAACTTATAACGATATAAAGAGTCTGAAGAAGCTTATGAGCCAGTGACGAGATTTAATTACTAATTCATGATTTTCCAAAACAGAAATCACCTGGCCCAGAGGGGCTCACTGGTGAATTTTACCGAACATGCGAGGGACAGATTATATGGATTTTCTATAGTTTTCCAGAGGAAGCAGAGGGACTAGTTCCTATGTCATTCTAGGAGGAAGGCATTACCCTCATACTGAAAACAAAGATACCGCAAGAACAGCAAACTACAGATCGATATTCCTCATTAACATAGATGCAAAAATCCTTAACAATATATTAGCAAATTACAGCCAGAAAAGTCCTAAAAGAATTATAGACCGTAGCCAAGTGGCGGCTCTCACAGGTATGTAAGGCTGGTTCCACCAATTAATTAAACCAATTAATGTAAATCATTCCAGCAGCACAGTAAAGAAAGCAAAATGCTGTAAACACACAGATGCGCGGAAAGCATACGGACACAAGCCAACACCCGCTCATGATAAAGTCTCAGTAAACCGGGAACAGAGCCGAACTCCCTCACCTGGATCAAGGACAGCAACGGAAGTCACGCGGCTAACACTGTGCTTCGTGGGGAGACACGAGCTTTTCCGTCTAGGCCCAGGGCGACGCGAGGACATTCCCTCTCGCCACCCCTTCTCCGCCTCACCCTGGACGCGCCAGCTCACGCGGTGACGAGCGGAGGAAATGGAAGGCATACTCACGGGGAGGAGGACGTGAGGCCGCACGCCAGCACGCGGCACGGGGAATCCGCCACAAACACGTTACGTCACACGCCCCAAGACGAAATCCTCAGGTGTAGACCTAACGAACCGTGTGCAAGATCTACACGAGGACGACGAAAGTCTGATGGGTGAAGTCGAAGGAGGACTGACTAGCAGAGCTGCTTCCTGCTCACACGCGGGAGACCCGACCCTGTCGAAATGTCAGCTCTTGCCAACACGATCCACGGATCCCACGCCATCCGGGTCGACCTCCCAGCGCGGCACTGCAGTGACGTCACACGCGGATTCTCCGCTTCCACGGAGGCAAAACCCCAAAGAGCCAACTCAATACTGAGGCCTGACACCACCTGATTTCAAGACGTTCTCCAAAACCGTAGTGGTTGGGACAGCGCGGCGCTGGCAGGAGAGACAAACAGATCCAGGAGCAGGAGAGAGAGCCCAGACACAGCCCACCCCGACGGAGCTGCCCGATCCGTGACGGGGGAGAGAGGCCGTTCAGTAGAGACAAATACAGGCTCCTTCGGTAGAAGGTGCCGGAACGACCGGACGTCCATGCTCAGAATGAGTCCAGACCCGGTCTCTCACCGTCCGAAACGTGGCTCAGACTGGGTCACCGGCCTGAGAGTGAGAGGAAAACCAGACAACTAGAGGGTCACAGAGGAGCAAGCCTCCGTGAGCGCGTGTGGCAGTGACGTCCGTGCCACAACTCTGATGGCACCATCTGTGAGAGGACGGGGTGGCTGCTGGACGCCATCAAAACTAAGATGTCTGCCGCTGGTGGGGGGGAGCGTGCCGTGTCTGCTGTGCATGGAGCCGCCCCCCAGGCTGCGTCCCCGTGACACCCGCAGATGCGAGGACACATCCACCCTCCTGGGGGGTCGCCGGACGCGTGGCTGGCGCTGGGGACCCAAGAGTTACCCAGATTCCTGGGTCACACGCCCCACGGTCTGGCAGAGCCTCCCCAGGGTTATGGTCTCGAGACACGCTTGCAAACGTGTGCCCAGAGACGGACAGAAAATTGTCCCCAACCATGAACAGAGCAGGCAGATGCAAACCGAAAGCACGACGGGACACTGCGTCACGCTCATCGGGAAGCTGATGTGGGAAACAGGCTGACCCGTGCCAGCGGCCACATGCACAAACTGCCAGTGAGCTGCCGTGGGGGGCAGCGCGGCACTTCCTCCGCGTCCCGCAAACCCACCGGCCGCACCCCCCAGCATCTCCTCTCGGAGTCTCTGCCCAGAAGGACTCGACGCAGGGACCTGAGTGGATCCGAGCACGTCCCTGCTCACAGCTGCATCACTCGTGGTGGCCTGAAGGCGGGAATGACACACGTGTGTCAGACCCTGAACTGGATACCCATATCCGCCAGCCCCAGTTGGTCTGAGAAAGGACACTAGGACACCTGCCACAGCCAGGACATCATACCAAGGGAAAGACACCAGCTGTGAGAGGAGACACCACAGCACTCTGCTTCTATGAAGGCCCTGGAGTCCCCAGATTCACAGAGACGGAGGAGACGGTGGGTGCCGGGGCTGGGGAAGGGATGGGGGTCGGTGTCTCAGGGGGACAGAGAGTGGATGGTGGGCACCAGGGCCGGGGGAGGATGGGGGTCAGTGTCTCACAGGGACAGTCTCTGTCTGGGAAGATGGAAAGTTCTAGAGATGGATAGTGCGGATGGCCGCACAACAGTGTGAATGTGTTTAATGCCCCTGAACTCTGCACCTAAAAATGGTTAAGATGGTAAGTTTTACAAAGTGTACATTTTACCATACTTTCTAAAGGAGAGAGAATCAGTGAACCAATTAAGAAAAAAATTCGCCGTGGCGCTGCTAGTCATACGGGCACGCGACTGCCGCCCAAGGAGAGGGAGAGAGAGCTGGGCCCGGGAGGTCCATCGCAGGCCGGCCGGCGGTGACCATGCAGGGGCCCCACGCAGGAGCACGCGGAGCGGAAGGCCGCGTCCGTCGCGCTTTCTCGCCAAGCTCAGAATGAGCGGCGTCTGCAGCCTGAAGTAAGCGAAGAGGAAAGCGAGGGAAGCCTAGGCCGGGCGGGCTCTGGGGGCGTCTCTTCCCCGGCCTCTAGACGGCAGACGGCTGTGGCCGCATCTTTTCTGGAGCTCCCGCGTCCCTGAGTGTCGAGAGGGGCCGGCAGGGGGCGCCGGTGTGCAGGGGAAGGGACCCGCGGCGGCCTGCCCTGACCTCTCCGGGGAAAGGCTGGCAGGGAGCCCGGCCCCCTTGCACTCCTGCCCTCCGCGGGTCTGAGGGAGAGCCTTTCCGGGGGCAGGAGAGCCCAGCGCAACCTCAGCCTCCCTCCGCTCCCTGCGCAGGGGCGACCCCAAGCAGCACGGGAAGACTCGGGAGAGGCCTGCCGCACACACTCCGGGGCCCCAGTGCCGTGAGGGACGCTGTGTGGCGGCAGGCCGCGGGGGTGGGGCGGGCGCGCGGGGACCTCACCTCGGCGCAGCTGTCGGCCGCCTCGGCCTGGCCACTCTGCACAGCCGTCTGCAGCGGCTCGGCCGCCAGCTCCACCGCTCGCCGGGTGCGCTCCAGCATCTGCCTCCGGTCGGGGTCCGCGGTCTCCCGTAACTTGGCTGAAAACGGCTGCGAGCACAGGACAGGGCGGGCCCATGGGATGCGGCTCAGCACAGCCCCGCGCGCCCGGGGCCCTCACCGGAGGCGAGAGAGAAGCCTGCGTCCCTGAGGGCCCGCTCCTCACGCCCGCCCTGGGGCTGGTGGTCTGATGTCACAGGCTGTGCTCGGGTCATGGGGACGTCACCTGGCGACTTTGTGAACGTCAGGAAAGCACCCATGACCTGGCGGGCCGGCCCCTGGTCGGCCGAAGACGGCTGAGCTCTGATTTCACTCCCAGCGTTTCCTGTGGACGTAGCGCGCGGCAGCACAGCAGGAGCGACCGCCGTGTCCCTCCAACAGTCCGTGCCGCCAGGAGCAGGAGCGACGCGCTCTGACCTCAGTCCGTTACCACGGTGACCCCTAACGTGTCCTTCAAAGCGAACCCACCGAGAGGACGCGTCTCCTCAATTTCTGAGAACTTCCAGCACCCCCGGTCTCAGCGGCTCGGCCCAGCGCCTGGGTCGCCCTGGGCAGCACCGCGTGGCCGGGCCCTCCACCCGGAAGAGCCGCGGGCGCATCTGGAGCATCGCACGAGCGAGCGTCCGTCAGTGCCCCCTGACGCCCTCGGACACGCTCCCCGACGTGGGGAACCCAGGCACCGACTCCACACCCCCGTCCGAGCGCCTTTCTGGAGCCGCTTCCCAGCGGCCAGGCGACCACCTCGGTCAGAACCCGGGGGCCCTGACGGAGCTGGTTTTAGTTGCGTCCACTGTGGGAGGCCCAGCGGGGACGGCCACCGCCCCAGGGACAGTCAGGAGTCGGGGGCGGACGGCGAGGACCCACCTTCAGGGCGGCGTGAACGTCTTGCAGCACCTGGGCCGCCCGCGGCTGCTTCTCCCGGTACCGCTCAAACAGGTGGTTCTGCCGGGCCCTCTTGATGATCTGGGAGGAGGAAAGGGACCCTGGGGTCGTGCCCCGTGTAGCAGGCTCCAAGCCCCACGCCGCCGCACCGCCGCTATTCCCGCGATCTTGCTGGTCTCGAGGAAACGGGCCGCCCCGTCCCACCCTCCCCACGCCGTGCCCCGCAGAAGAGCACGTGCGACCACAGGTCCTGCTGCCACGAAGCCCCACGGGCTGCCGTTTCATCAAGTGGGCCTGGACACGGGGGGTTCTCTCGGCCCCCACACAACGTCATCGGTATAAGCTGTGACGCCGCAACACGGAGGGGACTCACACCCTGGGCCGAGACCCCCGCATTTCATCTACAAACGTTGCTTCCTCCCCTGGCCGCGCGGACGCGGACGTGCTGGTCAGCGCCCTACCTTGTCGTCCACGTCTGTGATGTTCATGCAGTAGAAGACGTCGTACCCGAAGTAGTCGCGCAGCACCCTCCGCAGGATGTCGAAGGAGATGTAGGACCTGGAGTGTGGGGACGCACCCGTCTCATTGCCCGCTGCGGCCCACCGCCCGCCACACTCCCCAGCCCACTGCGCCGCGGCCACGAGGGCCAGGGGAAGGCCTCCGCGGCCCTGCGCCAGTCAGCTGCTGCCCCGTGCGGGGCTGGGAGCGCCATGGGGCCCGGCCTGCTGCACACCTGGGTTCCCGCCACAGCTGCCTGGTGGGAAACCAAGGCCTGCAGGTCAAAGCATCGGCGTGCAGCCCAGGCCGCCCGCCACGGCGCGACAGGGCAGCGAACTCATGGCCCGTGCGCGCTCTCCAACCTTCCGCCGTCTACAGGGATTCCTTACAGAATGGAGACGTTGGTCTCAAGAACAGGAGATCTCAAAGGGCCGAGATGCCCCGTGGGACCCGGCGCGGCCCCCACCTGGCGTGGCCCATGTGAGCTGCGTCGTAGACAGTCGGCCCGCAGCAGTACCACGTCACCCTCCGCCCGTGCTGAGGCACGAACACGTCCTGCGATAAAAATGGAGGAAGGACAACCGTCAGCCGCGGAAGAGACGCTCCGCGGGTTCACCCCAGCGGGCGACGGAGGGCCCGGCTGCCTACGAAACTCAACGAGAACAATCCCGTTCCACTGACAAAGTCACGGATGCTCGGTGAAGTGGGCTGGAATCGCCAAGACCCCGCGTCCCCGTCAGCCACCGCGCTCCTGATGAAATCTCAATCAGCCGCGCTGCAGCCACGGGCCACGCTGAGCAGAACACGCCAAGCAACCCCACTCAACTGGGACCCGATCCTGCTGCCTTCTCAAAACCTGGTCTCCTCCCAACCACGCCAACCAGGCCCCTCCCCCGCCACGCCCGTGCGTTCAGCGTGCACGGTGACGACTGCCACCACCACGTGGCCTCTCTGAAAGCAGGCGGGCACGTGGCCTGGCTCTGAGTGACGTGTGGTTGGGGCGCTCCAGGCCTGCAGGCCCCACAGGCAGGCAGTCCCGTCAAGGCGTGCTGTCCCCGGGTGCGGCCGCTGTGGGAGCCGGCTCTGCCCCACCGAGGGCCCCATGTGGAAAGGGGAGTGAGTGTTGAGCCACCTCCACTCCTCTGGACGGACCGCTGGCCACGGAGCTCGTCCACAGCCTCCCCTGCACCCCGCCGCGCCCCTTACCTTCCTCCGGGTGAGGCTGTTGTACAGGCGAAGCTTGCACGGAGGGGACCCAGCTGGAGGACACCACTGAGGCTGCCCCCGCCGGCCTCTACCTGCCAAGGCAGAGAGAACACCAGTCAATCTGCACCCGGACACTGGGTCCTTACGACAGACACTGGGTCTGTCCTCAGCACATCGTGACACGGGCCTCGCCGGGTCTCCGTCAGCATCGCCCGTGCCAGACGCACCGGTGCCTCTAGTCTGCTTCACTCACAGTCTGTGCAGCAGCAACCGCAGCACGGCCTGGGGGCACCTGTGAGAAGGGGTCACACCCCTTCCTCCCCGGTTCCCCAAACCCAGGCCCTCCCTCCGCCAATGGACACCATGGCGGACACAGCTCGTGGGCCACGAGAGGGCACAGGCCCTGCAGTGTCAGAAACAAGCACAGCATACAAGCGGGGGTGCCCGACAAGGACATGGGCCACTGTCCGGAGCAGCACAGGGCCGGCTGGGCCACGACTAGCTCACAGCCCCAGAAACTCAGTAGGAACAGGCTCCAACCCAGCCGAGCTCCATCAGATGGAGCTAAGTGAGCGGCCAGCCCTCACACAGGTCTGGTCCCCGCCCCCCACAGCATGCCGTCACTCCTGACTCCGCTGGGACGAGACGCTTGTGGCTTCCAACCCCACAAGGGTGCTCGGCCAACTTGGAAACTGTGGGGTGGCTCTGCCCTCGCGGTCTTCCAGGAGAGACCCCGCCCCCTCGCTGGCACTACCTCAGGGCTACCCCTGCTGCTCTCAGTGTCCTAGGCCCACACTTCCATCTGGACAGAGGGTGGCGTGGATGCGGCCCGCGCCCCGAGAACCCAAGGGGGTGCGTCCTCTGTCTGGAGCCCAGCTGCCCCCCAGCCCTTGCTCACACTGCTCAGCATGCGCACACGGAGGCAGCCACAGTACCCGTCCCGCCTCCCCAAGCAGGGAGGGGTCAGCAGCGCACTGAGCCACCCTCCTCCTCTCCACTCCCCGCCCCTGCCTCGGCCCCCTGCGAAGGTTCTCTCTCATGCCCACGGGCCAGCCGCCGGGGACCCCACAGAGCCCCGCTCGCTGCTTCTGCTGGGAGTCACAGGGAAGGCCGTCCCGGGCTTGGCCACGTGCCCCAGGAGTCGCACCAGCTACGCAGACGCTGACTTCACTGACCCGCAGCAGAGCGCGCCGGAGGAAGACCGTGGCCACGAGGGTGTGAGCGTGTGCACGTGGGTGTGAGCACGAGCGTGTGCACAAGAGCAAGTGCGTGTGCGCGGGTGAGCGTGTGCACAGGGGCAGCGAGCAGGCAGACGAGGAGAGAGGCCCCGTGCTCGACAGGAGCTGGGTCCTGCGGTGACCACCGGCAAACCGGGGTGGCAGGGCTGGGCAGGACCGTCGGCGGTCAGCGGTGCGCACTCCTGAGCTCGGGTGGCGTTTCGCATGCCCCCTTCACCCCCGCAGATGCCCTGAGAGGAAGCGCCGCGGCTGGCACTAGGGGACGATCACCCAGTCCTCTGCCTCCTCTCCCGCTCAGACCCCGTGCCCCTAAACGGAGCCAGCGCTGCCCCCTGGGCTGGCGGGGCCACCAGCCGGAGGACAGGAGCTTGGGGACCAGTAGCGCCCCTCCCGCCAGGTGGGAAGGCCGGCCCGAGACGCCGTGGGAACGTGGCAGGACGCAGCCAGGGGCACAGCCCAGGCAGCCGGGCCACACCCCGCAGGGCCACGACTGGGCTGGAGGGCATGGGGCACACAAGGACGCCGGACTCAGTGAGGAAACTGTCCTCGAGCAGTCCTTGTGCCATCCCTGCTAGGAGCCCGAGCCCGGCTCACTCAGGACAGCGGCCCTCCTGCGACACTCCACCCCTGGCCAGGCTCCCACTAGTCTCTCCGCGCCCCCCCGCACCTCCGCCGTGGCAGCTGTCACCCGCGCACAGATTCTGCTTCGGTTTCTGCTCCAACCACCGACCACAGACCACACACCCGTTTATCCAACACACACCCAGCCCCCTCCAGGCCCTGTCCTGGGCACACGGCGGACACAAACCCCTGACTCGACAGAACTGCACACGCCACTGAGGGGCACTGTGCCCATCTCACCAGCCAGGGAGGAGAAACGCTCCCCCAGGACACAGGGTGGGGGCCACGGGGCAGAGGGCGGAGCTGCACCACAAGGCTCCTCCAGCCACGGGCCCTGAGCTTCCCGCCCAGCTGGGGGTGGGGCGGGCTGGGAGCCGGGGTGGACGGGAGAGACCCCGCGGGAGGTGGCAGCATTCCAGACAGAGACACAGCGGGCCAGGCCCTGGCGGGGCATGGGGGGGGGCTGAGGGGATGGGGAGGAGGTCGAAGGGCCACCCACACCCCACTTTCTGCACCTGCAGGTGCCTCGGGCTTTGAGGCCCACAGCCCCGGGGAGGGACAGACCAGGAGCCAGCCACAGGAGCAGGGACAAGCTGTCACAGGCCCTGGAGGGATGGGCTTGGAGGGAGTGGGGACAGGGTGCCAGCAAGTGGGGGACTGGGAGAGGCGGTGCTCGTGCCCAGGACAGGACATCAGAGCCCTGAGACAGAGCAGTGCTCAATTCTGGCAGCAAAGGGGGGTGGCAGGTGCTCAGCTCCTGTCCTCCCAGAGATGCGAGAGATGGTCCTGGGACCAGCCTGGTTAGCCCGGGCACACGAGGGGACTTGGAGGCAGACAGAGTCAGGAAACGCTATGGGGGCCACCCTGGGTGTGTCTCTCCCCTGCCTCCAAGCCAGCCGAGACTCGTCGACACGCAGTGCGGTACTCCATCTCGAGTGCCCTTCCTCTGCAGGGCTGAAGGGCATCTGCTCGTTCTCCCGACAAGGTCCTAGACGGACCACAAGCCAGGCCGTTGCCAGGACCGGGCGCCCCAGATGCCCCGACCTCCGTCCCTGCAGGCTGTGTCTCGGGAGCTGGGACTCATGGGGACGTGGCACCCGACACCATGGATATCACTGGTGTCACCGTGCTAGATGCCCACGGAGAAGACAACGTACACAGAGAGCTCCCACCCCATGCTGGGGAAGGATTATCCAGAAAACCAAACCACACCCCACGTGGGAGAAACATGTCCCCGCCTTGGCCTGTTACGCAGAGGGCCCAGCCCAGGACAGCGGTGCAGGTGCTGGGCAATATGGAAGGAGCCTGGGAAAGCCCCCAGGAGGCTGCCCCGCTCGGTAAGGACCGGCAGAGACAGCATACGGTCCACGCCTCCCACGAAGCCACCTGAGTGCCCAAGCAGAACCGATCGAGGGCATCAGGCGACTACGGGACACAGCACCTGGGGTTCATCCCAGGAGAGAAACCATTCGGGGCCTCAGACCTTCCAGAAGGACTCCTAAAATAATCGGTGTCACGGCGCCGCAGACAGGCCAGCACCCCAGACCAGAGCTCGAGCTCAAAGCCGAGAAATGACCTTGTTTGGATTTTCAGGGACTTCAACGTCCGCTAACATTGCTTTAGGCCTTAACCGTCTGACACGCGGCGGGAACACACCCTGCGGAGCGTGGAGAGAACAAAGGAGAAGCAGCCGGTCAAACCGCAGCCAGGCCAGCAGTTAGTGGAGAATGCCAGGCTGCAGCCTGTGCCCAGGCCCCCGCCGGACCCCCTCCCCGCCAGGGGCGGCATGCTCTCGCTGTGGCTCCTGCTGTGGCTCTCCCTGGGCTCTGCTACAGCGGCCACGGGCAGTTCGGATCCACGAGGGCTGACACCTTGGCAGAGTCCGTCCTAACTTGCACTTGGGGTGCGCTGGTCGGCCTGCTGGGGCACCTGCATGCGTGTGGAGACAGGAGCAGCCCCGCGGGCTCCACCAGACTGCTACCGCCCCCAGCCAGCACCGCACACCTCTGGGGCCCTGACCTTGGAGGCGGCCGCTGATGGGAGGTGCGCTACCAGCTGCACAACTCCCTCTGCTACTCACTTGCTTGGCGCCCACAGGGCTCGCCTCTGCCGCAGGGGCCACCCAGGACGGCTTCTATGTGCCTGAACCAGCGGGCCACGTGGAAGAGACGCGGGTCAGCGGGGGGTGCCGAGAGCTGCCTGAACAGGTCCACGTCTGCCTGGGACAGTGAGTACCCCTGGACATAGCTACGCGTGCTGAGGTGCTCGTTCAGGGCCCGCACCCTGGCTGCCTCGTCACTAATGCTCAGGATGGACCTGTAGGGAGGAGCTGCAAAGACAGAGGCACACAGCGTGAGTCAGGGCCTGGGGGCCTCGGGCCGAGCACGGACACACGCAGGGCTTCCCCGGGTACGGAACCTCGGAACCAGAACCGTAGCCGCGGGGGCTGGGGAGGGGCCCTGGGGAGTGCGGAGTGGGGTCTCGAGCCGCGGGGATGGGACAGCTGGGGAACGGGACTGCGGTGGTGGCTGCACGGCACGATGGCCTAAGGGCCACCACACGGTGCACTCTCCGTAGCACCGCAACAGTGAACGTGACCTTACGCGCGTCCCACCTCAACTGAAGGACAACCAGGTTTCCCGTCGGCCGAGCCCAAAGCTGCTCTGAACCCCAAAGGCCCTGCCCAGCCAGAGCCCTGCTGCTCAGGGGGCACGCCTACAGGGGACACCACTCTCGTTCACTCTAGACCTGCCAGAACAAGCCACTTTCCATGTCCACCGTTGGGACCGTCAGAGGAAGCAGACAGACCTTGAGGCGCCCCCCCACGCCTCCCACCCCAGCAGGTGGCTCTGAGGACCCAGCCCGAGGGCTCCTGGGGAGCGGCCCCCATGCCACAGGCCCCACATCCCTGTGGCTCAGATTCTGCCTGAGACCAGGAGGAACGTTCCAGTGGGTCTGTGCCTCCCTCTCTCCTAGAGGGGCCTGCCCTTGTAAGCCCACCTCGCAGCTCCAGCGGGGTATCGGGCTGGAGGCGAAATCCGGGGAGAAGGGAGGCCATGCCCGGCCGAGAGCTCCGGGAAAGCCTAACCCTACGTAAGCATCCGGCTTCCGGAGCGCGTTCCGCTCAGTGTCTTCCTCCCAGGGAACTTGTACTTCACCGGGCAACGCGCCTCTGACAGCTCTGCGGCCTGCCAGGGCTCTGCCGGCGTGCTCTCGCGATGAAGAAAACGGCGTCCAGTGAGCCCGATGAGAGGACCGGGCAGAGGTGCGGGCAGAGCCGGGGCTGGGGGCCAGTCTCCCGCAGCCCGTCGTCCTCCCCACGCTCCGCACTCCCTGTCTCTGGCTCCTGCCCGTGCCGCCAGCCCCGGGAGGGAGGGCAGCGGAGCGAGGACAGCACCACCCTGGTCCAGCCCGCCCCTCACCCCCAGAGCAAGCAGACAGGGACACGCTCCTCTCACTTGGAACGAGTTCCACTGACCAGAGCAGACCCCCAGGGCCACACTGTACGTCGAATGGCCATCCCCGAGGAGCGGGATTAGGGCTGACTGGTAGTTCCCTCTTTTCTTCCCACGTGTCCTCCGATGAGGGTGCACCATTTTTAAAATGAGAACAACAGGTCAAATGTCCTACCTACCACGCTGGCTTTGGAGCAGCGGTGAGGGACTCAGGGAACACCTGTGCTGCAGGGCGGTGGCTGGGTGAGGCACCGTGCCACGGCAGTGCTGGGGGACTCGGTGCTGCAGGGCTCGGCGCTGGGGCTGGGGGCTGGAGCTCCTCCCCGCCTCCATAAAACAGCCTCAGAACAACACACGCCTCGTAAAAGCTGCTGCATCTCAGAAAAATTACCCTTGCAAACCTTTAAAATACCGCCTGGTGCACAGCCAGCCCCCAGTCAGTCTGCTACTGATGACCACACTTGTCCCCCTGTCATTACCAGAATGGCCCTGAGCGAGTTCACCGGGAGACTACACACACACTGAAAACGCAGCGTCGGCCGCAGCCTAGCCATCCCGAGGAACGGGCCCTCTCGGGGCTGCATGCGCGGTGCCCTGGGAGGGCAGCCAGAGGACAGGCTCCCAGGCTGCGCGGAGCAGACAGTCACCGCGCTAACTGCACTCGAGCGTGTCTTGAGGACACGGATAGGAAGCAGGTCGGCTCTGACGTGGTTACGGGTTTTGGCCAGACCGCGGTCTGGTGAGCCCTGAAGCAAGACCAGATGGGCCGGTGGGCGAGCAAGATCCCCAGGGGCGGTGGTGGAGGCCCTCGCTATGCGCCTGGCAGACGCCTGCCCTGCGTCGGGGTCGGGGGGGGCGGATGTCGGCCTGCCTGGGCCACCCGCGCACACACAGCAAGGGAGCGGCCCCTCTGACCCCAGGAACGCCGTTCTGTGCATGGCCAGCTTAGACCCATCTGTTACCGGTTTCTCCAAGTTAACCGTGGAAGCCGTCATAAAACACCTCCCGAGATCACACAGACCGAACAGCCAGGCCATCTCTCCGCACCGGTGGCGACCACAACCACGTGAAACGAACCGCAGTCTGGACGGGACTCGGAGCATCCCCTCTCCCTCTCCTCCGTCCCTTGTCGCCAGCCTTTAAACCTGCCTCTGTCTTCCTCCTCTGCTCCAGGCCCAGTGCTCGGGCCGGGCCCACAGAAGCCCTTCAGAATCAGCACCTGGGAGGTGAGGTGGGTCCGCAGTGGGTACCCACAGCAGCTCCCCGGGGGCCCCGGTGCTGGCCCACGGCCTGCAGACGTCCGTGTGCCAGCAGCTCCCTTGCTCAAGGCCAGACCCTTCGCAGCCGCAGGCCTGCCTTCCGCAGGAACCCCCAGGCTAGGGCTGTCTGTGTTTCAAAGAGCAGCCTGGGCTCCGGGGTCAGCACCCCTCCCGCACTCCCCGGCATAAGGACCACTCCGGGCTGCGTCCTGCAGTCACTCTGCGCACCCGGCCCTACAAACCACTTCCCTTGCACAAACACTCCTCTGGCTCCCAGGCCCCTGTCCTCCATCTCCGGACTCGGGGCCTGGCCAGCAGACCACTGCTCCCTGCTGCTGCTTGCAGGCCTGGCCCGGCGCAGCCGCCCCTGTGGTCGGATCTCTGGCACCCGGCACGGCCTGGCAAAGTAGGTGCTCCATGAGTCCTTAGTGAGCAAATGAGAAGCACCCGAGTACATCCTTGTGAGCTGCGCGGGGACGTAATGCTCTCACCTGGTGTTTTCACCTTCCCGTGCCTTTCGGAGCTTTCATCGGAATCACGGGCCGCTGCCCAGGTAGCTGCCACCGCGACACCGAGATGGCTTCATCTCTACCCCGAGGGCACCCTCTCGTACGACTCTTAAATAAAGGTAAACACTCGGAGACATGGAAACACGAGTTCACAGACGAGCAAATATTTGTCGTCTCTGCATAAGCACACTCCACCTCCCTTCGGGAGACACAGCAAAGCACGCGGGCTTGGTCTCGCGCGCCCTGGCACACACTCCGGCCCGGGGGCTCTCGTTGTGACTCTGATGGAATCCGTCCTATTCTCATCCAAGCCAGCGCAGGACCGCGGCTGACGTCTCCGCCGAGCTCAAACCGCCAGGGCCAGAAGCCTGGCTTGGCCTCACCGAGCTGTGTGACCCCGGACAAATCAGGCAACTTCTCAGAACGTCAGGACCGTCGCCTGGACAGGCAGATAAGGGCAGGACCGGCCACAGGGGCTGCTCTCAGGACGAAAGGCCACAACAGATGTGCTAGACCAGTGCCCGGAAGAGACGCCGCTGACAGAAATGCGAGCTACACGACATTACAAAGGCCCTTTGGATCACACGGCGTGAAGAATTAGACAGCAAGGTGGACAGAGTCCCCCAGACTGCCGGCAGCCTGCAGGGCAAGGCCTCTGAGAGGAGCTCCGTCCACCCACGCGCCCTCAGACATGAGCCCTGTCTTTCCAACGAGCCTGGAATGGGGCGGCCCCTCCGAGGAGCCAAGGAGAAGCTGCAAACCCGGTGTCGTCACAGGGAACCAAACACGTTGAGTCCACGTGAGGAAGAGCTGAAACGGGAAGACGTAACCGGGACCTCCTTGCAAGGTCTGGGGAAGGCGCCTGGGTGGCTCAGTCTGTTGGGCTGAGCAGTCTGCTTTGGCTCAGGTCATGATCCTGAAGTTCTGGGATCCAGCCCATGTCTGGCTCCTGGCTGAGCAGGGAGTCTGCTTTTCTACCCCTCCCCTGGCTCGTGCACTCTCTCCAGCTCACTCTCTCTCAAATAGATACATAAAATCTTAAAAAAAAAAAAAAGAAAAAAAAATAACCGGGGCGCCTGGGTGGCTCAGTGGGTTAAAGCCTCTGCCTTCGGCTCAGGTCATGATCTCAGGGTCCTGGGATCGAGCCCCACATCGGGCTCTCTGCTCAGCAGGGAGCCTGCTTCCCCCTCTCTCTCTGCCTGCCTCTCTGCCTGCTTGTGTTCTCTGTCAAATAAATAAATAAAATCTTCAAATTAAAAAAAAAACCAACCTGGGAAGATGGTCACTTTCGATGAATCCAACCACTGGAATAAAAAACTTTCAAAAACTGGAAACCGAGGCTAACTACGAGTCTAGTACCCAGACACACAGCCTTTCCTATTTGATTTTCTTTCCTGTTTCCTCAGGGTATGAACACAGATTCTCCATCCTGGAGGAAGCCTAGGGACAGGTGAGGGTAGGGGCAGCAGTGAAGGGAGAGCAGGTGGGCTGTGCCCTGGGCCCCTAGAGGACTAGAAAACTTCATCACCGGTCTGGACATCCTGGGGGCTTCATTCTAATCTGTAGATCAAGCTCCAAAACAGGCCAATACTTACCAAGGCTCAGAAAACCTGACTTTATAAAGCAATTAAAAGAAAATACCAACATGTCATTCATGTTCACAAATGAAGCAAAACCACACTTTCATTAAAACACAAAAAAGAACAGAGAAACAAGCTCCAGGTTTCAACCCAGACACAGTGCCCGGCCTGTGCCAGGTGCTGTTGCTCTAAATCCTTTCCGAGGGCCCCTTAAGGGTCCGTGTCATCTGAGGTGGGCCGCTGGCCCCTGTGTGCTTTTGAGAAAGGGGCTGAGCCGGGAGCCCAGGCCAGCCACACGGGCTCTGGAGTCAGGGCTGTGAACAGGCGGCTCTTCCCCTGAGGTCTGGGGGCTGCCAGGCTCTAGGGCAGGTGGGGAAGGTGCTGGAATCCTGGCACACCCATCGGGTGAGGTCCAGCGAGCCCGTCATGCGGGTGCCTCCCACACCACGGGGTTACCCAGGTGGTCAGAGCTCCCCACTTGGAAGCCCAAAGCACTCAGGAGCAAAAGGGACACACAGACCTCAAGAGCGGGCAGGCAGGCACACTCGCGTGTTATTGTCACCAGCCAAGAGTAGAAAAACTCTAGCGCAATGTTTCCAGTGGAAAGTTTGCTCCATACCTAGGGATCCCGGTGACCATCTCTGGTGTTGCCAGCAGCTCCCGCCCTGCTTGCTGGCCCGTGGGAAAAGACCCAGCGCCGCCCCGGCCTGCCTGTGGTGACATCAGAGCCCCTGGTGGGCACAGCTGCTCCCTGAACCCCCAGGCGGCAGGCAGTAAAGTGGGGTAATAACGCTCTGACCACGCAGAGGAAATGGCCAGTGTCTGTGGAGCCCCAGATGAAAGCCTTGTAAAACCCGAGGCCTTTCATGTGTGTGTCTGCAAACCCCGGCTTCTTCCGCCCACCCCGGCTTGCTGCCAGGCGGAACGCGGACTGACAACCCGGCCCTGCGGGTCCCCGGAGCACAGCTGGGGCAGGAGGGGGCGCGTCCCGCCCAGGCACCAGCTAAGGGAAACGGGTGGGGCGGGCCGCCAGGGGACCCCGGCAGAGCCCCAGGAAGATGGGGAGGGGGTGGCCTCGGCACAGCCCGGAGCCAAGTGGGGTCCCGCCGAAGCGCGGACAGCGCAGGCCCAGTTCGGGGGTCGCGGGGTGGCTCAACGCCCGCCAGGCCGCCCCGGAGACCCGCCGACCCACAAGCCCGGGGTGGTCCCCTGCCCGCCCCGGGGACCCGCCACCCCCAGACCCAGGGTCACTGCATGCTGACCCCGGGGACCCGCCGGCCCCCCAGGACCTCGGTCACTGCCCGCACGGCCGAGACCCCGCCGACCCCTGGGCCGGGGGTCATCCTTCGCCCGCCCCGGGCACACGCCGAATCCCCAGGCCCGGGGCTGTCCTGCCTGCCCCGCCGCGCGCACTCACCCTGCTCCCCAGAGGAACCTGACATCTTAGAAATCCCAAAACAGCAGCCGCGGCGCCAGCTTCCCAGAATCTGATGCAACCACCGCCCCGGAAGTCCCGCCCCGCGCCCAGCCCGACTTCCGGGGCCCGCCCGGTCGCCAGGCAACCACCTCGGACTCTAGACGCCGCCGCCTCGGGGAATGCTGGGAGTTGTAGTTGTCGCTTCCCCGCGCGCGGCCTCCTGGCGCATCCCTGGGGTACCCATTCCAGGTCCTGACCTAAGAGACACAGGACCAGCGCGGGCGCGGGCCTCGGTGCGGGCGCGGGTGTGGGTGTGTGTGGGGGATGTTGCACTTCTGCCTCGCTAGACAGGCATTAAAAGCACCGCTCATGGGGCGCCTGCGTGGCTCAGCGGGTTAAGCCTCTGCCTTCAGCCCAGGTTATGATCTCAGGGTCCTGGGATCGAGCCCTGCATCGGGCTCTCTGCTCCGCGGGGAGCCTGCTTCCTCCTCTCTCTCTGCCTGCCGTTCTGCCTACTTGTGATCTCTGTCAGATACATAAAATCTTTACAAAAAAAGCAAACACGGCTCATGCATGCCTGCTTAAGTTAGCACTGCACAAAGGGGCATGGGGACAGGCCCCCAGCGCCCCAGCCCGCCCGTGAGACGGGGCCCCCCAGAGACAGAGACAGGAATGGGCTGGCCTGGAGAAGGCCTAGTTGGAAGTAAGCTTAGAGGATGGGACTGGGGATGCCTGGAGTGCACTCCAGGGCACGTGCGTCCCAGCAGAAAGCAAGCCCCTGAGAGCTTCATGTGGGTGCAGGCCACGTTGGAGCAGGCCTGGTGTCATGGAGCCCGAAGTGGAGCCAGGGCTCGACCTTTTAGAAGCATCTTGGAAGCAGAGTCAAGAGGGGTTCTGACAGGACGGTGCGGGGCTGGATTTGTGCTTTAGAACGATCCCAGTGCCCGGTGGTGGCAGAGTGGACTGAGACCCAGAGGAAAGCAAGCTCGAAGGCTTTCAGCCTAGGGGAGAATAAATGGCCCCTTAGTGGGGCGAGCCCAGAGTCCGGGGAGAGCCCCAGGAAGCGGCAAACCCAGGTATGTGGCTGGGACACAGGGGGATGAGGGAGTGGGTGGTGACCCACCTGAGATGGCTGAGCGGGTGTGGCACTGACTTCCACAGGGAGTTGAAGAGGCTGGGAGCGGGAAGGAAAGACAGACGCATCTGTGCGTGACCCCAGGGACCGGTGATGTTCGGGGTGAGGAGGCAGGGTGGAGCTCACATTCTGAGGCCATGGGAGGACAGCACAGTCATTTCCAGACACAGACACCCTGGGGAACACCAGGCACCCGAAGAGGCTCCTCCAGCCTCCAATCCTCAGTCCAGAGCCCCTCCCTCTAGCAAATTACAGCCTCCGGGTCCGTGTGTTCCGCTGGGCAGGAAGCCCCCCTCCCAGGGGCGTCACAGCCAGGTTGTGTGTTGTGTGCCCACCAGAAAGGAAGCAAGTGTGACTTAAAATATAAATCTTATTAGGTAAAGGTTAATTTTTAACTTCAGGAGTCTCGCAGTGGCTCAGTTGGAAAGCACCTGGCTCTGCACTGGACAGGGAGTCTGCCTGGAATTGCATCTCCTCCCCCCCAGCCCTCTCCCTGCTCACACACAAGCGCTAAGCTAAATAAATGATACCTTGAAAAAAAAACCAAGATGGGACTGGGGAGAAAGACAAACCTTAAGACCCTTTATCTCAGGAAACAAACTGAGGGCTGCTGGAGAGGAGGTGGGGAGGGCTGGTGTGGCTGGGGGATGGACACCGGGGAGGGTATGTGCTATGGTGAGTGCTGTGAAGTGTGTAAGACTGACGATTCACAGACCTGCACCCCTGACGCAAATAATACAGTATATGTTAATAAACTTTAAAAAGTTCATTAAAAACTTAAAAAAGTGACTGAAAGAAAAAATACTATAAATACACAAAACAATTTAATGCTATAAACATTACCACTACTTCTGCTATATACACCGTAAGGTCAAACCATGATTTTTATAATTCAATCTAACGGTATATACTTAGAAATAAAACCCCCAACAACTACGTAGAGGATGCCTGTCACTGAGCTGCTAACACTCGGGCTTCTACTGAGAAACCTCAGTCACACTCACACCTCCTTCCAGGTCACAGGGACATCCCAGGTCTGAGACCCAAGAGCTGATCAGGGCAGAAAACTCTAGCCCCAGTGTCTGGGGAAAGGGCTGCAGATGGAGGGTGTCACCCGTGGCTCCCCGGCCACCCAGCTCAGGGCTCGCCGGACCATCAGACCCTGCCCAAATCCACCACCTCAGCCACAGGCAGTCCCCACAGCTAGTCTTGTCAGGCAGGAAGCACTCTTGCTGGGGTACAGACCTGACCTCCCCATTGCAAACAATCTATTAGAAAGTGTGGACCGTTCTGTCACTAACTCAAGAAGTTCCCAGTAAGACACAAACTGGGAACGGAGGTCAGATCACATCCATTCAGGATCCCGGTTACAGGCATAACCCGAGCCCGAAGTTTAATCAGAGGTCTCCGCACGCCTGCCCAAGAGTCCTTCGTCGAGTGACCAGTTTATGATATTTTCCAAATACATCCGCAGCTGCATCTTATGGAGGACCTCGAGCAGGCTGAACACGGAGGCGCCCTTCCCCGCGCCGTTCCTCCACACACGCAGCATCTGGTGGTGCTGCTCTATCACGTCGCCAGGGTACTGGCTCTCACAGTTGTCGATGTCACTGTCCTCTAGTCCGAGGAACCTCATGAATGGTTTCCAGTCCTTATCAGAGATGCTTCTTTCAAACTTATAGTAGATCTGGGCTGAAAAAAGTAAAAACAAAGGGGAGGACCATTGACACGGCTGGGGGGGCCATGTGGCACCTGCTGGGGCCTGCTCACCGATGACTCTAACAAGGATCCCCTCCCCCGCTCACTTCTCCTGAAAAGCATGAACGCTTCCTCCCATCGAAACGGTATTCAAGGTCCATGAAGCCCACACAACCCTCGTTTGACAAACGCTGTTCCCCTCATGTCCCTCTGGAGAGGGAACACGTGCATCTCAGGTGGAGAGATGGTCCCCACGGCGTCACGCAGGCAGGCGGCCCGCTCTGGGAAACAAGGACGCCAGGCCTTGACATTCAGGCCAGACAAGAGGGAGACTTCCCAGTCCCTAGAAAAGAGGGGTTCAGATTACATACCTTCACGGGACGGGTCCCTCACAAAATACTTAGCTTCATATTCCTACAGAGAGAAGAGACAGGTTGTTCCAGGAGGAGAAGGAAGGCGCGAGGCTGAAGCAGAAGCGCGGTCAGGACTGTGGGAGCAGTGGGTGCAGACAGGGGAGCCCCGGGGGACGCAAGAAGGTGTTTGGGGAAACCCCATGTGGGCCCGAGCTCACAGCCCTGGCGTGTGCTCCAGGTCTAGCCCCCCCCAGGTCACACCCGCGGCCCAGAGGCGGCCCTGTGGATCCGGCTCCAGTGGGCGGGCAGGTATAGTTGAACTGTATCACTTTGGGGTGACCTGCTCTGCTCCAGGGAGTACGAGCAGACAGCACAGCACGCCTGTCCCCAGGAAGGCCCCTTGAAGGGCCAGGGGGACTGCGAAGATGAGCCAGCGGAGGACAACGCCAGCGCGGAGTGCCCGTGAGCGGCAGCCCCGCCGCCGGTGGTTCCTGCGCACAAGGTTAGACCCCCGTCCTTGTTAGGCCGCCCGCTGCGGGCCTGAGGGCCGCACCTTCAGACCCCCGCTCTGCCTCACCCCACAGCTGGACCTGCACGGAACTCTCCGCTCTGGGCAGGTGCTCTCGAGGCAGGGTTGAGAGGGCCCCCTAGGGCTCCCGCTGAGACGGGCATGGGTCCCGACTTCCACCCTGACCGTCTCAGAGCCAGCGGAGAATCTGGAGTCAGGGGCTCCCTCCCTGCAGTGACGTCCGTGGGCACTCGGCCCAGGAACCCAGTCTCCGCGCTGGAGTTCCCAACCTCCCTGCCCACGCCAGGGGACCTCGCGGGCCATGGCCTGTGGAACAGGAGCTCTGCGATCTCCTCCCTGGAACCCTGTCCCTCTACTCCCCACCTGTGCCCTGACCTCAGGATTCAGACATGGGGCCTGGCCAGTCTGCAGACCTGAGCCCTGTCCCTTGACGCACGTGCTGTCCCCTCTTCCCGAAGAGCCCAACTCCCCAGCACCACAGAGCGGGCGTCGGCTCCTCCAGTCAAACCCTCCACAGGGGTCACAAGGGGGACAGACTCCTGCAGCCCCGCTACGGAGCATGGGGACTATTGCTCTCCCTGGCGAGCCCGGCCCACAGCGTGCAGGGTGCTGTGTCCGCTCGCCCCTCCCTCTGAAGTCCCTGCTACGCAGAGGCTGGGTCTGGCGCACAGGAGGTGCCAGCCAAGGGGTGTTGGGCCGACCCGAGACCCGCACGCGCTGCGGAGGTGATGGCCTCCACACCAGCCGGCTGGGCTTCCTCGGTCCCACTGCATCCCAGCCACGGACCCGGACAAGGATGCTCTGGGAGCCCCCGTGCCCACCTCGGTGTCACATCCCCTCCAGGAAGCAGGTGCAGGTGGCGCTCCTAGGCACTGAACTGTACCCCCAGGCAGGGATATCTAAACCTCTAACCAGGACTGTAGCTGGGAACAGGGTTGGTGGTGGACGACAGAAGCCCAAGGGCGTGAGGGTCAGCCTCACTGCAGCCTGACTGGCGTCCTCAGGGAAAAGGGAAATCTGGACATGGACTCACACACAGGGAGACACCCGCGAGGACGGGCCTAGATCTTGGGGTGACTCTTCCACAAGCCACCGAGCAGGGCAGTCGGCCACATGCCAGCTGCCGCTGGAGGAGAGGCCCGGCCCAGTCTCTCACAGCCTGGGGAGCAGCACCCGAGTCCCCACGTCATTCCTGGACTCCCACCCCAGGACGGGGACACAACGCACACCCCTGGGGCCGCGGAAGCCACCCTAGGAAAATCCCACGGGCACCGAGCATCACGCACGTCGGCACTGAACACAGAGCCCGCACGTGGGAGGAGCTCAGGACGCACAGGCGGCCCCGTGGACCCTCCCGGATGGTTCCGTACCTGCTCCAGGGTCCTGAGGGAGGGGGGCCCAGGGGCCATCGGGTCTGCACTCTGGAGTGCCTGCTGTGGCATCGCGGGGCTCCCCCCGACTGCCCCCTGCAATGGTGGCTCCTCGGAGGGCGCTGGGCGGGGTGCAGCCGTGGGTGTCGAGGCTAAGCCCTCCTTCTCCAGCCTGGCCCCTGGCGAGGACGCTTCCATGTCAGCGGCTGGCTGCTCGTTCTCAGAATTCAAGGGCACCAGAGACTCACTGTGCTGAGGGCAAGTCTGTGGTCAAGGACAAGGTCGGACAAGGTCATGTTATTTGGCCCCGGAGCCTGCCCACATAGGCACTTCCCAAGCCCCGACATGGCGGGAAATTCCCGTAGCCTGCAGGGCTGGCAGCAAGAGGGCGATTTTAGAGAACAGCTCACGGGGTGGGGCAAGCTTCCTGCTGGGCCAATGCCTGCGGGGGGTCAACACCCCAGCCTGAGCCTGTTCGATCTGGAGGGGCCCCCAAAGACAGAGGCATATGTGGTCTTACCGCCTCCTCACAGGGACAGTCTGCGGCGACCCTGCCCGGCGAGGCTGGGGGCGCCGTTTTCCCAACAGCCTCGCTCACGTCTGTCTCCGGCTCACATTCTGGTAATTTTTGCCGAATCTCAGACTGTTCCCTGAGGACCCTGTTCAGTGACCTGTGCCACTTGCTAGCTGCTCAGGTGACAGGTAGCACTTAAGAGCAATAACGTACCTTTTCCATGTAAGTAGACCCCACGCCCAGCATGCACCTCAGCGTGCGGCCTGAACTCGCAACCTGAGATGAAGACCTGAGCTGAGCGCGAGAGTCGCACGCTGAGCTGAGCCACCTGGCGCCCCGAGCAATAAAGCATCTTTTTAAATTTTTTAAAAAAAGATTTTATTTATCTGACAGAGAGAGAGATCACAAGTAGGCAGAGAGGCAGGCAGAGAGAGAGGGGGAAGCAGGCTCCCCACTGAGCAGAGAGCCCGATGCGGGGCTCGATCCCAGGACCCTGAGATCATGACCTGAGCCGAAGGCAGCGGCTTAACCCACTGAGCCACCCAGGCGCCCTGCAATAAAGCATCTTTTGAGGAGGGGGTGCACGCTGGGTTTGGGGACGGAACGCTCCCGCACACTCAGCAGTCTCCAGTGTGGTGCGAGCACAACTTTGGAGCCCTCCAGGGAACCGAACAAGTCCTCCATGTGGCCCTCTGTGCTTCCCGGCAGGGGTCTAGGACCACCCCGCAGCACCCCCGCGCTGTGCCCGTGGGTCCGCACCCTGAGCTCTACGCCAGCGAGCAGGACCCGACTACAGGAGGTCTCGCTGGACTGACGGGAGCCCTGCCGTAGGGAGAGACCGACCGCCATGGGGAGTGACCTCCGGGAGGCCGACTCGGGGATGCACGGACGCCGGAAGAGCAGCAGACGCGCTGAGACATGAGCCCCACAACAACCTGGGCTCCCAGCCTGTCTGAAGAGGCGGGGGGGGATGCTCACCGGAGCCCTGAAAGAGCCCCGCCCCTGAGTCCGGCCTACAGATTGGAGGCAACAGGGTCTACCGCTTCGTGCTCCCCAGTGGCGCTGACCCCTTCCAGGAGCCCCCGAATGCTCATGCACAGCCCTCTGCCCCGCTGTCCCTCATTTCCACTCTGGCCTAGACCAGCAGAACGGAAGTCACCGACTAGCACGTTCTGGGGATCCACCGAGGTAGAAGCACATGCAGCTGGAAAGCAGGGGCTCCCGTGCACCCACTGACTGCCCCCACCCCCCGGGATGTGTTATGGGGGGCCCTGCTGCCACCAAGGCCCGGTACCATCGCCGGGGAACCCAAAGGGCTATACTTACAGTGCTGTCCGGCCCGCCTGCCCTTCCTGAAGACCAAGAAGAGGAGAAAGAGTCAGAACCACTACCCACGGGGACAAGGACTTCTGCAATGGAAGAAACTGCTCTGAATTTATGACAAAGTGTCCTTACCTCTCCAGATGCTGATGAACCAGCACCAAGGCCACAAACCTGCGAGGGGGAATAGGACGTGAGCACAGAGGGTGAGAACAGGGGTGAGCACAGAGGGGAGCTCAGGAGGTGGGCACAGGAGGTGAGCGTCCCCGGTGCACAGCCCGCAGCCGGCTGCCCTGCCTCCCTCCAGGAGCCCCCAGGCTGACGCAACACCCGCCCCTCCCTGTGCCGGGTCCCACAGCGCCCGGACACAGCGTCTCCAGCCAGCCGAGCAGAGACTCGCGTCTTAAGCGCTGTGTGCCCGGAGCGGGCGGCAGAGCTCTGAGCTCAGACCCGAGAATGCGGAAATGAAGATGGCTCTGCTTTAACGGCAGAAGCCCCACTGGGGACGCCCAACCGCAGGTCCCTTCGGAGCCCTGGATGCACCCGCTGCTCTGCCTTCTCCAGGTCTGGCCTGACGCTAACTCACCTTTCCTTTTACGACAGTAAAGTAAGACGGAGAAGAGGACGATGATGATGATGATGCAGAGAAAGATCACGAGGACGACAAAGACTGGTTTGAACCCACGGACAGACACGACCTCGGGTGTTTGTTTTCCTGGAAGGAGACGGAACAGGGACGGGTGGAGCAGGTCAGGCACGCGCTCCTCACTCACGAGACGAGCTACAGGAAGTTCCCGCTGTGGGAGGAACGGAGGCCCTATGTTCCTTCAGGGCCCCAAGCCCTGTCTCCCGCTGACCATGATCCTGAAGGTGACGCCCCTCCTGGGAGGCAGGAGAGACTCATGCTTCCTGTGTCACAGACGAGGACCCGGGGCTCACAGGACGTGGGATCCTGCGCAGGCGGCTGGAGGCAGCAGCAGCTCTGCACGGCCAGACGAGTGGCGAGAGGTCCTGGCTTCCCAGGACGGGGCTCTGCCTCTGCACCTGCACCAGCTTGAGGCACAGGATGCTCAGTCCTGACGGCAGCAAGGCCCACCCACGGTGGCCCGAGGGACAGGGCAGGTCCACCCTGGGGGAAGAGCTGGCAGAACCACTCAGGTGCCCTGGTCTCTCGCTGGTGACACCACAGCACCAAAAGGACACAGGACACATGCGGCAGGGCAGGCCTGTTGGAGCCTGGATGGTCACAGCCACCAGATGTCACCTGCATCAGCAGCCAGGGCTGCGAGGGAGGGCCGACGGAGCAAGTCTTTCATGTGATGCCACCATTTGAGCCAAAGATTTTCTTTATGCTCTTCTTAGGCCGTTCCTAACTTGCTCTTGTATCTTTGGTGTTAAAAGATCCTTTAAAAGTGGAAGCTCCACGAGTCAGAACGTTCTGTGGGATCCACAAGCCGATGCTGCCACGTAAATGGACACCCCGGACACCCCAACGTCCCAGGGCAGCTGGACGACCCAGAGGAAGAGCGAGGGGACCCTGTGCCTCTGACGTAAGGGCCTGCTGTGAAGGTGGCCATGGCCCAAGACAGGACAGGGATGCTCGCTGTCCAGCCAAGGGACACTGGCTGTAGAGTCTGCAAAACACAATCCTGGGTCATGCGTATGTGCAGGTGGGAAAAACACTCCGCACCCTGAGCTCTACCCCACACCCTGCCAGGTTCACCGTAGCCCGACGTCTGCAAAGTGAAGCCATACAGAGTCCCTCGAGTGACCGGAGATTTCTCCCGCACGACACCCGTGCCCCAACCACACAGGGCACGGTGATAAACGGACACGGTGATAAACGGACACCGTGAAAGTGGAGGTCCTGCCTCCAAGACGCCCTCGAGCGCCGGATGAGAAGGCACCGCCGAGGACGGGATACGACACATGAAGGGGCCGTGCCCACATGCTGTATGCCAGCACCACCTCTACAGATACAGCTGACCGTCCACCACCCAGCGCTCAAGGGCAAGGGCCCACGAGCGTGCGGACTGTTTCAGCGAGTGCAGTCCTGAACCGCCGGTGTGTGTGCTGGTCCTCACCACCTCCTCAGCACCTCGGTCTCTCTAGTGTACGTTACGGTAACAGCACAGCAAATGGGTACGTGTAACACACGACCCAGGAAACGACCAACCGTCCGAGTCTTTGCGGAGGCTGCATTCTACAGGAGGCCCTTTGCAGTTTAGCTTTTGTGGGGAATCAAGGGTTCTCAGTGGATTTTCCACTATGTGGGGAATGGGTGCCCCTCGACCCCACGTTGTTCAGGGGTCCGCTCTAACCATCAAAACCAAGGAGGAGGGGCGCCGGCTCAATGGGTTAAAGCCTCTGCCTTCGGCTCAGGTCATGATCTCAGGGTCCTGGGATGGAGCCCCGCATCGGGCTCTCTGCTCAGCGGGGAGCCTGCTTCCCTTCCTCTCTCTCTGCCTGCCTCTCTGCCTACTTGTGATCTCTGTCTGTCAAATAAATAAATAAAAATCTTAAAAAATGCTATAAAGCTGTAATATGTAAAACAAACAAACAAAAAACACAACCAAGAAGGAACCAGCCTACGACTCAACTTCAAAGCAGCATGAGTCTCACTCAGACACTGAGCACAAGAGGCCCAAAGGCTTGGGACCTCAGCTCACCTCCTGGCTTCTGCACACCTCAGAGCCTTGGGGCCCAGCTGAGTGTCCCTGAAGGCAGGGACCTGGTCTGGTTCGGGGTCCCACAAAGGCAGTCAGAAGAGGTGTTAACTGAGCAGGAGCAAACCCCAGGGCTCACGGAAGCCGGCCACTCCCCGCCCCTCCTGCTCTGCAGGGCGCCGGCAGGGAGCTTCCCTGGCCCACACGCCCGGTGCGGGAGCCAAGCGATCTGCTTACTCAAGACCCAGGGCTGTGCACTGTGGCCCTTGGGCCAAACCCAAGCCACTGCCCATACCTGCACGTTTTCATGGCACCCAGGCCTGCAAAACCTAAACATCCTACCTTTACGGGGAGGGTCTCCCAACCTGGATGGAAGACAGAGCACCTGTTTCTTACCTGGTGTGTCTGCCCCAGCGTCCGAGTCACAGACCGTATCATGTGTGGCATTGCAGGGCTGAATGACAGTACCAGTACATCTGAAAGAGGCAGGACTCCCTCAGCATTGCTCCTCCCTGTCTGGACATGGCCCGAATCATCCTTCTTACCACCCACAGGTCAGGGGTTAAGAGGAACCCCAGCTCCCAGGATGGCTGCCAGCCTTCACCCAGTCACTGCCCAGCATCTCCGCGATGTCTGGCCCAGATTGGTACACATAAGGGTAAAGCTCTGTCCTGTGCTCTGGGACCTGTGGGATGGGGGACACCCGTTCCTGGACAGCACTGTATGTGCTGGGAGGACTGGCCCTCCTCACCTGTATCTCTAGCTCCCTCAGGAAAGAAGTTAGCCCAAAGCTGAAGCTCTTGGAAAGGTGGACGTGTGAGGGGAGACAGAGCAGCCAGAGCCTTGATCAAATCTCACCTGAAAGCACTACTGACCTTGGACTGGCAGGTCCAGGAAAATACCGTTCAACACAGCCCGAGGCATGTTGGTTTACAACATGCCTCACCAATGCCAGCTACACTTTTAGTGGCTCTGCCACCATCAACGTCCCCAGAAGGTCCTCCCACATCCGCGCCCACCCAGAACCTTGGAAGGGTGTCTGCAGAGATGCTCACGTGACGGATAAGGTCACACCAGACTATGGTGGGCCTTCATCCGTGACCAGTGTCCTTGCAGCAGGGCAGCGTGTGCTGGGATAGAGAGAGGGCCACGTGAAGACAGACAGACACAAACACGCGAAGCCACCTCGTAAAGACAGAAGCGGGCCCAGCAGGTAAGCCAAGGAGCCCGAGGAGTGACAGCAACGTCGGAGGCTGGAAGAGGCAAGGCAGGGTCCTTCCCTAGAGTCTGTGGTGGGAGCATGGCCCTGCCAACCCCTGGGTTCAGACTTCTGGTCTCCGAAACTGTGAGAGAACACACTTCTGCTGGTTTTCTCACAAGCACCCAGCTGTGGCCCAGAGACGGCAGCCACGGGCCACTCATGGCGCACGAGTGGTCACGCTGCTCTGTGCCCATTCCATCCGCGCAGACCTCTCTTCCCCCAGAACCCTCGGTGGCTCCCTCCTCCCTCCCCGCCCTCTGCGCCTCTTGGAGGTTTCCACCCCTGCTGGGGGCTCCGGTCCGCCATACTGTAACTACAGGGGGGGCCCACGCCTGTGCCCTCAGCACCTGTGACACCGGAGGCAGTTCTCCACGCAGTTCAGTGAGTCGCAGTAGAAGCTCCCCGTCTTGCACTGACACTGCTGGTCGCTGGTCTGTGTGCAGGCTGCCACCATCTCCTGGTCTGTAGAAGGACGGCTGAGGGTCAGCCCGGGGGACAGGACCGTCTGGCCCACACAGGGCCACGCGCAGTCCCACGGTGGAGCCATGGAACCGATTCTCCCCCTCCCTTCCTAGCCGTGGCAGAGAGGGACCTGACAGCCAGACCTCAGCCCTCCGTCCGGGCCGAGGGGCCAGGGCCGCCTGCTCTGAAACCACCCCGTGGTTCCGATCATGTGTCCGCCCCCCAGAGAAGAGCACCGCACCGCCAGAGACGCCGTGGGAGAGAAAGCCCAGGCGGACAACGGTTCACAGAGACCCCCAGCAACTCCGGCCATACCCGCTGCGGACGTGTTGACGACCACCCGCACCCCTTCCGCGGTGCTCGACACCAAGACCAGCGTCTCGCGGACGGACGGTATCAGAACAGAACCACATGCCCCGCTGGGGGTCGTGTCCCACGCACGGCAGGATCAGCCCCCAAAGCCCATCCCGGCGCGTTCGTGCTTCCCGAAACCGACGCACCGGCCAGGGCACAAAATGGGCCGGAGCGCGCCTGGATTCACGGATTTCCTTACAACGTTCACATAAGCGTTCTAGACATCCTCTGCGCGAGTTACCTCAGAGCCCCTCGTTTCCTCTGCTAGTGCAGACGGCGTCTTCTTAAGGAATTACACCCTTTAAAACAACGAGCTGCTCACACAGAAAAGGAAACTTCTGTGTGCTTCTTGCACAGGGCGTCTCTACGGTCCCGATTCCCTGCAGGCTCACTCTTTAACCACATGCGCACGTCACCCCGTGTGTAAGAACACCGGAGACTGGTACCCCGGCAGCTCTCCCATCGAGCCTCATTCCGATAAGGCCAGGCGAGGCGGCGAGGTCTTCCGATTTGAAGATCCCTCCGGGCGGGACAGGGGCTCACTCACCTGCTCGACATGTAGTGCACGGCTGGCAGCTGGTCTGCCCGCTTTGGTAGGCGAGGAAGGTTCCCGGTTCACACTGGCTACACAGCGGAACACCATGGTTTGCACCACAGTGTCTGCTGACGTGAGAGCCTGGGAAGGGGGAGGACAGAGAGGTGAGGTAGGAGCCCCGGGGGGACCGGACCCGACCCCCGAGGCCTCTACTTGAGGACCAACACCTGCCAACCATCTCCTTGAAACATTTTTTTTTAAAGACTTTATTTATTTGACAGAGAGATCACAAGTAGGCAGAGAGGCAGGCAGAGAGGGGGTGGGGGGAAGCAGGCTCCCTGCTGAGCAGAGAGCCCGATGCGGGGCTCAATCCCAGGATCCTGAGACCATGACCTGAGCTGAAGGCACAGGCTTAACCCACTGAGCCACCCAGGCACCCCCTCTTTGAAACATTCTTTATTGACACTTGGCCACACATGTCCCAGGAACTGCGGACCTGGTGCCCATGGCTTTTAGCAACATGTCAGAACCGTGTGCTGACACACCGGCACACACACCGGAGGACCGAGAGCCCCACGTCTGAGTGTCCACCCCCGGCTCCCCGGGGTGGGCTGCACAGCGTCCGACTCATATACGGGGAACCCCGAGGTCTAGAGACAGAGATCTCTGACCAGTCCCAGAGGAGCCCCTGCTCTACTGCCTGCCTCGGGCAAAGGCTGTAGCTGAACCAAGCACACCTCGCCGGGAGAAGTGTGTCACACCTGCATTTGGCTCACGGGCTGAGTTCACAAGGTTTCCGGGTGAAGCATCTGTGTCTCCTTTGTGCCCACATGGGCTGTGCGTGTGTGCTGTGGGTGCAGGTGCGCACAGTGTGGACACACACATGCATGGTGTATACACAGGCGTGCCGGGAGCATGTAGGGTGAGGGTCAAGGTATGGATCTTCAGGACCCGAAGCAGGAGCCCTGCAGTGGCTGAGAGTGTGGGGGGGAGTAGGGGACACAGGTGGTGATGGGTAGAGGGATTGGTCACCCCCACGAAGGGGGATCCATGAAGGAACTCTCACGGATTGTGTGTGCACATCTGTCTGCGAGTGGAGAGGAGGTACGTGGCGTGGGAGCTGGGCAGAGCAGGCACTGGGGGCCTGGGGCCCCCACCTGACCCATGGGACTCATTCAGAGACTCCTCACAAAGGTGAATGAGCCTCCGTGGACGAGCCGTGCTTGACGACAGGCTCACTGCTGTCCCGCGAGGACCCCCTTCCTCAAGTGTCCGCAGTCACCCCAATGGGAGGGCGGCGGAGAGCATCCGGCTTGGCCATGCACCCCCACGCTGTCCTCCATCCTCCTCGACAAAACAAGCCCACAACCCTGTTCACATGGGGTGGTCGATGGCCAAGGAGAGGTCCACCCACCTGAGCCAGTGCAGGTCTCCCCACCCAGTCTCCTGTGCCAGCCTCTGGCTCTGCTCCAAGGGCCCACAGCTTCCCTTCTCCAGCCTGGGAGGGCCGCCCCACAAGGCTCCAGAAGGTACCCTGGGACTCACCAGCAGGACACTTCTTGCAACACCGCTTGAGACCGTCCGGCTTGTACTCGTCCAGGCCGCAGTCAGGCTCACCGCCCAGCAGGGGCACCTTCGATCAGAAAAGGAGAGGGGGTCATCAGAGAAGCTGCCGTTGAAGACGGAGCCACACACACCACCTGGTGGGACAGGAGCAAGCGCACGGGGAGAGCCCCTGCTAGCTCATGGGGGTCGGCGTTGCTAGGGGGAAACATCTTGGGAACTTCCTACGTATCCCCATAGTTTTGGACTTGGACCTGGAGCACTGTTACTCTGGGGGAAAACATTCTTTCGTTTCCCTACACAGGTGGCCTGGTCCACTGCTCCTACTGCTGCTGTCTAACCCCCTGGTCTGGCCAGAACTGAATCGTTTGGGACCAAGTATTGTTTTGTTTTTTGTTGTTTTTTTTTTTTTTAAACGATTTACTTCTTTACTTCAGAGACAGTGCAGGACCAGGGGGAAGGGGAGGGGGAGGAGAGGGAGCGAGAACCCCAAGCAGACTGCCTGCTGAGTGCACAGCCCGACCTGAGGTTCGATCCCACGACTCGGAGATTGTGACCTGAGCAGAATCCATGAGTCGGACGCTCGAAGGACTGAGCCGCCCCGGCGCCCCGAGGGTTCCGCTCCTGTTTGAGTTCACGGGTGCAGCAGCTACGTGTGTGCATGTCAGGAAAGCACAGCGGCCACCGCTTGGAACGGGATGCAGAGCGTGCACCTGCCCCGCGTGCACACACCGAAGCCCCCCGGACGTGGTCCCGTGACCGCCGTCCTCACTGCGCGCGCTGCTCGGGCCACTGCTGTGCGAGGTGCAGTCAGCCTCCCGCCAAGCGCGTGTGTCTGTAGATGTCGCCGACTACGGCAGGGTCTGTGGTCCGTATGCTGAGCCCCACGGCGGGGTGCGAGGGGCTTCACGAGTGCTGCAGGGACGCCAGGCACCCGGGCCGCCTGCTGAATTCCGGTTTGCCAGGCTGCCCGCTTGGCGACATTCACCTCTAACCCGAGGCAGCTGGTGGCGGCCGTTCCTGGCTCCGCTAAGCGGCAGGACTCTCTTGCCCGTTCGAGCGCACGGCACTCGGGCTGCGTCCGGGCGGGAAGAGCCTGCCACCCACCTGCACCGTCCCTCCCGCCGGGCCGGCCGCCTCCCCTGGGGCAGGGCTCCGCAAAGCCCGCCTCGCCACATTCCCCTTCTTCGCCAGCCCGATTGTTCGGGAAGGAGTCCGACCTGTTTGCAGGTGCAGGACGACCGACGCTGCTGGGTTTCCTCCTGCCTCGGGATGCTGTGTTTTAGTATCCCACCCTCTCTTACAGTCCCTTTTTCTTTCTTTTCCGGCTTTTGCTTCCTTTATTCCTTGTCTCCACTTCCCTTTTTCCCCAGGAAAACTGACGAGATCCCGTTTTTAGTTTTTATCGGTTTCCGTTACATCTTGACTTAGACAAAACAAAAAATGACAGGGGGATATCTGGATGGGCTTAAGGAAGGAAATTCCACGCGAGTCCGACCACGACACACGCTTCAGGCGGCATCGAGCGGTGAGCGCACTCGTGGACGACAGCTCCTGAGAACACGCAGTGTTGGCGCAGTTCCAAAGGCAACGCCCCTCAAGACACTGCTGACCACAGACAGAGAAAACACTAACTTTACTGAGGCCGACACCCCCTGAATTGTCACCAAAGTCATCGTCGTCACTGATGTCGTGTGTCTTTTGAGATGGTGCAGCTGGAAGGACCCAAAGTCACTTCCATGCTACTTTTGCAAAAAATGCCAAACGCGAACTTATTCACAAAAAGCCAGCGACGAGCCCCAAATGGAGCCACATTCCACGAAACCACGGGTCAGTACTCTACAGGCACGTGGAGATCATGGAAGAGAAGAAAGACTGACAACAACGCAGCCCGAGACAGGGGTGGGACAGCAAGTGACTGGCAGGGTGTCGGGGACCCAAGGAAGGCACCTGCTTCCAAGTCCGCCCCTGGTTCTGAGTGTGCGGCGCAGGCACCGGCCTGCAGAGCTCTGCACGGGATCTACCAGCGCCCGGTCTCTGCTGTTTTAGCTCCCTGGGCTTGGTTTTTTGCAGGGCAGGGGAGGATCGCTTTTTCTTTGTTAGGGGGCTCATACGCACGCCCCTCACAAGGAACCACTTGAAAGTGTACAGTACGGCGGCACCCAGCCCACCGACGCGGTTGCACAACCATAGAGACTATTTTGGTAACTTCAAAAGTCAAGCGCTGTCTCAAAATGAAACCTGAAAAATTAAAACCCTAGTAAAAAAGGAAAAAAACTCTCACGACAAGAGGAAAGTGGCTTTCCTTTCTGGAACTCAGCCTGGTCAAGAACATAATGGAGGCCATTTCCTTCTGTCCACCTGAGGCTCTCCAGCTCAGTCAGCAAGGGGACGCTCCAAGTGGCAAAGAACAGTAAAAGAAGTCGTGTCCTGTTCCCTACTCACTCCTGGCTCAGGGCCACCGGTCTCCGCCCCACCCGGCCCCGCCCCCTCCAACACCCCAACTCTGTCCAGTGTCCAGTTCAGCCCAGTTCACCCCAGTTCAGCCCAGTGTCCAGCTCTGGGGATGCTGGAACACGGTGCCGCCAACCCCCAGACAGGAGGAGAGCCGGGCTGGGAGGATGGGTGGTCTCACCTGCACCCCCGTGGCACGCTGGGGGCATCTCCTATCACAAGGGTGTGGAGAAACGGAAGCCCACCCCCCAAACTCAGCAACCGAGGTAAAACTACGTGACGCAGTATTTCTAAAGATTGCATCAGCAGACAGCTGCAAGCCTTTGTGAATACAGCTTTCCTGGAACCAGAGCTGGGACTCTAGCCAGGGAAGCGGGTGGGCAGGCTGGGACCAAGCACAGGGTCCCATTCTCTCTTTATCTGAAATGTCTGTACTTTGGCGTGCATTGCTTTTGCATGGATTTTCCTTTTTCGGATTTTTTTTTAAATTTTAAAGATTTTATTTATCCATTTGACAGAGATCACAAGCAGGCAGAGAGGCAGATGGGGGACGGGGGGAAGCAGGCTCCCCGCTGAGCAGAGAGCCCGATGTGGGGCTCGATCCCAGGACCCTGAGATCATGACCTGAGCCGAAGACAGAGGTTCAACCCACTGAGCCACCCAGGCGCCCCAGATTCTCCTTTCTCAAAAAGACCACATCTGACTCTTCTTCAGCACATGACCCGAGTTTTGTGGGGACTCCAGCAGTTTCCACCAGGCACGAGCACCCAGCTCACTGCCTCTGGCAGGCACCTCCCTTGCAGACGACTAAGGGTCCCCTATGGTCCCACGGTGGCCCACCTACCAGCAGCAATGCCCCCACCCCGATGGGGCTCACCCCAGCCCCGGGTCCCCCTGCTCCCCGCCCTCCCCTCAGGCCCCTGCCAGCAGCCCCCCAAGCTCCAAGTCCCCTCTGGCCCCTTCACTTCTGGGCCAAGGTATCCCTAAGGAATTGCCATGCTGTTGGAGCCACAGCCATCCAGCACTCACAGACCCCAGCACTTGAGGGGGGAAGCCCTGAGGGGCCTGCACGTGGCCAAACCCGACAGGGAACGAGAACGTGCCCCCGCTCTCAAGTGAGCACTGCCCTCCCGGCAACCCTGGCCCCACGGAGTAGAAGGTCCTCCGAGGAGGGACCCCGCGGGAGTCACCAACCACCCCGCCTGCTTTGAAAAGGCCCCGGAGGGGGTCCTGAGAACCCTGAGCCCAGCGGCTGTGACGCAGCCATGCAGAAGGGAAGGGAGGCATTTGCCCTGCACCCTCCAGGGCAGGCCGGCGGGCTATTTCCAGAAGGTGCGGGTCCCTGGTCCTCCTGGCCCGGAAGCTTCAGCCGTACGACAAGAGGCTGATGGAAGAAGCGACCGGAACAGGCGCCAAGCGACACAGTCTGATGCACGACGGCGTCTGCGGACTCAAAGGCTGGCAGCTTCTGCAGGGCGCGGGAGACCATCGGCAGAAGGAGCCGCCACCGGCCGCACGGGAGGAGACACTGGCGAGCCGTGCGCCCAACCAGGACTCAGCACCCAGAACAGACAGAGCTCGCACAGCGCCGCAGCAAAACACCAAAGCGCCGGTGAAAACACGGGCATAGGACCCGAGCAGACGTCTTCCCGAGGACGCAGGTGGTCGGCAAACCTGTGGAAGATGCTGGGCGGCGCTTGTCGTCAGGGAAATGCAAATCAAAACCGCAGTGACGTATCAGCTGACACCGGACAGAACAGCTGGACTAAAGAGACCAGACGTGGGCAGTGTCGGTGAGGACGCGGAGAAGAGGGACCCCCACACTGTCGTGGGCATTCGGATGAGGGCGGCTCCTCTGGGGACACTCTGGAGGTTCCTCACCAGACTAAACACAGAACCACCCTACGACCCAGCAATTCAACCTCTGGGTCGTCTGCGAAGACCCACGGACCCCCGTGTTGCCGCAGCCTCATTCCCAACAGTCCCGACACAGAAGCAGCCGGAGTCCACAGGCGACAGACGAACACGCAGGGAACTCGGGGTCGACGGACACGGGGCAATATTCGCCGCAGAAACCAATGAAACTCACAATAAAACGGAGAGAAAGAAAGGCTCCCTGGGTCAAGCTTTTCAGCGCGTGCGAGCGGTCTCGCAAACATCACCGGACACACCTGACCAGACGGCACAAAGGGGCCCCATCCCGGAAGCCGCGAGCCACCAGCGTGGACGGCGAACATACGCGAGGACAGAGAAAACGAGAGCCGTCGGACCCGGGAGACCTCGCTCTGGACCAACGCGCTCACGCACACCCGGCAAACGCGCGGGCGGAAGCAGGCAGCCCCGGGTGGGGGGCACGTCGAAGAAGGTGTCAGCTGCCAGCGCCCTCCAGGCAGGAAGACGCCAAAATGGGACTGAAGTCGGGAATTCCACGAACAACTCCCACTGGCACACTGACCCTTATTTACAAAAACTACAGTCTGGGGCGCCTGGGTGGCTCCGTCGGTGAAGCATCCGACGCGGTTCTGGCTCAGGTCAGGATCTCAGGGTCCCGAGATCAAGCCCTGCGACGGGCTCTGCGCTCAGCCTGCAGAGTCTGCTGGAATTCCTTCCCCCTGCTCTGGTCTGTCTCTCAATCAGGGGACCTGGGTGGCCCAGTCAGTGAAGCAGCAGCCGTCAGCTCAGGTCATGCTCCTGAGGTCCTGGGACGGAGCCCCACGCACTGGACTCCCTGCTCCGCGGGGAGCCTGCTTCTCCCTCTCCCCCTGCTCCTCCCGTGCTGCACACGCTCTCTCGGATAAACAAAATCTTAAGAAATAAGTGAATGAGTAAACAAACTTTTTTGCAGAAATTAAAGGACTGTACGGAGGTTCCTCCAAGAGTTCCGCACAGAGCTGCCCTATGAGCCCCCAGTTGCACTATCATTTACCCAAAAGATACAAATGGAGCGATCCAAAGGGGCATCAGTGCCGAAGGTTTACAGCAGCAACGTCCATGATAGTGAGGCTGCACAGAGAGCCCAGACGGCCATGGAAAGACACAGGGACAGAGCTGATGTCCTACAGACAAAGGAAAATTACTCAGCCTTCAAAACGACAACAGAAACGAGAAATCTCGCCGTTTGCAGCAGCACAGATGGAGCTAGTGGACGTCGCGCTAAGTGGGACGGGTCAGACAAGGAGACAGTGACCACAGGAGTCCATCCCGCACGAACGGAAGACACACAACAGAGCAGGGCGGGGGCAGGCAGGGGAAGAACACGAAGCCCCCCGAGAGGGAGACCAGGGAGTGCAGGAGACAGACCGAGGCTTGCTGGAGCTGGGCGGGGCGGCACCACCCGCGGGCGGGAAGGAGCGCAACGCAACGGGCGCGCAACGGGCCCACTACGAGCCAGCGACAGGGACCGCTGAGTCCCTGCCCTCTACCTCGGAACCAGGGATGCTCCAGAGGTCAGTGAACCGAATTTAAATAAAACGAAGAGAAATACAAGATAAGTGAGCGGAAACCACGTGCTAGAACCAGAAGAGACATCCTTTTCTGGGGAGAAAACCTGCGAGGCCGCGGCCACACGGCCTCCAGGGCACTCTGGTAATCGCCGGGTGCGGAGGGCCGGGGCCTCCCGTCCGCGACCGCAGCGCCGGGCCCCACCGTGAGCGGGCTCGGGAGTGCGACCCTCCGGCCGGCCCCGGGACCGGAGCTGAGCCGTCCGAGCGCCCCCGACTCGCGCAGCCGCCCTCCCCTCCCCGCGGCCCTCGTCCGAGAGTCCCGCATCCCCAAACCCGGCCGCAACCCCAAGCGCCGGCCGCAACCTCGCCGAGTCGCGGGCGCCCCCAGCCGCCGAGGACACCCGAGCGCCGGCAGCCGGGACACGCCCGCGGCACAAGGCCCAAGCCCGCCGGCCGCCGGACACCGGACATCGGGCTCCGCGCGCGCCCTGCAGCGCCGCCCGAGCCCTCCCGGCCGCTCCCCCGCCCGCCGCGGGCATGCCCGGGCCCGCCGCCTCCGGGACCGCTGCCTGCGCCGCGGCCGCCCGCCGCCTCCGGGGTCCCCAGCCGCACGGGCCACTCCATCCCGCCCCCACCCGGGCCCCCGACCTGCCCCGCCCCCACCCGGGCCCCGACCTGCCCCGACCCGCCCCGCAGCCCCGCAGCGCTTACCGCGGCTCCGACAGACACCCACAGGACGACCAGCCACGACACCCACGGGTGCGGAGCCGGCAGCGCGCGCACGGCCCCGCGGAGAGCTCCCATCCCGGCGGCCGCCGAACGCGCTCTGCAGCCCGCCGCTCCCGCGCCGGCTTTTAAAGGCTCTGGCAGGCCGGCCTCCCACGGTCAGACCAGAATTCGCCCCCGCCCGGACTCGCCTTCCTATTGGTCGGCCCGGCGGGGGCGGGACACGCCCTTTCCTTCGAGGGCTACGGGTTTGCTTACGTCATCTCCACGCGCCCGCCGTGGAGCCTCAGGCCAATCCCTAGGTCCGGAGGAGCTCCAGTCCGGGTCTTTCCGGGCCGGCCCCTCCCCGCGCTGCCCCCTACCCCACCCCGCTGCCCCCCCCCCGCTCTGCCCCCCCCCCCCGCGCCCTCGTGCGCGTGCGCGCACTCCCCGGAGAGGATGCGCGGGACGGAGGGAGCGCTCCGGGCGAGGGCGGACCCGGAAGAGCGCGGGGCTGGCTGTGGAGCGGGGCGGCGGCGCACCGCGCTCTCCGGGGCAGCCCTGCTGCAGACCGCCGGGGAGACCGCGCCGCGCGGCCGACAACGGCTTAGAAGTCGGGCGGGGCGGCCGAGGCCGGTGGGACGCGTCGTCCGACCCCCGCGTCTCGGGAGGGCCGTGGGGCCGTCGCCGCGGAGCCAAGCCCAGCGCAGCCGGCGGGGTGCTGTCCCGCTCCCCCGCACGCCCCCAAGAAAAAGCGCCGTCCCGCCGGGCCTGGCCGCGGGGCTGGCTCCCCCGACGCCGCCCCCGCAGTCGCGCGGGTCCGCACCCCGCGCACGGCTGCCTCGGCGAAGCGAATCCGACCCGCCCCGACTCGAAAACGGCCTCCGCCGCGCCCAGTCCCGACCCTGTCCGGGCGGAGTCGGAGGGGACCCCCGAAGGACCTCGGGTTTGATCGCGGGGACCGGGACGGGACCGGCCTCCTCCGGACAAGGACCCTGTGAGGACGATCCGCCGCGGGCGAGGGGCGCCGCCGTTCCGCAGCTTCTGTTGTCCCGCACGTTGTGTCCCGCAGTCGCCGTCGCGTCTCGCGCTCGCGGCACCGTACGGCGTCGGGCCCCTTTGAGGGAGGGGGCGGGAGCGGAGCCGCGCGGCCCCAGCTCCGGAAGACCCGTCCCAGCAGATGGAGGGGACATTTGGGCTCTTCCCACCCGCCGGCACGGTGGGCAGGTGCGGGCAGGCCTGTCCGAGAGCCCGGGGGACCCGCGGGACCAGCCCAGCGCGTGGCGGCCGCGGGCAGGGCTGAGATCCCACGCGAGCCGGCGGGAGGGAGCGGATTTACTGACGGTGTAGACGGCGGGTACAGGCTGTGCCCGGGGGCTAGAAAGGAGAAGAGAGTCTCTTCTTTGCTGAGAACCAGAACACGGGCCCAGCGGTCCTTCATAAAACAGCCTTTGCCTGGGGCTCAGGGGCCTTGGTGTGGAGCGTGCAGGGCTGGTGGTCTGCAATGCGCCTGCGATGGCTCCCCCGTCCCTCTCACCCAGTCCTTCCTTACTCGTTGCCCGTTGTGCTGGAAGCCTCTCGAGAAGTTGGGGGCTGCCTGTCCTTCCAGGGATGACAGACCCTATGTGCACTATGAGGCACGTGTAAAGTGGGTGTGTGTGTGTGTGTCAGGTCCCAGCAAAGGTAGAAGCAGGTAAAGGAGCAAACCCCAGATTCTTATGGAGTCCCGCAGGCGCCCCACCTCATGGTGCAGCCCGGGGGAGGGTGGGTGTCCCCAGACCACCACGGTTTCTGCTCTGCCGACCGCCGCCCGAGGATCCCGAGCTGGGGCCGACCGCCTTGTTCCTGCTCACCTTGAATTTGGCGTCCAACAGACTCCAGATTTAAAACCATTTCCTCAATCTCTGAGGCGGGGGGGGGGGAGACAAACCGCAAACAGAAAGTGCTTTAAGTTCAGCCTTATCATCTAGCACACGGCTCTGGGTTTTCTTGGTTTTGGCACTTTTTGACAAATCTTAGTCAGAAACCAGCTGACTGTACCTTGGGTTTGAAGAACCGTAGAGAGGGTTTAAGGTGACGAGAAACGGCTGGATCAAGGCAAGAGCAGGACTGCGTGGTGGATGGGAGGCACAGCTCCGACCCCCGTCACCCGAGAGTATCACAGCAGTGTCTACACGCCCAGGTTAACCCAAGGGACCCAGATACCATGCCCAGCTTTGTGCTGTTTCCAAGGGCCACGTGACGCCCTTGTAACCACCCATCTGGGTTGGACCAGTCACGTCCACCCGTCCACCTTTCCCTGGTTGGTTTAGCGCAACGTCAGCACACCAAGGCCACAGGCCAACTCTGGAAGGAATTCTGAGGCTGCCGTGGGGTGTGGCGGCGGAGCTTATGAGTCAGGCCACACATGGGGGGGTCGGAAGAGGAGGTGGCCACGGGCTTCCTCTCTGAAGCGGCCAGCCCTGGTAAGGAGTCGCGGAAAACTATGACCTCTGGGGCACCCGACCTCAGCAGTGGGTGACCTCTACGCGGGGATCCAAAGCCAGTCTGGGGGCACCGCCCTCGGGGAGCGATCCAGTTCCTGGGGTCCCCTCTGACCAAGGCAGCCACAGGGCCTAGAGAGGCTCACCCACCTGCCCCTCCCTCTCCCCAGCCCGAGCCCCACCCTGTCCTGGAGCCCCGGGGGCCTGAGGGAGGGTGCCCGCACGCTGCCCCCCATCCTTCCCTGGATCCTTCCTCCCCATCCTCGGGGCCTCAGGATCCGCTGGCATGGCTTCTGTCCATGGGAACACCCCCCACATTTCCGGAAGTCCCCCAGGAAGACAACACAGTGTGTGTGCCTGTTTATTTCCGGGCCTGGAGTGCAGGCAGGGAACAAGAACATGGATATAAACTCTGGAGAATGGGACGGTGGGTCCTGATGGCACCTCCCCCACATAGTTTAAGGCTCAGTGTGACTACACGTAGGCTCACAGATGCTCACGGGCACACACGCTTGCGCACACACACAGTGGCACTCGACACAGAAACAGGCGAGACGCCAGACGCTGCTTGCAGCCTGCCTAAAATATTGCAATTGCATTTATTAAAAAAGTGTAAAACAGGAAGACCGTGCATCAGTCCCAGCCAAGTGGCCAACCTGGGCTTCCCTGCCCCAGGGAATGCTGGGGCCTGAGAGGCCGTGGCCTGTGCACGCCTGCCCACACACGCACACCGTGCCGGCTCATGCCCAGGCTGTGCGAGGCGGGGTGGGCTCCACGGGTGTGCATCGTGGGGGTCCTGTCCACTCTGCACAGAAGCAGAGTAAAATCCCAGTGCTGTCTCCGGAGTAGCTCCAGTCTGCCTAGGAGTCCCCGGGAGGCCCCTCTGAGCACGCCTTGGGCAGCGCAGGCAGGCTCTCAGGAAGGACGGCCCTCTGCATCCGGACGGAGGAGGCGTGGGAACCTCTGGGACTCCAGGCTTGTCCCGCCAAAGCTCCCCAGCTCATCCCTGCTGGGGAGTGACCGTGCAAAGCCTGGGCAGTCTGTCCATGCCCGGCTCCGTCACTCCGGCGGGGCATGTGGATGTTGGACCAGGATTGAGCAGGCGTGTTGACCAGGGGGCAAGAGGCAAGATGAAAGCTGCATTTGGCTTTAGCGTTAAGGCTGGCATTGGGTGGAGGGTCCCACCAGCAAGGTCAGCGGCTCCTCTGGAGGACCGGTGTGACCCTCCAGGTGCCTCCTGCTGTCCTCCAGCCCCCGTGGGCCTCTCTGTCCGCCGGGGCCACGCTTGACGGCTCTCTCTGCCTCTCCCGGGCTGGCTGAAAGTGCTAGGTGCCTGGAAGGGAGGAGGGGGCTGGCCGAGTTCTGCAGGCCACGCCCACACTGCCCCCAAAGGGCTCTTATTTGAGGATGTAATTAATGAGCAGCTGACAGGCCAGGAAGACGCAGAGCAGGAACCAGGAGCGGGGGCTCTGCAGGAGGCCTGGGGCGGGCACCTGCCTGGCCCTCCCTGTGGAGCTCAGCATGGCTGAGAGGTGCCTGCAAGGACAGGGAGGAAGGCTGCTGAGCCAGGGCGGGCCCACGCAGGGCGGGCATCCCTGCCTTCAGTGGACAGCCCATTACACTGGGGCCCCCGGGCCCAGATTCCAGGTAAAGGGAGTCACAGCTGGAAAAGCTGGGACTCTCATCACAGCCTCTCTTCCACTCGTGCTGTGATGGGCTGAGCTGGGTCACCATGCCCCAAAAGTCCCACACTGGAGTCCCAGCCATCAGGACCCCAGATGTGACTTATTTGGAGATGGGGTCTTTCAAGAAGCAATTCAATTAAATTGAGGTCACCAGAGTGGGCCCTAATCCAGCATGGCCAGGGTCCTTATGAGAAGAGGGGATCAGGACACAGACACACACGCAGGGATGACCCCGTGAGGACACAGGGAGAGCACGGCCCTCCGCACACGAGGACAGAGGCCTCTGGAGAATCTGGCCCTGCCCCCGCCTACATCTCCAGTGTCGGTCTCTGGGACTGGGGGACCGTGAACATTTATCGTGAGATCCCCCATCTATGGACGGTGTCACAGCCACCTGGGACACTCATGTCCTCACCCTGGACTCGGGCGGCACCGTGTGTGCAGAAAGGCTGGCTTTTCCCGTGGCTCCCTGCCTCACGGCCGGTGTCTTCTATGGCGCCGGGGGCTGACTCCCTGACTCACCGCGGCTCCTCCAGCCCACCCCTGGACTCCTGGGCCTCCAGCCGCTGTTTTCTTGCCCAGAACTCATTGGCTGGTCCTGTTCCAGCAGGATTCCCTACAGCGTGGCACCTCCCACCCCCACCCCCAGGGCCTGCTCAGGGCAGAGCTGGCCACCTTCTTCCTGTCCTCCATCCACCAGACCCTCTGCCAACCCCCAGAGTCCTAGCTCTGAGTGACAGTCCAGATGTATGGTATCCCTGGCCTCGGTGGTGCCCTGGCTGTGTCCCCGGGAGCGGGGCTTACCTGTGCAGCTCCTGCTGGGCCTCCCGGATGGACACGATGGCCTCGTGCAGTGCCTGCAGTCGCCGCGCTTCCTTCCCGCACCGCGGGCACGGGCTCTCGCTGCCTGCAGTGTCCAGCCACCCGTCAC